CTCGCCGACCCTGAGACCGACCGCCTTCTCGGTATCCACATCATCGGCCCCAACGCTGGTGAGATGATTGCTGAGGGCACTCTTGCGCTCGAGTATGGTGCTTCCAGCGAGGATATTGCGCGCACTTGCCACGCCCACCCTACTCTTTCTGAGGCCTTCAAGGAGGCTGCCATGGCCACCCACGCCAAGGCCATCCATTTCTAAGTAAGACAAAGCTTAGGGTGCTGGAAAGGAGGAGGTTTTCTTGTGTATCTGTACTGTAGTTGTGTTTTCCTCATTTCAGGCATTGGTGAATGGACTCAGCCGGGATGGTAAAGGCATTTGAAAGCAGTATTTATAATTTACCCCTGGCCGCTGTTGTTTTGTTTCGTGGTGCCGAGAAGAGAGAAAAACTTGAGCAGCATGAGGAGCAATTTTGTTTTTAGAGCAACGGCAGGTTGGATGGGAAAGGTTCATGAGGTCTATGGTTTATCTAGCGTCAAAACATAGAAGGTTGATTTCCTGTATGATGGTACTATAATGACCACAGAATACGTCAAGGGGTTGAAGTCTTATGCAGCATGATAAATAAATAGTGGCATTGACTTGTTCGTTCGTCTTACATTTTAAAGCAACCAAGCAACCAAGCAACCCTAACCCTTTCACATATGCATGTCAAAGTTCACGGTGTGTTGTCATTTTCCTTGGCAGGAAGAGAGGAGGAGGCCGACGATCGTACCACATGTGGAAAGTGGGGGTACACGGGGGATCTCACTGGCCCGATTTCATCCATCTTTCAGGAGTCGCCAGTGGGAATTCGAACGACACGCCATTCGATATAGAAACCTCTCCCCTTTCTCTTATCTCATTCTTTTGTCCTTGTATGCCACCCACGAACAACCTACGCATGAAAGACGAATGATCTGAATCCACTCCAGACCAATTAGAGGATTTGAGCTGGATTGAAAGGGGTTTGAAGGTATTTGGAGTTGGTGTTATTGTTGTTGTTATTGTTGGGACAAGACGACGATCAGGAAATCGTGGACGCACCAGTACCAACTACACCCCCTTGCCTCGCACCACCGGATATGGCTATTTTTTGAAGAGAGACGACGCCGGATTTTTACTTTACAAGCCTTGAGGAGCCCAGCTCTCAATTGTTTGTTTGACAAGGGACTCCCTCTATTACTCACTACACGACCACGCTGGCAACCATGGCGAAATTAACCAAGGAACGCACCTACCCGCTGATGAGCCGCCGGGAGATCGAGGCTCAGATTGCTGATGGGAGGCACATGGTTATCGTGGACGGACATGTTCTCAAGGTCGATGCCTTTATGCAGTTTCACCCTGGTGGTGACAAGGCGATGAAGCACATGGTGGGGAGGGATGCTACGGATGAGGTCAATGGGCTTCATTCCCCTGAGGCGAGGGCGATGATGAACAAGTATCGCGTTGGAAGGATTGAAGGAAGGTGGAATAATTTCTTGCCGCCTATTCAAGGTGGTAAATTTAGGAAACGGCTTGAGGATGGGGCAATGGAGGTGGAAGAGGAGGATGATTCTGGACGGCTGTCGGCTCCGGCGGTGACGATAACGGCAGACACACCGTCGAGCGAGCTGGAGTCTAGACCACCCTCGCCAGTGTTTGATGTTGACGGTAGTGCTTTGCGGAAGAGACAGGTGAAGGAATCAATGGGGTCGAGTGCTGCGTCGATAACCTCGGCATCGTCGCTAGAGGAGTCTCATGGTGATGGGAGTCTACCTCTCGACGGCATGGCCCACCTCGACATCCTCACACGCAAGGAGATCAAGCTTGACCTGGACAAATACCCGGCTGTTGACCAGGATACCCAAGAGGTCATCGTCGAGAAGTACCGCAAGCTCCACGACCGCATCAAGGCTGATGGGTTGTATGACTGCAACTATTACGCCTACGCCATCGAATGCTCCCGGTACATCACCTTTTTTGGCCTGATGCTGCTGTTCCTCAAGTGGAAGTGGTACATCCCCAGCGCTTTCTTCCTTGGTGTTTTCTGGCATCAGCTTGTCTTTTCCGCCCATGACGCCGGCCACATGGGGATTACGCACAATTTTCAGGTTGATACCATTATCGGGATCATCATTGCGGATTTCTTGGGAGGGCTGTCGTTGGGATGGTGGAAACGCAGTCATAACGTCCACCATATTGTGACAAATTCGCCGGAGCACGACCCCGACATCGAGCACATGCCATTTTTTGCTATTTCCCACCGTTTTTTGGCGAGTCTGAGGTCGACGTACTACGAGCGGATCATGCCGTACGATGCTGCTGCCAAGTTCTTCATTTCGATGCAGCACAACTTGTATTATGTCATCATGCTCTTTGGGAGGTTCAACCTCTACCGGTTGTCGATGGAGTATCTGATCCTCGGGCAGGGGCCGAAAAAGGGGGTGGCGGCCTGGCACCGCTGGTTCGAGTTTGCTGGACAGGTCTTTTTCTGGTATTGGTTTGGGTACGAGCTGCTGTACAAGTCCGTCGATGGCGGTTGGAACAGGTTCTGGTTCGTGATGGTCAGCCACATGGTGACTTGCCCGCTGCATGTGCAGATCACGCTGAGCCACTTCGCCATGTCGACGGCTGATTTGGGGGTGGATGAGAGTTTCCCGCAAAAGATGCTGCGGACGACGATGGATGTGGATTGCCCGACCTGGCTGGACTTCTTTCACGGTGGTCTGCAGTTTCAGGCGATTCACCATTTGTTTCCGAGGATTCCGAGGCATAACCTGAGGAAGACGCAGAGGTTGGTGCAGGAGTTTTGCGATGAGGTCGGGATTCCGTATGCGCTCTTTGGGTTTGTGGATGGGAACAAGGAGGTGATTGGGAGGTTGGGGGAGGTGGCGAGGCAGGCGGCTATTTTGAAGAAGTGTCAGGGGGTTATGATTGGGGAGGGGGAGGGTGGAGGGGCATCATCATCATCATCATCACTAAGGGGGGAAGATGAGTAGAAAGGGATGAGGTGTGGGAAGGAGTGTGCGGTTGTATATAGCTGGAAGGTTAGCTGTAGTGATAACCCTCAAAAGTTGACCTTATTCTATAGACTAGAACTTTTGATTCCTCTTGGATAGGTGTGTGAAGAGTGAGGGGACATGAGGCAGTCCTTTTTGGCCCACCGTTAGATCTCTTGCGTGATTCGAACCAAGATCAAGGAATAGTCACGAGGCTCTTCCTTCTGCAAGCCAACGAGGAGCCATCCTTTTATAATGAGATCGCCGAGGTTCTTCAGGTCGCCGCTCACAGTGCGTGATAGCCAAGGGACTACTGTGATGGGGGGGGTGATGGGGGGGATTCTTGGGTTACAGAAAACGAGCCAGGGCCCTGGATCAGCCCCCCATCTTGCCGCCTCTTGCATGCAGATAATGCAGTAGCTCCAAGGGACACGGACCAAGATCCGCAGAACCCAATCCTACCCTGGTACTTGAGATTCCGACATCATGACCCGTACCCCAATTCTTGCGCGCAAGTTGGCGAGGCAAGCTGTCAGGTAATGGCGTGGTTGGCGGTGGTCGAGTGCCCTGGCTCGCTCTTATTTGGCTGTTTCATCATGGTTCACCGAGATTTAAGAAATCGATGGAGGAAGAGCTGCTGAAGGGGGGCGTTGGTTTCCTTTGCTCCTCTAGGACAGCTACCGTAGCTTCGGTCTCTGGTGATTAATACTCCACTCTTTTGTTTGCTTTTTTTCTTTATTTTTCTGGCCGAACGAATGAGATTCTCCGGTTCTGGTGCCGTGGGCCTTGCTGCATGTTTTCGTTCCCATCATTAAAGCCAACTGATGAGTCGGGGAGCGTGGTCGAGGTCGAACCGGCTGCCGACATTGTGCTCTCGTCAGGTTTACGAACACGGCCTGGGCAGACACCTAATAAACTAACTGACCAAAAGAAGCAACACCAATGAACAGATTGTCATAAGATGTTTCGCATCTGGGTCGAGTTTGCGAGCTGGGGGGGTGAGGGGGAAGTGTGCTCCCAGCAATCCGGAAATACAAGACTTGAAAAATGCACGTCACAGACAGTCTACCCTGTCTTTTTACCTAAGATCCTCCCCGCGGGACTGGGGAGAAACGAGTGTAAGCCTGGGTGTGAGTGATAGCGGAGGGCACTAACTACCCTGGTTACAACCGCATCTCGGTCTCCCCCGCCTCTCGCTTCTCACCAACAAACCTCGTAAGCCAAGCAGTCTCAAGTGTGAGAAGTGGTGCCATGTTGGGCCATGCCGGGGCCCTAGTTTATGTTTTCTTTTGAGATAGTGAGAAAACACAAAAGAAATTGGCTAGATACGTCAGGACACGACATGGGTTTCACTTTGCTTGTCGATGGTTGCTTCTCGATGGATCGATGCCGGCAGCCTTCCGCCAGTGTCCCCATGTCGTGTCGTGCATAGGCTTCATTCCACTTGTTTTTGCGGGCGTCTCCGATTGTTTATCTCTGCTTGCCCCCAGTTTTTCATTAGCCACTATCCCCGAAGGCAAACCGATTTTGATAGTCCAAGACCACACACACACGCACACACACACACACACAGACACACCCGGGCACACACACCATGCCACTTACCTACTCAGATGACCATTGCGATCGTTGTAACTCACTGCTACTGCTGAGGAAGAAGAAGTATATGAAAAAAAGCAATGTGACCGAGGAATTTGGTCAGTCGTGGTACCCTGTATGAATGGGGGATATATCTTTGTGCCCTCCCTCCCTCCCTTCTCTGTCAGGTTTGAAGGGTTTTCTTGAGCAAGCAAGCTTGCGAGTTTTATTATACCTACGGTTCTTACCTACTACATACAACGAGACTGTGCTAGCAGTTCAGTTGACACTCTCAACGCCAGAAGTCTTAATCACTGCTACATCATCATCATCATCATCATCCTACCCGCCTTACACACCCGCCTACCTACATACACCCAGCCTTTTCTCCTTTTCAAATCAGCATCACCATTGTTGTATCTCACTTCCTCATTACGATTCCGCAAAGTTCTAAAGATGGGTAAGAGAAAGATGGACGAAGCCGCAGCCGAGCGGATCCGGGCAGCAAGAGGTGACAAGGTGGGTGGTAGCCTCTTCCCCATTTCACTCGATGCCATGTGGATGCTCACCATGTCCAAAACAGGACCCCTTCGCCAGACGGGCAGCAACCACGGTGCGGCAAAGCAAGCAGGGCGGCGAATCATCATCGGGCAAGAAAGATGGAAGCAGCAGCAAGGATGGCAAGAGTGAGGGGAGTGGTAGCAAGGGGACTAGTTCCTCAAATTGGAGGACATAGGTCGATGGAGGGGGTATGGGGAAGAATGTCATGAGACATGACAAGGGGTTGGTGAAAAGACATGATGGGCTAGAATACTGAAGATTTCAAGGTTGCTGCTACTCCGAACATGCTGTTAACGTCTCCTTACAGGGAATGATATGCAGGTTGATGTGAAAGTAGATAAGATCTCTGCAAGATGATCTTACGTTTCCGATGTGTAAGAGTTTTAGTTGCTGGAACAGGTTTATGGCTATGGAAATTTGCACCACACACATTTACATTGACAGCTGGTATCAACCACCCCCACTTGGAGGGAGCGTTCGTTGCGTGGCTACCCCGGAGCCGAGGCATTCTTTAGGAGTATCTGTATGGCTGATTCCTCGTGGAATGTTCGGAGCGTCAGCCTCCCTTGGGCGGCCTCATGCTCGTCCGAACTAGATATGTTGCTGACAACCATGAAACTCGAACGGCATGAGACATTTTCTCGCCCATGAAGAGGCTGGCTGGCTGGCTTGGCTGGATAAGGTATGATGTCTTAACAACGTGGCCATGACGGGTACAGCTGGTGGATGATAGGTCAAGCTCACAGCGTGTCGTTGCTTCTTTTCTGCCGACTGACCCCCCTGTCAGCCACGTCTCTTCACGCCCCATGTTGTTGGAGAAGGTAAAGAAGCAAATGATGAACACAACGCGTGCCCGATAGCTTCTCTATGTGCTCGTTGAAGAGCAGAAAGTACTGGAGTGATGTAACGAGAGGTTACAGTAGACTCGAAGAAGGGGTCAGGCTTCTTTTGGTAAGCCGCAAGATGACACCCGACACATGGAAATGGCGTACATCCAGCCCTGGAGTACAACATAGGGTGGAACAACTGAGGACCGGTGAGCAAGCCATCGACCTCTTGTAGCAGCCCTTGGCTTATACAAGAATGCACAGAAGCAGAGCGAGGGTGATACCACTGCAGCCAGTCCAGCGCCCCTTCCACATGCCCAAGAGCTTGGCATCAGATGCTGTGTCCGAGGCCAACCATCAGCGGGGACTCGATGGTGAATCGGATGGGAGTCCATACGCCCTTGAAGGGGGTGGTGGCGTACATCTGATCCTCCTAGTACAGCAAATGTGCCGGGCACACAGTGCATCGTTGAACCAGCGAGTTGTTCAGGGGACGATCCGATCTCTGAATGTCAACTCGTGCAGTGGAAGGCTACACCAGTGAAATATGCTATGAGTAACAGAACTGAATACAAGGTAGATATGCATATATAAAAGACTCGTGATACTGGTGCCATGGGTAGTTGCGTAGCGGATCTCCTAGCTATCAATCAGCATATGGTGGTGGCCTAGTTCAAGAGCAGGAGAAGCAATCATGTCCCAAGTTAAGGAATGACACGTGCCCTAAACAAGGAGAAGATAGGTTGTCAGTGGTTGGTGGTGGTCGAGTATGTCCTCAGACGTGGGATGGGAAAGCCTTCCAACCAAATCATCAGAGGCGGACATCGTTCCACAACAGTAAAGCTACTGTTCACTGAAGCAACAGACAGTTTGTTTGGAAACCGAGTAGACAAACAAACACCTCACGTGTGAGGTCCTCGCTGCCCGCCGACCTCCTGTAGCGCTGCACTGCAGCGACGGCGAGTACCAAGATTGAAGGGCAGATGGTTGACAGAAACTGTGTTAAGAGCTCCTTACACAAGTGAAGGATGGGCACAGTGCGAAAGACTGCCTAACCCCATCAGCCCCGCCAAACGATTGCAGGCTGGATCCCTGTCCACCACGACTGTCACCTTTAACCCTCTTGGGAAACCACAGCCTCCACTCCCCGCCCCTCGAACCCTTTGAAGCAGCACTCGCGGGCAGCATCCCCGTCGAGCCTCCCACCATCCACCACCACCAACCAACTTACACCGACCGCATCTCTGTATCGCCCATCTGTCCATCTCGCTATCTTGTCGGCATATTCCACATTTCGAGTAGAAAGGAGTCCGGTGTAGTAGTATTGCCTGATACCCTAACAGACCAAACCGCTCTGTTCGACACTCATCAAAGCCCAATCTCAGTCTCCAGTAACGGTCAAAGTTACCCCACGTCAGGAGCGGGAAGCACTCAGAGTGAACGCATTCCGTCATCGAGGCTCGGCTCGGAAGACGCCGAATTCGTCAACCACACAACAGGTCCGTCTCGGCAGACCAAGCTTCCCATTCGGATCCGGACTCCGGGCAGACCATCCGAGTTGTGCTCCCGTGTTCACCACGTGAATCGGGCAGCCTTCTCGTCAAAGCCCCGCTCCTGGTTCATCTCCCTACAACAGCATGCCCGAGTAGCCAGGCCCCAAAGGAATCCTGTCCTCGAGAACCGGCGTGATGGATCCCACCATCCAGCGCGCCCTGAACGACAAGCTCTATGATAAGCGCAAGGTTGGCGCTCTCGAGTATGTTTTTTTTTTTTTTTTTTTTCATATCTACATCGCATTGCATACACAGCTGCATACCCGGGCCCGCCCAGGCTGCAGGCAAACAGCCTCTTTCCCCTCCACCTTGCCCCTGATTCGATAATGGCTTCCTTCACATGACAAAGGATGAATGTAACTTACATCTAACTCTCACACAGTCTTGAGCGCGTCATTCGCGAGGTAGTTGCCAAACAGGATAACGCCAGAATTGAGGCCATTCTCGACCAGCTGTGCAACGACTATGCCTACGCTGTCCACCAGCCCCATGCCCGCAACGGTGGGTTGATCGGCCTGGCCGCTGCTGCCATTGCCTTGGGTTCTGTATGTTCTTGTCTTCCCTCCTCTTCTCTGATATTCCCCTACCGTCACACCATTTGGGTGGCATGACGCCTACGTGCTACCGACCTCTTGCTTACCCGTGACCGTCCTTCGGTTTGCTACGAACAGGAACTCGCCAGATACCTTGAGGTCATTGTGCCACCGGTCCTAGCCTGCTTCACAGACCAGGATGCACGAGTCCGATACTATGCCTGCGAGGCCATGTATAACATTGCCAAGGTCGCAAAGGGCGAAATCCTCATCTATTTCAACCACATCTTCGATGCCCTCTGCAAGGTAGGCAGTCTCACTTGTTCTCCTTTTTCCCGCATACCCTTGTCTCACTATCTCTCTCGACACCTCTAGCTTGGTGCCGACTCGGAACTGTCAGTCAAGAACGGTGCCGAGTTGCTCGATCGTCTCATCAAAGATATCGTCTCAGAATCAGCAGCAACCTACGTTTCTGTCTTGGAGCAGCCGCCGCCATACCAAGAGGACGATAAGGACGTTCTGGATGACACGAATGAACTGCCAACGGCCTTCTCCCTGAAGAAGTTTATACCACTTCTTCGTGACCGCATTTATGCCATCAACCCTTTCACACGGACCTTTCTTGTGGGCTGGATTATTCTCCTGGACTCTATTCCAGACCTGGAGCTTGTCACTTTCCTGCCTGAATTTCTCGGAGGCCTGTTGCGATTCCTGAGTGACCCCAACCGGGACGTTCACGTGGCGACGCAGGGCTGCTTGGACAAGTTCCTCAACGAGATCAAGAGGATCGCCCGCATCAAGAAGGGGATCGCCGAGAGCAAAAAGTCAAAGGGCGAGGGCAAACGGAAAAGAGAGGACTCGGTTGAGAGCGGGAGCATACGCCCCACTCTCGAAGAAGGCGACGAGGTGGATTCCGAAACGGCAGCCGACGACGATGAGCTGGATAGCGAGGATGACTGGGTTCCAGGCCAAGACGTGCAGATCAACCACAAGGCGATCCTGGAGATTCTGACTGCCACACTTGACTCACCGCTGGGTAAGCCGCCCTTCGACAACGGTCGCCAAAAGACTGCTAATCTCACCCCGAATCCAGAAGAAGACGGACTGCTGGAGTCGCTCCGCTGGATTGTCGAATTTCTTGACATCTGCCCGGAGGAGGTACTCCCGTTTACTCCCAAGATTCTAGCTCATCTCTTGCCAGCAATGGCCAGTGGGGTTGAGTCAATTCGCCAGGCTGCCGCCAGGGTCAACACGTCACTGATGGACTATGTCGTCTCACTCTCTGACGATGCTGAGCTCGCAACCATTCCGCACCAGCTGTCTAGGATGCCGCACGGCGATCGCCAGGACGGAACCACAAGCGCCCGGGCATCCCTTTCCAGCTCGAGAGAGCTTGAGATACGAAGTCCCACGCCGGCCACGGGCAAGCCTCTTCCACGGACTCCAACCCCGGGCACGTCTGGCGCTTTGCAACCACAAGCAGATCTTGATTATGCCGCTGCGGTAAACTCACTAACCCTGCTGTTTTTGAACGACCACGAAGCCACCCGTGTCGCTGCCCTCACGTGGCTCATCATGTTGCACCGCAAAGCACCCAGAAAAGTGCTGGCGTTTAACGATGGCACCTTCCCTGCACTTCTCAAGACACTCTCTGACCCAGCCGAAACAGTCGTCACCAAAGATTTGCAACTACTTTCACAGATATCAAGGAATAGCGAAGACGACTATTTCACCAATTTTATGGTAAACTTGCTGCAGCTGTTCTCAACGGACCGGAAGCTTCTCGAGACAAGAGGAAACCTGATAATTCGCCAGCTTTGTACCAGCCTCAGCGCGGAACGGATATACCGGACGCTTGCGGACTGTATCGAGAAGGAGGAGGATGTGGAGTTTGCTAGTATCATGGTCCAGAACTTGAACAACAACTTGATCACGGCACCAGAGTTGGCAGAACTGAGGAAGCGGTTGAGGAATCTGGAGACGAAGGTTTGTGCCGAATTTGTTGAATGCGTCGAGAAGCTACTAACTATGACTACAGGATGGACAAACATTCTTCGTGGCGCTCTTTCGATCGTGGTGCTATAACGCTGTGGCAACGTTCTCGCTTTGTCTATTGGCGCAGGCGTATGAGCAGGCATATAACCTCCTACAAATCTTGTATGCTTCTCCCTCTGCGCAGTGAAAGTGTGTCTACTAACCTTACAACAGTGCCGAGCTTGAAATGACAGTCAACATCCTCATTCAGATTGACAAGTTGGTGCAGCTCCTGGAGTCGCCGGTCTTTACATGTATGTCTGATCTTCCCTCAGCGTGTGGAATGGTAAATGGTGCTGACAGTTTGCCCAAACAGACCTTCGTCTCCAGCTTTTGGAGCCAGAGAAATACCCGCATCTGTACAAGTGCTTGTATGGCCTTCTTATGCTTCTTCCGCAATCATCGGCCTTTGCGGCTCTCAAAAACCGGTTGAACAGTGTTAGTTCCATTGGGTATCTGCATATTGCGCCGAGACCGTACGTCCCACCTCATGCCTGTTGACAGTATCACTTACTAACATGATGTTTGCAGCAACGCAACAACACCGTCGGTGCCCTCATTTGATCGCCCCAACCGATTGAAGGGCCGGGAAGAAGGCATCATCCGTTGGGCTGAGCTCTTGGAGAAGTTCCGGACGGTGCAAGAAAGGGCAAGGCGTCTACAAAGGCTGGGCGCAGACACGGATGATTCTCCGTTTGGAGTAGGAGATCTTAGGATAGGTGGGGGCGATGGAACCGGGGACATGAAGCCGGCGACAGGAAGAGAAGGCGGCGGTACAGGGCCTTCTCGGAATGCAGGAGGGGGTGGTAGGGACTCTCCGGCCGGCGGAACGAATAACGCGAACTCGGCACCGGCGAAACCGGAACCGCCGCCAAAGACCAGGACTGGACTGGGGAGACAGCTGGGGAGGTTTGGGGTGGCTGGGCGAGGCAAGCGGAACCCCTGATCCGAATCTCTTGTTGCAAGTTGTTTGCCCCGCATCAACACCCAGCACTACCTGCCTGTCCTTTTGGAACCCGTTTTTGGTTGTCAATTTTGTTTTGAAGCGAGCAGGCGAGCGCGCGAGTTTGGTTGATGGCTTTGACTGCTTGGTGCTTGATTTACATGATTTTTTGGTTTTGGGGTTTATTGTTTTTTTATTGCATAGCAAAGTTGGCCTCGTTTTGTTTACTTTATATCATGCATGCCTTGGTTTGGCCTTTTTTTTTTTTTTTTTTTTTTTTGGTCCCCTTCTATACTTGGTCCGTCCTGCCTTTTTGCTTGCTCAGTGCCACACAACAAAAGAAGACAAAAACATTCAGCGACCAAAGCTCAAGTGATGATATCCTTCTAACAGGTACAATCTATCTCTAGATCATCAGCCAACAACGCAAACAACCCAGTCCCAAGTGACCCAACCCGCCAGACCCCCATCATCACAGCAACAGGATGCTAGTCAAGAAGAGCGCAGTCATCGTCGGACAGCGACTGAACAGAAACACGATTACAAACGCTCGCAAAGCCAGACCCGAGCCCGTAGTCAGACTCGTCAGCCGCCGAATCCGATACCTGTACAGCAAGCACGGAATCAGAGCCGGACGCGGGATTCGGCTGTTCAGAGCGGCGGAGGAGGAGGAGGAGGGAGTTCAAGCAGGAGCTTGAGCCTGACGCGCCACCCGAGCTCGGTCAGGAGCCAGAGTCAAGGGGCTACGACGAGGAGTTACAACCAGCATAACCTCGGGAGGAAGGCGAGTCAGTTTTACAGTCAGGGGTTTGGGGAGGCGGGCGTGGGGATCAAGGAGGAGAAGGAGATGGAGGAGAGGGTAGAGGGGGAGGAGGAGGTTGAGGCTGGGGCGAGGAAGGGTAGTCTTGTGAGTGGTAATGGAGGAGAGGGGGGGGATGTTGGGAGGAAGAGCAGTCTTGCGAGTAGTACTAACGCTGGGAAGAGTGGTGAGGGGGTCAAGACGGATAATGGTGTTGATGGGGTTGTTGGGGATGGCGGGAGGAGGATGGTGAGTACGGCTAGTTCCAGTGGGGGTAAGGAGAGGGGAAGTATCAGGTGGGCGGTGAAGGATAGTAATGGGAAGGAGATTGAAGGGGGTAAAAATGGGGTTAAAGAGGGGAAGAATGATGATGGGTGGAAGAATGTCAAGAGTGCTAATGGGATATCAGTTGGGAGTGTCAAGGGGAGGAATAGTGCCGAGGTGGTAAAGGATGTCACTGGAGATGGCAAAGCTGCCAAGAATGGCACAGGGGCTGTTGCTGCGGAAGGGAAAAGCGGAGGAAAACCTGAGAATGGAAACGGAGACACATGAATCTGAGAATCAATGAGGAATGACGGGATTTTGGTGCACATGGAGGGTCGTCGTCGCAGTGTCGAATAGTTATGAGACGTTGAAATAGAGCTGAATTTTGGCCGACAAAGGCATTCAATAATGCCAATCTCGTATCACCTCCTCCCAATTGTTCCGCTCCTCCCCTTCTTTGGCGTCTCTCTTTCCACCAACCCCTCAAACACACTATCCCTCCTCTCCGTCACCCTCGTCAATTCAATCCTCAGATTCTCCAACTCTTCCCTCGCAGCGTCAATATCATGCGGCAATCCAGCAAACCCAGCCAGCTGGGCATCTAATTCCTTCTTCTGCTGCAACAACCCCAGATACGCCTGCTCTTGGGCGTGAATCTCCTGAATGCTTACACTCTGATCTCTATCAGCGGATGGATTGGGGGATGCATGCGCAGACAGTTCCTGAACACGGGCCGCAAGGGTCTTGATCCGGCGCTGAGCAGCCAGGTTTGACTTTGCGAGCGAGGGATGGGGGTGGTAGCCCTCGCTTTTCTTGGTGGCTGTGTTGCTGTTGTCGTCAAGGTTATTATTGTTGTTTTCTTCTTCCGAATGTGACGACGATGGTCGAGGGCGGGCGTCGATTTCGGATGATAACTTTGAGAGCGCCTCTGACTCGGAGGAGATGTACGAAGTCAAGACGTCGATTCTGGCGAGGGTTTGTTCTAGCTCTGCCAGTTGAGATTGGAGGGACAAGAGCTCTGATGCTAAAGAGACTGGGTTGGGGGAGGGGGGGGAGTTGAGTTGGAGGGAGAGTTGGGCGAGGGAGGTTAGGGCTGTTGAGCCTTCACGGGTGAGTGAGTCCTCGAGAGAGGTGAGAATGGATTCACGGCTTGTGGTGAGGAGGTCGTCTTTGGGTTGGTGTTTTTGGAGTTGGGCGAGGGTCTCGGACTCGAAACGGAGAAGCAAAGCACGCTCCTCGTCTGCGGCTTCGTTGGCAGCAGCGAGGGCCAGGAGGGCTTTGAGGGTGTCGGCATTGCGCTCGAATGGTGGAGGGGGGCGGTTGGAGGGGAATTTGCGGGCGAGCCAGGTGTCGATGTATGACCAGTCTTTGGCTGCGGAGGCGGCTGCGCGGGCGATGGATGGTGAGAAGATGGCGGTGTGGTTCAGAAGGTGAGCCATTGTGTAAGTGAGTGTGAGATGAGGTGTGAGCGGGGAATGTGTGATCATTTGGTGTGTGTCAAACTTCTATGATGGGTTTCATGGTTTCAGAAATATGCAGTCTTGAAAGTCATAGAACCAGACGATTCATGGATTTTAAACGTTTCATCTCATCCCATGTGGTGAGCTTGAAGGGTGTCGTTGATGGGAGCCAAGACACCGGCAGACGTTAGGTGGGCTTGGTGGGCTGGTGGGGCGCTTCTTGCCGGCTTTGACATACCCACTATCACGGGAAGCTTCTTATTGGCTGGTAACTGCTAAAGTAAACAAACTCCGGAGGTTCCTTGCAGGGGTGCTTCCCGACACGTCCAAAGATAATTCTGGACGCGACTTCCTCACAAGCCCATGCGCATGCCTTGCTCTTAATCGACAATTCCTCGGACTCCAGCCTGCTGCTGTCCCCCGCTCTCAGCATTTTGCCTTATTTTTTTTGTTCGTTGCGCAGCATTTACCACCCATGACGGCGACGGCCTGACAGCAGCATTTATTGTTGTTTTTGTGTGTTTTTTTGGCCATTTTATTCTCCACAGCAGCCCCGAGACTTTGCGATCGATAATCCGTTTGATTTACCCCCCCATCGCCATGGTGCAGCCAGGCATTGGCGGTCTCGACACGCCACGAACCAACATTGGAGACGCGACATACCTTGGACGCCAGCCAGACTTTGACCTCTCCCAAGAACTGTCAGATTTCCAGTCACCATCCAAAGACGCGAATTTATTACAACAGCTCCGTAATGGCGGCCGACCGACCCTCAAGACCCCGCGCGGTGGTCGAGGTCCTCTGAGGGATCGACAAAACCTCCCCGGATTTGGAGGCAACGAGTTCACCCCCCTCCTCAAGTCTGCGACCCGAAACAGTGCCAGAAGGTATGGCGCTGGCAAGGAAAATGGGCTGGGCCGGGCCTCGACTCTCAACTTCCTCAACAGAATCGACGAAGATATGACGCCTCTGCCCGCCGGCGAGACTAGCATGTACCTTGGCTCTCGGAACACGTCGTCGATCGAACACACGCCTCTCCCCGAAGTGGACAGTAGTAGTGTTGCATCCACTCCGCTGGTCATGAGGCGGCGCGACAACAGTGGCAAGGGCCCACTCGAAGACGGCAACCAGCTCTCGTTGCGTGAGCAAGAAAACGTGATCGACAGGATAGAAAAGGAGAACTTTGGCCTCAAGCTCAAGATTCACTTTTTGGAGGAGGCGTTGCGCAAGGCCGGGCCGGGATTCAGTGAAGCCGCTCTCAAGGAGAACACGGAGCTCAAAGTCGACAAGGTCACCATGCAACGAGAGCTCCAACGGTACAAGAAACATCTTACTTCAGCCGAGAAGGACCTCGAGACATACCGACAACAGATTGTCGAGGTACAAGAAAAAGCAAAAAAGAAGTATGCCACCGAGGATCAAGGTGCCGAGCTGGAGCGACTTAGGCAGGCGCTGGAAGACAAGGAGACCGAGGTGGATAAACTTCAGAGGCAGATAGAGGAGGAACAAAAGGAGCAGGACAAGCTAGGGAATTTGCAGGACGAAATCACCGACCTTGAACATGACCTTCGAAGAAAAGACGACGTCATTACACAGCAGGAGGACGAGATTGAGGATCTGAAAGACAAGGTGACCGAGTTTGAGGAGAAGCTTAAGGAGACACAACGGCGCATGCTGGAGATGGAGGAAAAGGCAAAAGACTCGGACCGTCTTCACGAGGCCAAGGACACCATCGAAGATCTAGAACACAACGTACGGCGGCTGGAACAGCAAGTCGATGATATGAAGGACAAACTTCAGGACGCAGTGGCCGAAAAAGAACGAGCCGAGAATGACCTGGAGGAGCTGCAAGAAGAAATGGCAAACAAGTCTGTAGTAACCAAGGGTCTCTCTCGTCAAGTGGAAGAAAAGGTGTCGCGCCTGCAGGCTGAAGTCGATAAAGCTCGACAGGAGTGCGCCGTCGTGGCGGAGGAACGTGAGGTTCAGCAAAGGGAGATGGAGACCCTGCGGGCAAAGCTCAAGGAGGCTCGTGAGGAGCGCGATTCTGCTGAACGTCTTCGTCTAGCCATCGAGGGCCAGTTGAACGAGGAGCAGGGGTCACAACGAAAAGAGTTTGATGAGCTCCGGATGCAGCTCAAATCGGCACGACAGGAGCGAGACGATGCCGAGCGAATCCGCCTATCTCTTGAGGCGAAACTGGACCAGGCACAGGCCGACCTCAACATGCGCGCCGACGAAAAGAATCTCCTTCAGACCCGTCATGATGCCCTGACCAATGAATCTGTTTCTCTCCTAGGGGAAGTCCAAAGTCTCCAGAAAGCGGTGGAGGAGCTCGAGGAAAGTTTGGAACGGGAACAGCAGCATGCTCTTAACATGGAGCGCGATATCCAGAGCCAGTATAAGGACGAAATCGACCGCTTGAACGATGAGATCTCCGACCTCCAGGCCGAATGCCGCGAAAAGGATAACCTGTACGACAATGACAGCGAAAAATGGGAAACGGAGCGTCATCAACTCCAGGCAGAAAAACAGCGGGCCGAGGAGCGGGCTGCTGGTCTCCAGAAGACCATCGACAAGCTACGGGACACCGAGGGTGCTTTGTCGAGCAAAGAATCAAAGCTTCAAGAAGCTCTACAAAGCGAGACAGAACGCCACAAGAAAGATGAGCTGCTTTTGAAGGTGCAGATTGAACAGCTCCGTTCAGACCTCAATGCCAGACAGTCCATGCTGGAGGAGCTTCGCCACGAACTATCTGCTGTCAAGGATGAGCTCCGGCAATCTCAGTTGGATTGCCAAGCGCAGCAGGAAAAGATAGAAGCACTCGAGGATGAGGTTGAAGTTTTGCAGGTCACCATCGATGAAGAGTCGGAGAGGGCACGCGTCGAACTGGAACAACACCAAGATGAATGTGATCAACTAAGGCACGAGATCAACTTGCTCCAGATAAAGGCCGATTCCGCTCAGGCATCTTCCCCCACGACCCGAGAGTCTACAAAGCAGACAAATGACAATGTGGCACGCCTCAAGTTCCAGCTTGCCGATGCTACGGAGAAGGTATCCCAGCTCACAAAGGAGCGGAGGACCCTTCAGGAGCGTTCTACAACTCTGGACGCCGAGCTCCGATCTGTCCGGGCGGCTCTTGAGGAGACGAGAGCGGAGCGTGATGAATTGGAGGCCCAAATCAACGGTCTCAAAGGGCAACAGGGTGCAGACACTTTCAAGATCGACCAAGAGAGACTGGACCTCCGTGTCACCAGGACAAAGTTGGAAGCCGAATTACGCCGCTTGAAAGAGGAAAACAAGGCCTTGGCAGAGCGGAAGCAAGAGGTGGAAAGATCTTTGGAAAGTGAGATTGAGAAGGCTGCAGCTGAGGAGGATCGCCTTGGAGATGAGATCCGCCAACTGCAGGCCAAGCTACGTCAGTCTACAGACAGCCAGGAGCTTGCCAGCCTTCGCCGAACCATCCGTGAGATGGAGCGCCGTGTACAAGACTACGAAACCCAGCTTGCCGCTCCACAGTTGCCAGCTCAGGGACTTGATGGTAACAGTGAACTCTCGTTCCTCCAAAAAGAGCTCTCGGCAGCAAGGAAGAAGGAAATTGAGCAGCTCAAGTCGGAGGCCTCGCAAAAGGATACCATCAAGTCACTCAAGCGGCAAATCTCCGAACTAGAACGGAAGGCTCATGAAGCAGAGATCAAAAGGTTTGCCTCTTCGCCCTCTTCACAGGGCGGTTCCGCCCAGAAGAGTGAGATATCAGAACTCCGTCACCAACTCTCCACGGCCGCTCAGTCAGTACACGATCTCAAGAAAGCTCTGCGAGAAGCCGAACGCAAGGCCGAGGCCTCTGCTCGTGAGCTAGCGACCCAGCTTGAAGAGATCGAAGACGAGAAACTTCTCCTTGAGCAAGCGCTTGATGACGCCCAACTCGCCGCGGAAGAGTCGGCTGCTGCCCATGAAGAAGCCCTCAAGAAGCACAAGGCCAAGATGGAGAGATACAAGAGTGAACGTGATCAACTGGCCGCTGCCATTCGTGAGCAGCAGCACTTGAACGGCAATGACACCAATCACAGCGAAATGTCTCTCGAGGAGCGCCGTGACTTGCACAAGATGCTCCGCGAGTCTCAGCTCACTGCCGACAAGCTTGATCGCGAATTGCGCGAGCACCGTGAGGCGTTGGATGAGCTTATGGATGTTGAGATCTCACTGCGGAAGAAGCTAGAACGGGCAAGGAATGAGAGGGCGGCCTACAGAACCAGCGCCGAGAAGCTCCAGAAGGATTTCAAGAAGCTCCAGGCCCAAAAGGACAAGGCTGTGGCGGAAGCAATGGCGGCTACCGAGGAGCGTGCTCTGGTTCGCGTTACTAAGGGTAGTGTGGACACTGACGCGATCATCAGAGCCGCCGAAGCTGCGGAGAGGAGGCATGAGAAGGAAATCAGGGGCATGGTCATGCAGATGGAGTGGCTCAAAGCCTGCTGGGACCGGGAGGCCAAGCTGAGGAAGGATGCGGCGTTTGCAAAGAAGTATCTGCTCCTGGAGGTGCAGATCAGGGATGCTTGGTACGTTTCCCCTCTGCTTGCTCTCTCACTGACGAATAATGCTAACAACAAAACAGCAACAAGGCTGACTTGGCGATCATCAACCGGATACGGGCTGAGCTTAACCCTTCGAATCGTAATGCTCTTTCCCAGCTGAGCTCTGTTAGACGGTCGTCAGGCCAATCACACCTGCCAAACGGTGACAGCAATGCCATGGTTCTTTACAAGCAACCAAAACCACCAGCAACAAGGCTGAAACGGGCTCTCACCGTTGTCAGATTCATGGTGCGGATGCAGATGGGTGCCAAGGATTGGCAGAAGCATGAGAAGGTCCGACAGAGGCTGGCAGACTGTGTCGAGGAGATGCAGAGAGAAGAGAGGATAAGGAGGATGAGGGATCAATGGAGGAAGCAGGTCAAGAAGACTACGAGTAGCCCGGCTGGTAAGGCTGTGCTGGGGTAGACTCCAGTTTTACTGTTTGGCTGTGAAGGGCAGGGTGGGGGGTTAAAAGTCGTTATGGTTATTTCATGTTTGGTTTTGCGGTGGCCTTGATGGAGCAAACGGATGGAATTCTTTTATACTTTCTTATACATCATCGATGGAGTACTGGATGGTTACTCTTCTACGGTTTTACGGGCTTGCACAAGATTATTGGCTGGGTCTATGGCTGGGTCTATGGCTGGGATGGGAAGAGATTGCATCAGTGACTGGTTTAGATACCTCGGCTTGATATTTACTGTGTGGGCGGGTCACTTTTATGGGAGTTTACTTTGTATCTTGAATTCAATGCTTTCTACATTCTCATACTCCAATATTGTTGTGTGTAAGACTGTCGAGAGTTGGAAAGGGGTTGGTCCTCGTCGGCCTTGCATGTGCACGGACCATATCACTTAAACCTTCCCTAACCCTCTCCAAAACCTTTCTTCACTCACTCTCAACTCATTTCCAGACTTTACATCCTCTCACCCATCGACTACATCAAACTGAAAGGACATATTCGAAATCCGGCTTCTTAAAATCTCTTAAATCCCAGAAAAGAATCTTCAAGCCAAAATGTCTTCTTCACTAGAACCCCAGCAGCAGCAAAAATCCCAAAAGCAAATCGACGCCAAGTTCACATCCTACTACCTCCAGCGCGCGACTCAAGAATTCGGGGAGGCCCTCGACGCGGTCCGCTCAGCCGATGACTTCAAGCCTGACTCTTCGATCGCCGTGTTGATCAGCGCGCTGCAGCAGGGGACTGGGATGTTTAGTGAGGAGGACAAGAGGGCTGTTATCTGCTCGGAGGGCGCGGTGAGGTCGTCGAAGTAGACTTTTCAGCACATGGAAAATGGAATTTGGATGGTCTTAATCTACTATATGGGAGGAAATGAGGAACGGCGTGTGGATACAGCGGTCCGGAGGAGAGAGGGCGGGTTTCTGAGTTTACACGGCGGTTAGTCGGGGGAAGCTACGTAGATGACGATGGGCTCTAAAACGGCACATATGTCATTCGATTTGGTGAGCTACCTAAGAAATGGCTTGCTTCCTAAAGAAAGGCTTGGGGGGAAGAGAGGACGGGATAGACGATTCAGTAAAAAGATACCCAGCAGTTTACACACCCATCATGCACACGGTGATGATAACAAACACTTTACTAGACAAATCTTGTCATCAACATCGATCCCATGCACAACATCCCATAACAACTGCCTGCCCCAGAGCATGTGCATATGCGCCCTCGGAAGAAAACACCTGCAGTGCCATACGTACTCCTAGAAATGCACACACATAGGCAAGTAACCGACCCGCCAGTTTCGTCCACGAGACAAGGCGTCCGGGACCCGGGTCGGCAGTTACATCTGGGTAGGTACCTTTACCAGGTAGATCAACTTCTTCGGGCAAAGCAGCCGCTCTCCGTTGAAGTGCCTCCATCTCACCATAAAATACAAGAACCTGCAAGCTGGTCACAACAATGAAATAACCCAACCCTTGACCGATACTCAAAAACAGAACGCATACTAAGTTAAACAGCCCCAACAACCAGACACCACGCATCATGGATAGTCACACACACACACAACCCAGCACAACACAAGACCTGAAACAAAAACATAGCACCTAACCTCAAGCAAGCACAACCCAATCCATTGTATTCTTTTCAAACTCCACCAATATATAAAAAAAAACAGAATCTGCAAAAGCGCGCAATGTAATATGTAATGTACCAAAGGGGTATATGTATGTGTTCTCTCCCAATCAATCAAAACTCGCCCGACAAAAACGCAGCACACACCAAAAGCAGTTGATAAAGTGAATTTCCGTTTCTCCCTTCCTCCCAACCCCTCCCCCCCCCTTCCACCAAAGTAGGTAACCGAGGACAACGGCCAATCTCTTTCCTCAAGTCCCTCCCAACAGGTGAATGAAAATACAAAAGTTAGGCTTCCCATTCACTCCCCAAAATCAAGCCCCATAGGTCGAAAACGATAACAATTAAACAAAATAAAAAGTGATAGGTATCCTTTATAACCCATGTGATATGTCATGGGTGTGGTGGCTCTGTGCGTGCGTGTGTGTGTGTGTGTGTGTGTGTGTGTGTGTGTGCGTAATGGAAAAAAAAAAAAAAAAAAAACCAAGACCAGACAAAAAAAAAAGTATATTTCCCAAGCCCGCCACCTCATATGTAACACCCATTAGATTAGTATCCCCGTTTCTTGTTCCTCTCCCGCGTTTCGCACGATAAGTAAAATCGTGGGTGACGTAGGTTAAAAAAGAAGGAAAAAGTGACAGGTCAAGGAAGCACAAAAGAATCTCGGCTGCTGCTCATGTTGTCGAGGGATCACCTCGTGACGATAACGGAAAAGCCGTCCACCCAGGAGCCGCAGCTGCCGGTGACACCGCAGATGTTGTAGCCTCTGGGGGGTATCAGTGTGTGGCTAATACAAAGCACAGTCGTCAGCTTGACACGGCTACACCAATTCAACAGCGAAGAAAGCGGACAACTTACGCATCGCCTCCGTGGGCATTACCAAACAATGGCGATCTTCTTCCCAAACTTGTCAAGACCTGAATAGCGTCCACCCAAAAGCCAGAGCGAACAAAAAAGCCGGTAATGTATTCACCACGGCGAATATCTAGATTGACCATGTTAGTGGCTGGCTAATCGAAAGAGACTGAGGGAACAAGAAACTCACCCATATCAAAAGTGTCTCCCCCTTCTTTTCCGCCTCTCTTGCCAAACAATTGTCTTGAATCGTCGTCATAAACAAACTCCAAGCCATCCACAGCCAAGCCGTGGTAAAAGATAATACGTGACAAGACCCGGTCTTGTCTCAAAGCACTGGTGAAGATAAATTCATGAGGCTGGCTACCTTCCAGCTGCGACGCTCCCAGCTTCTTGCCACGGTAGGCATTCTTGGGAATCCCAGGAAGAGCGCTTGGGAGTTTCAGACAAGACTTGGTCGAACAGAACTTGCTGTAGTCGTCAATATCCAATGAGCCACCGCCGTGGGACTTGATCGCCAGCTTGATGGTTCCCTTCCGCTTACCTTCGGGCAGTCGGCTTCGCAAGTCCTGCTCGCTCAGCGTGACTGACCGTTGGACACTGCCATTTTCGGCGGGGTACTCGATCCAACTGTGACACACGTCATCCCCTTCGCCAAAGATTTCGATGAACGACACACCCGTGGCTGCCATGACGGTCAGGCCATCTACCGGCCATGCCTGCACGCTGTCATCCGAATTCAGCACCATGTCGTTTGGCAGTCGGAAGCACGGATGGCTGCGAAAGCGTAGACAGTCCAGACGGTGCCAGGTGCACTCGTCCTCCTGTGTCACGGGACCGCCCTTGGACCGCGTTCGGGTCGAGTATGCTTCGCGGGAGACAAACGTACGATTCAGCGTAACGTAGTCCCTCAGCATGACCCCGCTCTCCTGGTGTGGCAAGCCAAAGAGGTGCCCGGTTTCGTGCATGTGGGCGCCGATTCCTATGTTGGCCGCCTCCCACGAGCTCCCGGCATCATTGCAGTCGTTGCCCACATGGTTCGTGTCTGTAGGCGTACAGTCGGTAAAAGCAGGGACAACCTCCTCGAAGCTCGTTGGGTAGCTCTGGAGGCAATGAGACCCAAACACACCCAGGTGCAGATCGCCAACATTTCCGCCCAGCGCAGCATGTCCCACGATTGTCTTGGAGGCCGTGTCCCAATGGGCATCGAGCAGGAGAACCGACACGTACAACTTTTGTCCGGGTAGCGGTTTGAAATAGTCGCGCACAGCGTCGGCGGCAATGCTATATAGGCCCCCTGAGTCGGATGCATTAGGATTCTGCTGTGCCCTGTTCAGATCCCGTAGCTCTGCCAGTGTTTTGTCGGTTCGGATGACATGAACACGCGCCTCGGAGCGCATCGTCCCATTTTCCCTGTCTCGTTGGTTGACCGTGCCTGTCGTCCACTCCTCCTCAAACCTAAAAGTGCGACGGCCGAATTTGTTGCGCCACATCTGTTCCGCAGTAAAGGCTTGCCACAGGTACGCAGCCATGCGGAGCTTGCGGACCGCCGTGTCGAGGCCATTACCCTCCCTCTCGATCCTGGCCGGGACTGCATCGAACGTGCCTGGTGAATCCTTTGCCAACAGTATGGCAAGCTGCAGTGGTGGTGCAGCAACCGGAGGAATCATATGAACCGTCAGGTAGGAAGCGTGAATAGGGTTGGAAGATCCACTGTTGGCAAGCTTGGGGCTAGAGAAGTCAAAGCGCAGGCGATTGGCGCCGGGCATCATGTAAACAAGTGCCTTGAAGTGGGAGTTGCATACTGGCCACGAGACTGGAGGGAAGTTGTCGTCCAAGCGGCTCACAGTGACTGTCCCGTCAACCGACTGTTGAGAGGGGTCGCCAACTGTACCATAGACCAACAAAATCTTTTGATATGCCTAGTTCTATGTTAGTCTAGCTGTGCCGGACTGGGTTTCTCACATATGAACACCTACCCAGGAATTGTCTGGCACATTTGTGATCCGGGGCGAGTACTGGGACACCGGCAAACTTGGGCCCTTCCCGCCGTTTGAAACAGGTGACCCAAGACCTGCCATGCCTGATACGCTGTATCGGTTGCTGCCACCGTTGGGGTATGGCTGGGCTGATGGGCGTGAGAGACCGGCAGAGGACGGGGAGAGGAATTTGTCTGCCAATTGCAGATTCAAAGCGGGATCGGATTGCTGGCCGATCGATGGCGGCGTCGAGGACCCAGAAGTAGGAGTAGTACCGTTACTGGCGTCGCTAGACGTATCGGTCGATCGTTCGGTCCGGAAGCTTTGCCTGGACCGCCTCCGCAGTTCCTTAAAGTTGAAGAGGGACGGAGCCATGGCTGGAGCGAGGGATGCTAAGATGGGTAGTCTCCAAATTTCGATTCCAATTCCAGTTCTCCAACTCCAATTCCAACTACCAAGGGTCGAAGAAGCAAACGAATGTGATGCCGCAGCTCAAAAAAAAAAAAAATACCAATTGAAAATTGGAGAGAGGGAGATCTCGCACAGCTGCCCCGGGTCTCGCTCTGGTATACGAGAAAATCGAAAAAGAACGGGCTGCCAACGGTCAATGGATGGATCGTGGCGCAGATAGCGTGAGGGATGGGAGGAAGGTGGTGTAGGTGGGGGGTGGGGGGAAAGTTAGGTATTAAAGATGCGCCTGTGGTCGTCAGACGGTGCACTGTGCCTGCCCCCTAAATGGAAGATGGTGTAGGTAGGACGGGAAGCGGCCGTCAAGTGGCACAACAACAGCTCTCGGAACGGTTCTGGTGTACGATCTTCCTTTTCGCAATCTGATCTGTGTCGCGCACGCAGCGAAGATATCAGCGGCAGTTGAGGTGACAGCTGCTGGGTAGGTATTAGGGAATAGTGTAGTGTGTAGTAGGTAAAGCTTGGAATGTGTCAATGACGTAAGGTAGGTCTGCGATTGGTCGACGTCTGGGTGATTGGGCCAGCGATGCAACGAGACGACGGGACCGGATCCTGTCGACTGCTGTATCCGGAACAAGGCAGCTTTGCAACCACGAATTTGGGTCGGCGAGAAGCGATAGGATGGGAGAGCAGGAGGACGGATAAGACGGGGCAGGCGCTGTAAGAGCTGGTGAGAATCGGACAGCTCGTCCGAAATCAACAACCCGGCAGGAAACCGCCAGGGGCAGCAAGGGGGCTGAAAGGATGGCCACAATCCATCTGATTGCGTGAGCTTTTTGACCTCAATATCTCTTGGCGAGAAGCTGAAAGTGGAATTGATATGGGAAGTGGGCACTCTTGTTGACGACGCTTTCCACACTCCAAGACATCCAAGAGGATCCTGCCTCCACTCTTCTGAAGACCTCTTGGGTGCCATTCGAGATCGAAGCCAACCTGACAAGTTGGAAGAAGACCCATCGCAAAACAGGGAACGTCTCCCCACTCAAGATATCTCTCAACTCTGGCTCCCGTTGTCTGGCCGAAGCAGGGCCGCTGACAGGCCTGACAGCTCTTCGGTCAGTCGCCGAGACATGGTCCGGTAGGGAGAGGCAATGAGGCTCAAAGCGGCGGCGTGTTATGTATAAAAGAGTAAGATCATAAGATGCAGTTCGATTGTTGTTGAGCGAGCATTGATCCACACATGGACATGGTGGAGAGCTTCCGACTTCAGCTCGCATGCACTTCATGCAAGTACTTAGGGCTGTTTTTGTTTGCTACCGCCAGTCTACTATGATCGGATACTTGTTCCGGTGCTTTGTTCCGTGGGCTGAGGGCTGCAAAGGCACCGTCTTTGCTGCTCCGGTGATGCAACGGCGCACTAACCGGTTCCTCCATGAAACTTTTCTTTCTCTTCCAAACGTTCTCTCGCGACGAACCGACCCCTCGCTAAAAGAATTAAAGAAGTGTCAAAAAGCACACGACGGATATTTTCAGCCTGCCGTACCTGGGCCTAGCTGCCCATGGAACGTGGTTGGCTGTGGAGTCCCAACCGCCCCCTGATGCAAAAAGAGCCAAGACGCTGTCACCATATCGCAAACACTTATTATGATGTCGTAGCCCCGGACACCAGGTCGGCATCTTATGAATACCTTACATATAAGGAGCACAGGGCGACAAGGTCAGAGAATGGATAGGCTGATGGCGGCGGCTCCCGGGGTTTTGGGACACCATGTTGTGCATCCAATTGCGACATCCTTCTAGTAGACTTCGTCGATGATCTATCTGGATGATTAAAATTCGACTTCCAGATGCAGAACAAAAGGCTTCTTTTGGCGGGGATGAGGTGCAGGTGCCTGGCAAGGCACGAGGGGGTAGCCAGTGGTAACCGAACAAATTGGCGGGCCATAGCACCCCCTGGACCGCCCTGTGCCGCAGACACAGGAGGGCCAGTGCTCAGCTAATCTACCGGTTTCCACAGGAATGTGAATTTGCTGCTCCAACCTCTTTGACAAGTATCAACACTGCTATTAGTATCTGTTCCCTTTCTTCACTCAGATATCTCTCGATCCGCAGGCTGTCTTGTTACAGTCCTGCCCTTGTCATTTCTGCCATCTTGTACCTCCTCGACAGCGCACCAGGTACACACAGGCGTTTCATCCAGAATCTTGCTTGGTTGTCCCTTCTTCCTGTTCAACGGCAGCGCTTAGGCGCCTTGCGGTCTCAGGGGACCCCGTCCAGCCGAACCAGGCAGACCTCAAATCTCTGACCTTCCGCCAGTCCCACCCTCGACCACCAGATCTGTACCGAACTGCCTGCGTGCATGCAACCCGGCAACATGATGTCGTCGCCGTTGAAGATACATCCCGAGGAGGTTGCGGGCAAGGTGCTCAAGAGGGCTGAAATCAGCAAGGTATGTTCTAAGTACCCGGAAAGCGGCCTCCCTCCCTAGGTAGCTGACGGTGAGAAACTCAGATGGCCAGGAGACTGCAGAACCGCCTCGCTCTTGCCCAATTCAAAACGAAGCATGGGCTCGAAGACCTGACCCTCGATAAGATCGAGCCCAGGTTCGAGGACAGGATACGACGCAACCGCTATCCCGACGGTGACATCTTGTCCGACTCCTCTTCAAGCGCATCCGACCTCCCGTACCCCTCGAGAACATTGATGAGCTCCCCGCTCAAGGCGCCCATCTTTTCCGATGCTATCATGTCCAGCAATGGCAGCACCGGTCACCGAAAGCGCACATATGTCCCATCTTTTGATCACACCATGTCGAGTCCAAGCAAACGCTTTCGCCAATCCCCCACCGCCCACAGATCCTTCAGCCACCCCCTGTGGAAAGACTCTGAACACCAGCTCACTCAGTCATCACCCATGAAACCGAAGCGACAGCAACACTTCACCACCTCGGCCGGTCCCGATCTGTCGTTTTATGCAGGCTCCAAACAAATCAGCGACGTTTACGTTTCTACAAACTATGCCGCCAATTCCGATGACGATGATGACCTCCCCATCCAATCCTTCCAGGCCAGAAACAGCATCCGCATATCACCACCCCGAACCCCACCAATGCGCAGCCGCAGCCTCATGAAGAAGCCCAGAGACAGGCAATCAGCAGCGGACAATGACAACGCGGTGAACAACAAGATGGGCCAGGAAGGTGCCGACCTCTTGTTGTACCTCGCCGCCTCGCCCTCCCCGGCTCAACCCCGAACCAACAACCGGCTGATGGAGCCCCCCTCCACTCCACCACCAAAGAAGAACAACTTGGCGCTTCCATCCTCGATGATGACCACCCCGGGCGGAGGCAACCCCTTCCCCGCCACACCCGGCATGAACGCCTTCAACTTTGAAGACTTTGTGCACATGACGCCGAGCCCGGCGCAAAAGCCGTGGAAGACTCCGCTCGGAATGGGCGGCAGGACGCCGGCGAGTGTGGCGAGGAGAAGGCTTACGTTTGATGATACGACTGCTTGAGACACATTTGGGCCTCTAATGCTGGTGTTTATGTCCTTTTTTTTTTTTTACTTGTTGGTTTTTTCTTGATACCCTACTTTGCATCGACAAATTTGACCTGAATTTTTATTTATAAACAAATCCCCCCTGTTTATCACCACCCGCCCCTCCCCCCCCCTTTTTTTTTTTGGCTTGTCGTTTTTGAGCAAAGCAATGGAGTTTAGGGAGTTGGGATGCCTTTGCGTTTTCTGTTTTATTTTTATTTTTATATCATGTCATTACACTCTCAACCACCAAGAATAACAAACGCAAACAAATCTTGATCGGCAAAGTTTTTAATTATTACCCTTCGACCTCCACGCACTTTTACACACAAGTTTCTGCTTTTCTTTTGCTGCGCTGGGTTTTTTTCTTTTTCCTTTTTTTTTGGGAAATGATGGGATGGATGTATGGATGGGACAGAGGATTGATTCAAGGAGACTGGGAAAGAGAAATGATGGGTTTTTGGTGCATGAATGGCTGGTTGGCTTGGTTGGCTTGGTTGGTTGGCTTGGTTGGTTGGCTTGGTTGGTTGGCTTGGTTGGTTGGCTTGGCGAATGTTTTGTTGTATGTAGGGGAGTTGTAGCGGTGTGAATTTTGGGTTTGGAGCTAGGCTGGCTAGTGGTACTGTGCACGCGTTGTCTGTGTGTATGTGCGTGAATGTTGTTTGTATGTACAAATGTGTGTGCTCACATAGGCGGGAATCGAATTGAACTTGAAAGAGCATCTCTGAGTTTGATTTGCACCATTAGCGATGAACCAGTGAACGAAGAAAAAAGACGCGTTCACAGGATCGCTTTTTTTTTTTCTTTCAGCTTCCTGCGCGTGTTTGACTCGCGTTTTCACGCGGCATTTTCGCACCCATGAGACCCCTGCAGCGTGAACTTTCGTGTCTTGGATGTGCAAGAGGTGGGGTGGGTCGTGACGAGGGGTTAAAGTGCTTTTGGACCAACCGTCTTACACCTTTGCACACCCTCTTCTTCCAGAGGTGCATAATGTTTGGAATGGACAGGAACAAGGACAGCCAGTGACAATCAACTACCATCCTATTTTTATATACCCCATAACTTTTGATTCCCAGTCATGAACAGTAAAAAGCTTGAATCATAAGGGTATCCATCTATCCTAGGAGGAGTAGGCTGTGTGGCACGCTGTATCCCACCCACTTGACGATGACACCAAACACCGGTTGGCTATGCACACCTGTCAACGATGCTGACCCAATGAACTTGGCATATTCCTGCAGCTTAATCGCTGTCCTCATCATCCTCATCCTCATCATCCTCATCCTCATCATCCTCATCCTCATCACTATCCTCCTCATCCGCCTCCTCCAGCCAATCCACCAAAACCTTGCACCTCTCCTTGACAGTGGTCATCGTGTCACCCTCGGCAGCTCTCCTATCAGCCCACCAAGCGAGAATACCATCCTCCTCAAGCACATCCAAGGTGTAAAGCTGCTGAAGCAAAGCAGCAAGGAGTGTCCCAGCTCTACTAGGCTCAAGTCCCCTAACGCTCACCAGCCCCTTTTGCAGCGCAAGCGCAAACTCGGTTTGCTGCTTGACATCGTCACCACCAACACCGACATCCTTGATGAACTTAACGGCCCCGTTCTTGTCTTTGAGAACTCTCTCGGCAGCCTTGGCTGGTTCCAGACCACCATGCTCTGGGGTCAACATCTCGGCCGCACGCTTAGTAAACGCAACGGCAATAGCGCGGCGCATGGAGCTGTCTGAAGCGTTGTTAGCCAACCTAAGACCCATGAACTCCAGCTTGGCCGAGTCAAAGTCTGCATTGTCATCCCCCCGAAGAGCGTCCACCAAGCCATTGACTGCATCACCGTGGAAGGCGTCAGGTTTGGAGGCATCGTCAGAGGTAAATGATGACAGGCGCTCCCTCTGCCCATCACCAGCATGCAAGTATCCAGCATGCTCGTCATCCTCATCTGAGTCATAGTCGTCCTCTGATGCGAGCGTAGAGACAGATAATGTGGAGATGTTGAGGCCCTCGAGTGAGTAGATGAGGTTGTTTTGTAGCTGGGCTGGGTCTCCATCACCCTCATCATCAGAATCCGAATCTGAGTCGTCTGCCGTGACGCTGTAGACGGCACCCTTTCCACCCGGCCCCACAAGAGAAGCGTCGTTCTCAACGGGCTGACCGTTATCCGTCTTGGCGGAAATCCGCGCTGGTGGCTTTGTTGGCAGCCTGACATCTCTATCGATCTCCACATTATAGGAAATCAGGGACCCCTCTGGGATTTGCGCATTCGCCCCAATCTTGACACCACCTGCCAATATCGAGTGCGTAATGACGGCACCATCCTCAATGATGGAATCATCAAAGATGTAGCTGTCCTTGATCTTGACATTCTTGCCAACCTGACACCTCCTCCCAACAACGCTGCCCGAGATAACGCTCCCAGCCTTGATGGATGTGTCCTTACCAATGGCCGATTGTAACACCTTGCTCCCTCTTTCTACCAATACGCCCGACTCGACGAAAGAGTTGTTCTTGACCTTCTGGTATGATTGGTCGTGCATGAGGTTGCTGTCTGGCGCAAAGGGGAGCACCCATCGCTCGAGAATATCCTTGCTGATGCAATCGTACATCTGCAGGTTGCTGGCGCGGGCCGCGTACCCGTCCTCGAAGATCTCAGTGTAGATCAACTTGCCGTTTAGTTCCCAATCCTTCAGCACACCATGCAAAAAGTTTTTCCTCGGCAGCTCATAATCGAAACTCTCAGACCACAAGGCCAAGACATCGGGTGTGCAAATATCGATACCGCAGTCGATAAGGTCGCTTCGTAATTCGAAAGATCCGTGCTTGAATACTGAAGGGTCCAAAAGTAGTCGTCGGTCCTTCATTAATGGGTGGATCTCATCGTACTGCAAGCACCTGCCGTCTGTGTCATCGATAACAAAGACAGGCGTGATACCTCGAGCTTTGGCGGCTCTGTGAGGTTCCTCTCCAACGGAGCGCAAAACAACTGTCATGCAGGCATCGCGGTTCGCTTCCCTTCTCGCTCTGTGCTTGGCCAGGATGCCATCTAGCTGGATGTTGGCGACCAGGTCACCATGGACGAGAATGAAGTCGCCCGAGATCAAACTGCGCTTGTCCAGGTCGCGAAGAAAGTCGCCGACTGAGGTGGCGTCGGATACTCGGATGAACTCGAGGGAGGAGAAGGGGGAGATGGCGCTGTTGGGGCTCCATCGTGTGGACTCGTGGATGTATTGCTCGATGTCTTCGGAGTGTGTGCCGCAGTATATAAAGACCTCCTGTACGCCGTTCGAGGCAAGGAATTCGAGGGTATACTCGATGACTGGGATGTTGACCAAGGGGAGAAGACACTATGGATGGGATCAGTCATTGAGAGTTCAATATGGTCGATTTGTAGCTGGGGGGCATACCCTAGGCTTATCCAGAGTGAATGGTCTGAATCTGTCTTGGAAGTAATCGGCAATGATCACAGCCTGGAGTGCATCCTCTCTCTTGTCATCGCCGCCAGCCTTGGCAGGCTTCTTGCCCTTGCCGGCGGCACCCTTACCACCTTGTTTGGACATGTAGATTTTGGTTATCTTTCTGGTCAGTGATTGTGGTGGGTGCGATTGCCAGGGGTAGCTCAGGTTGTGGATGGTAGCGCCTCGGTTTGGGCAACGCAATGACGGAAACGGCCAGAGAATGAAATAGCTGTGCAAACTGACGTGTGAGTCAATCAATGCCCCCCAATTCTCGAAACTTTAGAAGGTGGGACGCCTCATGTGGGGCGCGGGGTAAATGTGGCTTGCAAGGCTGAGGGACGAGGCTCCGCCTTGGAAAGTAAACCGAAGTTGATATCAGATGGGAAGAGGCACATCAACCGTGAATTTAATGATTTGGGTGCTGGAATAGATGTAATTTTTTTTATTCTACTTACAAGCTAATTCTTTTCAATTCATAATCACAAACGCTGCCGGCATCCGTCTATCTCCTTCCAAAGAAGTCATTCAGCCTTTCTCACAAGTCCTGTTGGATTATCTCTGTCCAGATTCTCTACCATATCTCCACGATGATTCAGGCACCATCAGTTGAATCTATCATGAGCATGACTTTCTAGTTCTCTCCATCAGTTTTTGATCTCAGAGCACGAATACAACAGCTCCTCGCCAAGGCCGTGATTACACGGTGCACCGTGCTCTGCCGACACAGCATGACAGGGGTTGATATTGCGGCGCCAGGAATGGGCCGGGCTAGAACGTCTTGTGGAACAGAAAACCGGACCACATTTTCTTACGCTATCATCAAGTACCAAAGAACGAAATGTCCGTGAATTTGGTATTATTACACTTTGCTTTTAGCTGAAGCTTTGCTGCTGGCAATTTGGTTCAGTAGAGAATGTGAAAAGGTAATCTAGCATTCAAACCAGACTCCAAGGCTGTACGTGAGTGTGGCTGAAAACCTTCATACCACCAGATATCGTTGTCAAGGACGATGAAACCCTCAAGTTTGGGGGAAATGTTATTACAATACAGTGCAGTACTTACTCCTGGTAGACGGAGATGGGCCGAACAGAAGGGAGCACCCGCTGTTAGTTCCCGAGGAGTTTGAACGGTTGGGACCCGCCTGATCTCACGATCAGATATCCATGGAGGGATGAACGGATAGCGAACCTTCATGTGGGACAGGCGTTGATTTGCCATGAAGTCGGCCTTGATAAGATCTTACTTTGCTGTAAGGTGGGCTGATTGTGCGGTGGCTTGCCATACTTCAAGATGCACGCAGGCTGTCCAGTATTCCTCAGAAGCCCACAGGCTTCCCTCCTCCAGAAGCACATTTCACCATATCATTGAAGTCCTCTGATAACCCACACTCATAGTGATATCCTTCAGCGGCCTTCAAGACCTCCAGTTGGTGATCACAGCGGCGCATCAGTGCCGGTGTTACCGTTGCAACCCTTCTCGTGACGTCTGAAATACACTAAGAGAGTCTAGAACCCTAGCCCAAGCCGCCCAGCAAGGGCCAGAACTCTATGGATCGCGGAAGCAAAGCCCAAACTTACGTACCCAGCCGCCGTTATCAGGAAGTTCCAGTGTTTTTCCTCTGGACGCCCAGCACTGCCGCCATGCGCTACGGCTGTCCGGGGGCAGGGAACAAGGGGACAACAAGCACAGATGATAAACCTAAAAACCTCAACCTCGAACCTATCCCGTCTGCTAAAAAGCCACGAAGGATCCTCCTGTCTCGGACAGGTGAACCCGTCAAGAAGCACACAGCCAACGGCCCGATTGTATCGTTGAGTTTCTCCCCTCTGCTTGGTTGCCCTGTTGCTGTTCCCTCACTTTTTTAGCCCTCCACCGCCTCATCGTACCATGTGTCCATCCATCACACGAACAAGTGAGGAAGTAGATAGCGAGGTGGTCTTTATTGTCCTACCAAAACGCTTGGCCTGCCTTACCTCCGACTATCTGCAGGTGATGTTATTTATAATAGGAAGCAGCAGCAGCGAAGGCAAAATGCGAGGCCGGCACGCGAGGAGACCACCACCACTACCTCCCCCCTCTCATGCAGGCAATGTCTCGCACCCGCGTGGGAAAGCAAACACCCTCCCTCCTCCTCCTTCTCCTCACCGCCCAGCCAGCAACAAAAGATTCCCATTCTCCGCTTCCTCACATTCCCATCCTTTTTCATCAGCGGAAAGTTTTTGTTGCTCTGGCATCATCAGGCCCGTCGGCCCTTCCCTAGCGGCTGTCTCAGCCAGCCAGCCGCTTTCAAACTATCGATGGGAAAAATTACCGCCGACTACCAACAACCGGGAGAGAAAGAAAGCAACAAACCAACCAACTCACCTCACTCAGAGTGTAGTGTGTGTGTGCCGGCAATCACGGGCCTCCGAGTGGGAGATGGTCCAGACCATTCCATCGTAATGGCCTGTTTTGTTGTTCCGTCTCTTCCGCCCGCCGTTGGGGAACTTTCCGGCAGTAGGGGTAGGTAAAGTAAGGAAGGATCGACTTATATTATTGTGTTCTAGACTCCGCCCCCCCGTTACCTTTAACTACTACACTACCACCATGTTTCATCTTCTTAGCGTCCCCCCTCTTTGCTTTGTTTGTTTGCCATTTCTTGTTGGCGCTGATATAAACATAGATATTCCTCATTCTCACACTTTTCAAATCACACACACACACACAAACCATTTCTCGCTTTCCAAACAAGCAGCTCGTTTCTCAGTTTTCTCTCATCCGAAACCTTTCTCTCTTTTTTGAATTATATTTTCGTTTCCTCCCCTAGCCCAAACCCTATGAGCTTGAATAGTTTCAAGAGAGACTTATATAACACCCCCAACAAACCAAACCACACATTGACCCCGTGGTTGACCACCCATATATCCAAAAAATAATCCGTTGCCTTGTATACAGAAAAGAAAACATTTAGCTGCCCCACCCCCCATCCTCCCCCAAAACCATTCTCTAGATAACCCTCACAGTACACACTCACATGCAGGCCACGACGGACCGAAAAGACACATCACGACAGCATCAAAACGCCGATAGACGAACCCCCCGAACCACCTTATCTTTTACCCAACATACCCCCCTTGACCAGGGCCATACAACCTCTGCCTCTTCTCCGGCCGATCATCCCCCGCACCTCCTCCCATCCCTCCCATCTCGGGCAGTCTCGTCACCGGCCCTGGCCCAGCCTGCATGTACCCCGCATACTGCTGCTGCTGCTGCTGTCCCGGCCCCGGCCCCCTCTGCGAACCCCCCGGGGTCAGCACCATCCCGCCCACCCCTTGCCCGCTCCCAACAGCGTTCATATACCCGCCTTGATCCAGCCGGGGGCTAGCATGCTGCTGCTGCTGCTGGACCTGCTGATGTTGAACCTGCTGCATGGTCGTGCCGGGGGAGTGCCACGACGCGGTCGTCGAAGGAGACGGTATGGGCGTCTGCTCGTACTTGACCTGGACCTGGGCAGCCTGGTTGATGGCAGCTTGCATCGAGGCTGCCATGTTGGCGTTGGCGTAGCCGCCTGTCGGGGGTCCCGGGCCGCCGGCGGTTTGCTGCCCTCCTCCGCCGTTGCCGGCCGAGGTGGGGTCGTTAGGATCGTTGAGCACGCCGGCCGATTGGGGGTCTTTGAGCATGCGGGTGAGGTGCTTTTTGAGGATGCGGACCATGCCATCTCTTGTGAAGGGCTTGGCTAGGACGTCGTTCATTCCTGGTGGCAAAGACATTAGGACCCGGGGTAAATATATGTGGAAGAGAAGGCAACTTACCGAACTGGAAATAGGTCTGGATATCTTCTTGTCGAATGTTGGATGTCATGGCGATGATGGGGATTTGCGGCGTCACCATCCGGATCATGGCCGTGGCGGAAACGCCGTCTAGGTTGGGCATGATGATGTCCATAAAGACGAGGTCGAACCGGTCAGCATCCGTGTTAATCTTTTCGACAGCCTCGAGGCCGTCACGCTACAAGGAAGGCAAGAAAACACGTTAGCCACGTTTTCCGGGCATCGAATTCCCGGAGGCGGACTTACAGCAGTCTCTACACTACAATCCATATTCGTCAGGAACTTGGACCCGATCCTTGCGCACGTCTTGTCGTCCTCTACCAACAAAATCTGCGGCTTCTTTCCTCTCCACAGTGAGCCGTTTTGCTCCTTGCCCGGTGGAGGTGAGATTTGCGATGGCGCCTCGGTCATCACATTAGGGTTACTGAGCGGTCGGCTGTATGGGATATTGTGGATGTGGTCGGCGTGGAATGGATCGATACCCTGTGTTTGGCCCACAGGATACACAAGATGTCTTGGATCGCTGAAGGGATCGTGCACAACGTTCATCGAGGTCTGGGGACCGGCGTGGGTGAACATGACGGAGGAACCTGCGCTCTCGGCCGGGGAGCCGTTTTGGTGGTAGGCCATGGACAACCTTTCGAGTTCGCGGTCGGCCTGAGAGTCGGGAGATACCCCGTTAAGGATCTCGCGCGCACGTCGCAGTTCCGGAGCTGGCTCGTCGGTCCCGTCTGGCAACAGTCCCAAGGTTCCCTGGTGATAGTTGGTGCCGGAGTGGCTCGAGTGAGAAGACTGGGCTGAATGGCGGCTGTTGCGCCGTCTGTCCTCCATGTTGTTGAGGTGTGATATCAGCTCGTTGGACGCCTGGCTTTGGGCGCGGAGCATCTTTTGCAAACTCAGAACCTCGGCGACGAGCAGCCGGTTCGTGCGATCGAGTTCAAGGTACTGCTCTTGCAAGGTTTGTATCTGAACATTGGTGGCATTCAGGGATTCGCTAAGGACCACGATCTGCTGCGATGCTGGGAACGCATCTTCTGTTGGAGGTGGTTTTCGGGGAGCCGGCGCTTTCCTCCGGATGTTGTCCAGTTGGTCTTTTCTGTCTGCCCGAAACTCGGGATGCTTGAATTCCCAGGCCTTTTTTCGAGAAGAAATTCATCGTCAGTCCATGCGCGCGCAAGAGGTAAGAAGGTAGAGACGGGAGAGAATGTCAACATACATCCCGGCCATATGGCGCCTCGCCACTCTCTTCGTTGTGCCTAACTTTGTGGAAGTCGTACTTGTTTAGTTGGCGCACGAAACTCGCAAAGTTGCTGTGTTTGAAATGTTTGGGGAGGATTGTTTTCGTGAATTTCTCGTTCTGTTCATGTCGAATGTCAATGTCCATTTCTCGATCCAGCGCTGGAGACGACGCAGCATACCTCCAACACCACAAAACTGTCGCCTTCGGGACTCCATCGTACTACCGAGTTGTAAGAGGGATCCTCGAGCATTCTGCGACATCATCGTAAGCTTTCGTCCTGGATCTGGGGTTTGAAGAGGTTCATTGGCTACATACTTGTAGAGTTTGCGCACCTGGAGAACGGAGAGCTATGTTAGCAACTGGTAAACCGGCTTGCGACAAAGGGAATAGGGGCAGCTGGCTGCAGAAAGGGAGCTCACTTACAAAGTCGCTGGAGTTAGTCCCAGGCTGGGCGGCGGCGGGAGCGCCCGAGTCACTATCTGGTGGCGGCATGATCGCGATGTAGGTAACAGCGTCCTTCCGAGATTTCGAGGATTGGGTAGGAGACGCGATTCCGTAGAGTGGTCTCGAACACACACACAGCTACACACGCCTAACACACCACACACACACGCACACGCACACACACAGGCACCCACGATAACAACGGGGGGGTGTGGTGTGTGCTGCGATAAGGCCTGGAACCTTTAGGTATGTAGGTAGCTAGCAAGTAAGTTGGTAGCACCAGTATAAGGGAATAAAACACAGATGCCCACCCCCTATGCCAAAAGCAAAAGCCCAGCAAGCAAGCAATTGCGCAAAACTGGGAATAACGGATAAGGTTTCGGGGGTTGGATAAGGTAGGTAGAATAGATTGATCCAGATTCCAAGGGATCCAAAAAAGAGAGAGTTCGAGTGTCCAACCTCGCCCCGAAAAAGCACACACGCTCCAAGTTCCAGTCTTTCTTCTTTCTCTCTCCCAGGCCTTCTCCACTGGGGGAACCTTGGTGCTGGGGAGGGGGGGAATCGTAAAAGGGCGAAATGCAGCGGTTTTCCCTGTTGTCCGGACCGGCGCCTTTCGTTTTTTTCTCTTTTGTTTCGTTCCCACTTTTCGTTCGCAGTCCTTTCGGTATCATAGGTTGGCCGGACGCGGTCGAGTCGGCGGGCCGTCCGTCTCCTCACGACGTAATGTTCTGATGGCTTGTCCAACTGCTTGGGCCGCTTGTTCCAGAAGGAGGAGTGGGGAGTATAAAGGCAATAACAAAAAAAGAGGGATCTCGCGCACTTCCCACCTCTCACGTCGTCGGTGTGTGCAGATGTACTCTGTAGAAATAAATAAATGTTGCTATAACTAGGAGCCCCGACTGACAGTGGGAAAGACACCACAACTGCAGGGGGCGATTGCGGAGAAAGCGACAAGGTCTTGCGTAGCGTAGGCCTGATTGAGTGGGTTCGAAAACGGGGTAGCAAGGGGTTTTAACGGCGCTATGATTGGGGTTGGGAAATTTGGCGATTCTCAAAAACATGGGATTTCTCCAAAATCTTTCGCTTTTCGCGGTGCCGGAGAGAGCCAAGAGACTGGCACCTCACCCTTTTACTGGCGGCGAAGGTGAAGGCCGAGGGGGGGGGAACAGAAGCAGATGTGACGGGGGTGTCAGGAGAGACGTCATTCAGTCACGCCCTCAGCTGCGACCCTCGAAAAGGAGATCCCCGAAATGGATTCACTTGCTTGCGGTGAGATGCAAGATGTTCCCTCTCATCAACCGATGAAAGACCACGGCCGGTGGAATGCAGCAGCAGGGCGGGGCCGTGGTGTAGTGTAGGTGCAGGTCCAATATCGGAGGATGGTGATGATCAGCGAAGCACCTGTAGCCCCAGGTGTGCATTCACCGCATTATCTTTCGCACCCAGTCACCCAGTGCCCCCATTGTTGATATGTCGTTCAGACGAGTGCGATGCGGGGGGGCTTGTCGCTTTTAGGGACAGGCATCGATCTCGTGCTGGTGGCGTTCCTTCTGCTTGTGAGACTGGGGTCTGACCCCTGGAGCATCATCACTGGGCGCCGCAGCCCAGCACCTGAGCAGCAAAAGTCGTCACGCCGTCACCAGTTTCCATTTTTGCAACGCTGGAGGCACATTTCCTGGCTCACGAGAGCAAAGCGTCAACTGCCCAACTGCCACGCTGCACCGAGGGTCCTGAGCCCAAGGAACTACTGTGGTATATGCCTAAGCCCCCGCTAGGACAACTAGACAAAACAAACTATCAAACTCGAATCACTCCACATGCTATTTTCCAGTGCAGTGGCAAGAGAATGCCAAAGCACACTTTGACAGACGTCAAAGCTCTTCCATCAGACCATTGATGTTGGGTTGTGCCGGAAGACCGAATCGATGCAAGATAGGTTAGTTCACATCGATATGCCACCCCTTGAGCCTCAGAGCTCTCTGGAAACTCATTTATATCTCTCCAATTGCTTCATACCTAGGACTAATAGATATTGTGGTCTTCCAAGTTTTAAACACCACCACACAGAGCCTCGTTTCAGCCTGAAGACAAGACCCCCCGGTGGAGTTCACACCTCGCTAACCACACTTCTCAACCAACTTTTTCAACTCTCTTCCAACAGTCAAAACTCTTACTGGCAACCCACCCCCAACCTCCGAGCTTCTCTCCCTTCAAACCCCCCATCTCCACCAACTTTGTCTTGTCCCAAGTCACTTGTGCCGATACCCGAGCTTCCAAGCCTTGGTAGAAGGGACCTGCCATGGAAATAGGCGGCACCTGGATCCCAACTCGGGCAACGATCGACACCGGCACGTTGCGGTTCATGCCAGCACATGTTCCGCTACTTTTTTTTTCCTTCGCTGTTTCTTTTCTTTGACGGTATGCCGTAAGGAATAATGTATACAAGGACACCTGGGGCTGTTATACTAGTGTACCACTCCCTCGGGCCGCCTGCCCGAAAAAGATTTTGATATTGGCTAGGAGGACCTGGCTGGAGACAAGAGTACACTATACTTCCAAACACGAGCTGCTAGCACTAACTCTCTGCCTATGGCAACCAGCTCGTCCTCAAATCTCCTGATCCCAATGTCAGGCCATGGTACAAATAAGGAACCGAGGAATGCGCACAGGTTATTTACAGCCCCCTTTCTTCATGACACATCCGTGCAGACTGGACTGTGTGAAAAAGCTTGTTACTTGCAGCTGAGACATGTCTGTCGGAGACTATCCAGCGCCAGAAAAATCATCAGATGACATGACGACGTTTTACTTTTTCTCTCAACAACAACAATAACAACAACAACAAAATGATTCATCTCATTACTCCAACAGTGACAAACAGGACGTACAAGAGAAGAAAACAGAAAAGGGAAAGACAAAAACAAGGATCCTCCTATATCCTTATGCGGGTGTGCCTATATGTATATACGTACAGCTTTTTGTGCCAAAGTTGTGTGTGGTGTTGAAAAAAAGGTGAAAAGCGAATGTGTTTGTGTTTGTGTGTGAGAAAGCGATCCCCTATCCTCAACCCCAGCTCACGAGCAACCCGACCCCCTTGACTCCATCCAAAAAGGGGGTATAATGTTCCCAACCATCCGATGTGCTTACATCCCATCGTCATCACCACCCTCTTCCCCCCAACCCTTCCCCATACCCAATGCTCACTTTCCCTTCTTGGTATCCCCCATCTTGCGTTAACAACGGCAACGACAACAACAACAACAACAACAACAACAACAACAAAACACCCTCCTCAAGAAAAACAACAGCACCAACGAAGAGAGAACAATTTACCAAGAAAACAAGAAGAAAAAAAGCACAACGAGACATAACTCCCCTCAACTACATCGCCTTCCCAACACTCCTCCCACTCCCCCCAGTCCCCACCCTCCTAATCCCCTCTATCCCCCCCTCCTCCTCATCCCTCCATCCACCCATCCCAGTAGTTGAACTCCCACCCCTAGCCACAACCGCCGGCCCAACATCCGGCCCGGGATCACTCCACCCCCCACCTTCCTCAAACCCCCCCAAACTACTCACCCCACTAGAGTACTTGCTCGAAAAGCTCTCCGCCCTCTGGCCCCTTTTCACCACCACCGCCGACTGCGGCTTCCTAATAACTACACTCCCACTCACGCTCCCTGTCCCCACCGTCCCTGCCGTAGACGAAATAATGCTCGCCTTTTTCCCTTCAATCAGGATAGGAGGGGGTATATTCCCCATGCCGAGGAACTCTGGCCTTTCAAGGTCAAAGGGGTCAGAGCGGAATTTGTTGCGGCCCGGGATGGTGGTTGTTGTTACTGTGGTGGTGAAGGAGTCGCGGAGGCTGTCGCGGTAGAGGGTTGATTGTTGGTGGGGGGGACCGCCGGTGGTGGTAAAAGATTGGCCTCGGGAGCGGCGGATGTCGGATATGTAGGTTGTTGGTTTGCCTATGGCGTTGGCGTCGGAGAAGGGGTTCAACGGCGGGGGTTGGGCTGAGGAGCGGGGAGGGGGGGTGACGGCGTTGGCGTCGCTAAAGGGGTTGGTGTTGTTGTTGTTGTTGTTGTTGTTTTGGGAGGTGGAGGAAGAAAAGAGGTTAAGTCCGGAGAGGAAGTGATCTGTGCTAGAGGTGCTCCTCCGGTTGTTGCGCGACAGTGACCCGCGGCGGCGTTGGGCTTCGTGGTCGAGTTCGGATTCGTCCATTTCTAGCAGGGTCAGAAAGTCGGGTTGTTGTTGGTTTTGGCCGGGCAGGTTGTTGGCCATGGCGTTCTTCTCCGCGGTGGCGTTGTAGTTGCCCATCGCTGCTAGGTTGTCACTTGCCGGGTCTCGGTTCTTGAAGCCAATATCGGGTTTCATCCGGGAGAAGAAGTCGACGAATCGGTCTCTGGCTGATGCTTCACCTCCGCGGGTGTTGACTCCTGCTGAGCCGTTCCTGCTGTGGGTGATGTCGTTCGCGTCGATGAACTGCGACGTGCCCCGGTCCAGGTTGACCGAGTGCGCGCTGCTGCCTCCTCCTGTCTTGTTTCTGACGTGGGCGCGGAACTTGTTGAAGTTGATCCCCAGGGCCGCCTTGACTTTCTCGCTCACTGGGGTTGGCCCGATGCTCCCTCGCTGGATGATATAGGGGCCCCCTTTTTCGTTTCTGTCAAAGGAGGTGGCATCGAGCGGAGTCAGAAGAGTGCTCCGTCTTTTCCTGAGCATCCGACGCCTCCACCACCATAAGAAGAAGGCCAGTATGCTGAGGGCAACCACACCTCCGATGACACCTCCTGCCACGGCCAAGGTTGATTGCACTGCGTTGCTGTTGGAAGCTCCTGATGAACCTGCTGTCATGTCGGTATCGGGAAAGGCTCCACCACCAGCCGTGCCCTGAGGCGGCACGCCCCCAATGGTGGGCGAGACCGGTGTTGCTGCTGGGCCCCCATCAGGAAAGACTCCCGGTGGAGGCGATAGAGAATCCGAACTGTCCGTCTCCGAAGACCCTGGCAGCGCATTGGTAGAAGAGGCTATTACTCTGTTATCAGTCTGACTGTTCCGCGTGGCAGACGGCTCAACCATGAACTGCTGAGACGGGGCAGGTTCTGCAATGACAGCGAAGGACTGGAGAATAGCGCCAGCATCAGGCTGGAGTACAATAGGCAGAGGAGACAACGACGACACCGGCGGCGGGGGGCCCACCGGCGGCGGAGAGATCTCGGCTGGTGCCTGTACCACTTGCACCGATTCTGGCGCTGGGCTGGGAGGTGTGATGATGGGTGAGTTGATGACAGCCGGGGGGGAGCTCGTCGTACTTGGAGCAACAATCTCTTGCTCTACTTCATTGCCATCGTTGGCAGCAGGATCGGCTCTGTTGTCTCCTGCCCCTACCACTACCACTGCTGTCGTCTCGGCTGGTGCTGGCTCGGGCGTCGGCGTCGGCTGGACCTCGATGATGGCTGGCGGCGGTGTCGTCTGGACAGGGGCTGGCGTGTTCACGTCGGGCGACGCAACTGCCACCTTGGGTATTGCCGTACATCTCCTCCCCTCGATCGATGTGAAGAACGCTCCCGCTGGGAGGTTGTTTGATGCCATCTTGTTCTCTTTGTTTTTTCTAAACCCCTACACACACTCTCTCGAAATCCTGTTCGGTTCGGCGAGGCCAGTCGCTATCGAAGGAAAGGTCTAAAAATACAATCAAAAAAAGGACGACTCAAAAGAAGCGAAGATGCTTGGCCTCTAGGGCCTTCTAGGACATTGCTAGAATCATAAGATGAGTATGAAAAGAAGAGAGAGAGAACGGGCAGGTATCTCCTGTCGAAGGAGATGGCAAACAAGCGACCGCTGCGGCTAAAGTTGAACTCAACACAACACCCAGAAAGTGGTGATGCCGGGTGAATAGACGAGGAGACGGGGAGGGAGAGGATGAGATCTGGGGTTGGGGATAGGGCACGGTGGTGAGAGAGGCACGACTGGCGCTCTCACGATGTGCCCCTCGCTCGACGGCAGCATGTCCCAAAGGGGACGGCTCTGACATTCAGCACGGGCAGCATAATGGTTGGCAGTGGTTTGATGGACGACAGTAGGGGTTCTGGGCGAGCTGCCATTGGCTGGACGAGGACAAGACGTCGGAGAGCACGCGCAGGGGATCACCCGTGAGGCTCTTGATCTGAGTATGGTTCCAGAAACGTTGTGGTGGTGCTGACCCCTGTCCTGCGACAGTCTTGAGGCATCTTCCCCGCTGCCCCTTTTTGCGGGGAACGGGCGCTTGTTCTGGGCAGTGGTGATGTTAGTCAGAGGCAGTCAAAGACGAGATGAACCATGGTGAAGATGAGTATAAACTGTAGGATGCGAGTGTCGACATGTGTATTGTCAGAGATGTCGATGCTGCTCACTCCAGAGGCCAAGCAAGTGAGAGTTGCTCCGTACCTTAGCCAAATGTTCATCAGCCAGACTGAGGTTGGCATTGGAGAGGCACAGATGGTTGAGCATCTTCTGAAACAGTGACTGTTCGGCAGGGGAAACGCCGGATCCGCTTCAGTGAACCACCACACCACCAGTTGACAAGCTCAAAATGCCCCAATTGGGTTTAGCTGTGGTCGTTGATGCGAACGCGATGGCGCGAGGTCCCGCGACAACGGGCACGTCCGACCGAACCCCCGGGAAGCGGAGCCCAAGCTTCGGACCCCACGCCGCCATCCCCGTTCAGGCCGGAAAGGAGATTGCAGAATGCGGTTGGGTGGTGCTTCCAGTCGTCGCCTTACGTGGCAGTTTGAGACGAAGAACTTGAGGTGAACCCAACTGAGGAAGACAAGGAATAATACATGAATTCGCCCACCGCCGAACGAGACCCCGGATCGGATCACGTTGGCTGCGTGGACGCACGGTTCATTTCGGTCCGGCACGCTATCTCATGCAACGCCAACGAATGTCGACTCCCCCGCTTCCCGCCCCTCCGAAGGTGTATTCGTAGCTCTCCACCGCCGCCAGAACCACCGCTGCTTTTCCTCGAAGTAGAGGAGAGACTACGAAGTAATCAATTCTAATTGAATTCCTGTGCTTCCATCACACACACACACACACACACACACACACACTGTTGTGTGTGAGCCCAGACCTGATCGGCGATAACAGCTAAGGTCCCCTGTGCCTAGGCGTCTGTCGTTTCGATTCCTGATCAACCTCGCTTCCTTCCCCCGCAAAGCAGCCTTACCTAAGTAATCAAAATGTTTGGAAGTCTACATACCCTCAGTGAGTAATCATCGTTCGACTCTTTCCATACGGTCAGTCATCAGTCATCAGTCAAGTCAGTTCCCCCTTGGCGTGACACAAGAGAGACCGCTCCTTCCGTCCGTCGGAAGCACTGGCACTGGCACTGGCACTGGCTAGCTAGTTAGTACCTGACGGCGGCTGCCGTGTCCATGAGCCATGAGTTCAAACAGACCCAAACGGCGTCGGATGGCGTCGCGGAAAGAACCGTTGCCAGTTGTCTTTGCCTGCCCAGTTGCTAGCTTCCATCCGTCTCTTTAAGGTTTATGCGGCAGTTGACGTCCGCTGAGTGATCCTCATTGGGCCTTTTCTGATGAGATGGTTTAGTTCCTGCCGCACCGTTATTGTCCAACATCAAGCCCGAGGACATCCCACCGCCTACACCTATCAACTTTCCCCAATGCTATCTCCAGGTCCAGAATGACGATCAGCAACAAACCGACTCGGCTCCTGAGGGCCGGGCCCGGAAGCCTGTTACGAAGTTGCTGCAGAGCATAGTGCGGCCAACTGACCTTTCCATATCGCACCTGGAAGCCTTGGGAGTGCACGTCATCCCGAACTCGGCCCCCCAGGAGCTCGTCCCAGACCCGTCCTTCATCCCGGACTTTGCTGCTTGGGATGCTCTCTCAGGTGAGGAGGCCCATCTGAAAAATGAATCTACCAGGAAACGTCTGAACAATGGCGCACTGTCCCCCGGCTGCCAGACTTACCTGGACCGGAAGCGTGAGCTGTCTATCGACAATGATGCCGCCTACCGGACCGTCCGTAGGTTGCCCGCCCCCAAAGGTCAACCTCAAGCTCGGTTAGGAAATGCCTATGAGTTCTACCGTCACCTCGAGCTGTTCACACCCTACTGGGATGACACTTCGAAACCAACACCGCCTGGGCCCAAGCCAACAGAAACGACATCTTCAGAAACTGCCAGTGGCGCAGAAAGTGACGCCAAAGAGCAGGAAGACGATGCCAACACCCCCAAGGAAGCCCAATACTTCAGGACTTTTTCCGGTGACAAGATGCCCCCCGACTACCGCGGCGGCATGGTCACCGCCTTCCTCAAGCTCGTAGCCTACGACTTTGGCTGCAACGTCACCTCCCCCCGTGTCGAACCCCGTCTCCTCATCACCACCAACCAGTCTTCCCCCCGGTCTCGCAGTTCCTACTTCACCTCCGGATGCACATTCCTCTTCCGCTCACCCACCACCCGTGAAGCCGCCCGCGCCGGTGTAGTCGAAGGCCCCCTCGCCGCCGTCTCAGCCCGGCACACCACCGCCTTCCCACCAACCCCCTCAACAGACAGGGAATCCCTCCTCGACCTCTCCCGCGAGCTCATCACAGCCCTCATCACAGCCCAGCACCGCGCTCGCGAAGGGAAAACAGAGAAACGCATCGGGGAAAACGCCTGGTGGGCCACCAAGCCCAGGTGGGGAGGCGGTCCAGGAGGTCCCATAGGAAGGGAAATCGAAGCCCAATCCGCCAAGTCAACCAACGACGTCATCCTCGGCGACAAGGATGCCCCTCCTCCCCCTGTTGTCCCCCCTTCTCCTGCTATTCCCTCTTCGCCAGCACCCCCTCCTTCCTCGGCACCATCAATAACCAGCTCCCTCGCCCGCCGGCCTTATTCTTCGCTTTCCCCCTCCTCCTCAAGAAGTAACTCCAGCTCTGGCTCAAGCTCGAAACGTCTAAAGACAAAGTCGGGCAAAGACGGAAAGCAAAACCCTATTTATGACGCGTACCGCCGTGTTCAACCTCCTAACTCGACGTGGGACAAAAAGGCAAAGTATACTGCTATCGGAAGGGTCAAAGCAGCGGGGTATGATGATATTTTTGTCATTTCGGGGTTATTCCACCACATCAGCGTTGTCCGCGTCAGGGTGCCAAACAGGTTGTTGGAAGTGCTAGAGGGGGATTTGAACGAGATTGACAAGAGGGGGGGAAGGAGCTGGGGGAAGATTGAGGTGAGAAGGAGTCAGTGGTTTGACTTTTTCAAGGTGGAGGAGAGGATCGAGGCGGTGCAGCTGCTTTGGGGGCTTATGGCTTGGTTGATGAGGGAGGAGGAGAAGGGGCAGGGGGGAGGGGATGTGGTTATGAGTGGTTGAGGTTGGGAGGGGGTTGGAAATGAAAGGATAAGATGAAGTGGGAATTTAATGGATATATATGTAGCAGATGGAAGGATCTAAAAAAAAGACAGCAAAGTACGAAAGCGAATTCAGGACAGGATACCACATATCTGTCATTTCGGTGTACTCGTTGCATTATTTCTGATGTTAAAAGGGTGAAAAGGATTTCATAAGTCATCAACATCGTCAAAACCCCAAGATCAAGAAAGAGAACCCAACATTTGTTGCTTGACCGTCAAAGTGGCAAGAAATAAGAGACAACAGACATTATAAAGTGAGAGACATATATATGTACCCCCAGGAGACTTGTAGCAATTAGCGAGCGACCCTTTTTACTCCTCAGCCAAAATGAAAGAAAGAACCAAAATTCATATCATCATTTTTATCATTTTTCCTCTGAACATATCACTAACCCCCACATAATTCCTGCATCCCTGTCCTACAATAAAAGCCATGACATACATCAAAAACAATCCCAAATATTCAAAAGATTCTTCGACTTCTCCCTACCAAAAAATCCACCAGTAGATTTTTTCTTTTGTGTGTGACATCCAAAAGGGGATACAAGAAAACCCCTCAAATCGTATATACAATTTCATGCCAAGTGATTATTATCTTAGTAGGAACGTCCTCACATGACAAAGAGCAAGTTCGTATCTGTTAACCTCCCCCAAACACATCCCCTTTTGGTTAGTAAAAACTTTGTTCTCTTCAATCCGGACGCGCTTTGAACGTAGTCACAAGGTAGGGCGCGATCTCACCAAGAGGGTGACTGCACGAGAGCTGCGGCTTTTGGGTGTAACGCGTCTGTAGCTCGTCGCGGATGCTGTTGAGGAGCTGCACATAGCTCTGCTGGGGGTTCTTTTTGAGCGAGTTGATAAAGGCCCAGGACATGGCTCCAGTCGCTTGAGAAGCAATCGTGGCGTCGGCACTGTAGGTGGTGTGTGTTAGCTAACGGTTGCTGCTGATAGGAATGGGTGACCAGTGAAGGGGTGACCGAGTTCATCGGCCCCAAACGCCAAGCAAGGCCGCAACTCTGGACCAACAAACGGAAACTAAAATAGAAATAATAAAAAAGCCATGTCTCGTCGCATGATACTGCCGAATCGGCCCTGCAAAATCAAATAGGAAAAGCAAAAAAGGGGGATGGGTGTCACAGAATGTTAATCATGAAAAAAAGGGGGGTACGAACGAAGTCTGGTCGTCTTTGCTTCCGGACAACATGACAACATCGGCACGCGAGGTCTTCGTCGCGAGGGTACGGGCGTGGGCATCTTCGCCATTGCTGGCCTTCTTAAAGAAGCCCATGATATTGCTGGCAACACCACTGAGATCGCCCTGGCTGTAGGCGGAAATAACACCGAGAAGACCTTGGCCGGCCTCCTTGGCAAGGTTGGGCTCCTTGAGGATACCCTGGGTGGAGTAGATGTAGGGAAGATCGAGCGCGGTTCCGGAATGGCACGAGTCGAAGATGGCTGTCAAGCGAACGCCTGCTTGTAGTGGGCGCACCATGATTCTGTGCATCTCGTCATCCGTGATGTGCCCGACTTGCCGGAAGTCGACCGGGTAGATGACCTCGTCATATCCGTCCTCCTCGTCACCATCAAGATCCTTCGTCTGACCACCGTGACCAGAGTAATGGAAGAAAAGGGAGTCGTTAGGGCGAGCATCCTTGACGAGCCAATGCATAGCCCTCAATATGTTCTGTTTGGTCGGTTGGCTCATGGGGTTCTGCTGGTCGTCCGTAAGAATGACCATATCCTCTCGCTTGTAGCCAAATCTTTCCACCAGATACGAGGACATGTTCCTAACGTCATTGATACACCCACGAAGCTGGCCGCGTTGCGAGAAGTAGTTGATTCCGATCAGTAGAGCTTTCCTTTTCCCTGTACATTGTGAGTACTGGAAGGCATAGCCTTGCGGAGCACCATATCCAAAGTGCTGAGGAGCTTGGGGTGGCGGAGGAGGGGCACCGTGGTTCCCGTGAACATAGGAGTTCGAGTTTACGGTCGGCATGTCTGATGTTTTGTTTAGCAATGTGCGTATATATGTCTCCCTCACTTGGGACCCAATCGCCGGTTCCACTCACTCGGTCGTCCGTATTGTGGTTGTTGTTGCGGTGGTTGCTGTTGCGGTGGTTGCTGTTGCGGTGGGGGTTGGTGGTAGCCTTGTGGAGGCGGCTATACCATATGTATTTAGCTTCAAGATCCTCTGATCCAGGCCAACGGAGAACACACCTGCTGATAGCCATATTGCTGGCCTGGCGGAGGTTGTTGGTAGCCATATTGGCCCTGCGGTGGAGGGGCCTGCTGGTAACCGTAGTTCTGGGGACTGTGAGGCCCATGTCAGTCAAGACGGTCGAGTTTTGAAGACGCGGGTGTAAAGGCCGTACGGGTAGTAGCCAGCATACTGCTGTTGCGGCGGAGGAGCGTATCCTCCCGCATAACCGGCACCAGGAAACCCAGACATTCTTTCAGGAAAGCAAAAGGGAAACAGAGGGAGGGGTTGTTGTTATCGGCGGGCGGCCAACAGGCCTTGGTCGAGCGGCAAAGGACGCGGCGTCGGTGTGTATCTGTGGACTGGGAGAGCAGAGAGCAAAAGAGCTCTGGGCAGGTCGTCAACAAAGTTAAATATGCTCCTTCCAAAAAAAAAAAATTCCGGGACAGACGCGTTGGAAAGGTACCCCTTCTTGGCGTGGAAGTACGGGGACAGGGGGTGGAGGGGAAAGGGTTCGGTAATCGCGAGGGTTGTCAATGTTGATGTCTAGCAAGCCGCAGCAATTCATTCGCATGAGCATGCGCTGAGCCCCTCCGAGGCAAGATGTGGCGTGCGGGATCAAGCGTCTAGCGATACGACGAAGGACGGTAAAGGACCCGGAGCGCTCCCGACGGAGCGGTCAAGGACAGGACAAGGGCAGTTCACATCGACTTACTTGCAGCTTGGGATTCGGATTCGGGGTACGGACGAGGAACGGAGGAACTACGGAAAGCGTCGTTTAGCAAGCGCAGTTGGGACGAGGGCAAACGTTGATTGAGCGGCGATTGCGGCGGGGAGAGGGGAGAGAGCTTTGAGCTACTCGAGTGAGAAAAAGAGTCTGGCCAACGTGCTGACAACCACAGCACAACACAGCAAAGCCAGGTGAGGCGAGCAGGTGGACAAGTCAAGACCGGGGTGGGGTTGATGATGGCTGGTTGCGGGCAATCTAGATCTTCGATTGGGCACAGGGCTAGCCGTGCAGGGTTCATGCTGATCACTGCCAAGCACGTGGAGTTCCGAGGGTCGACTGCGTTAGGACAAGAAACCACCGACTGCTGCCAGGCTGCCGACTGCCCCTCATTCCATCATCGCCATGACTGATGTCTCATTCAATCTCCAGACTTCCAGGAATTCCCAATCCCCATCCAGAAGACGCTCTCTGGAACGGTTTGCCCCTTTCCTGTACATGCGCCGCGGGCACGTTACGCGCCACTTGGTTCGTCGAGGCTATCCGTTTTCAGCTGTGCATGCTTAGGTCGCTACCTTATCACAAAGTCTATCAGCTACCGGACAATTAAAGCGTTGCCCATAGGCCCTAGCTGAATTTAACTTTAGATCTCTCGGGGGTGCTATCCAAGAGGAGCCTCTCCTCCGAATCATCATCGACCTCAGAAGACTTCAATTAACAGTTTCGGGATATGGCACCCCCCACGCATGCCGGAGTCAAAGTTCCCTCACCACAGCCTTCAATTTCTCTCACCATCTCGATCAGTTGACCGAGGAAGCACCTCATGTTCAGACCTTTCCCAGCACGTCCTGCATCATCACACAAATTACACTGAAATAGGGATCCCCGCCGAGATATTGTGCTCCAAGTGCCGGCGGTGCACATGCAGCCCCGGACACCACTAACCCTTTAGCAAGCCGCCACATCCGCTTCCAGACACCATTGGGCCATGAAGGGATTTTGCTCGCCATCGACTTCCCGCTTTCTCCCAGTCCCCACGAAGACATGTCGTTCGAGATGTACATTGGCGTTGATGTATGACGCCTAAGTTGGATTAGCTCCGGTCTTCACCGGCAGGTTCCATTGGCTGGATCCTCGAAATCGTCAGTGTGGAGCTGCTGAACAGCCCCCGTGGACCACTCACGACTCAGCTACCAGCAGGGGGCTTGCAGACGAGCTTGGGCCATATCAAACCTCCAACCTCCAATCTCCATCCTCCAACGAGCTCTCAGAAACGCCATCTCGATAACCACGCGTGGGAGCATTTTCTGTCTTCTTTGGCGGGAGCGAGATTTCGTTTCGAGATGAGACGTCTCAACACGCGGATGCCACTTTTCGCTTTCATAATAACGCAAAGAGTTGAGAGGTCCAGAATCTCGATATATCTAACAGCCCAACTCCAAGAATCCCCAACCAATCGAGGGCAGGCCGAAGTCACATCAGAACATGGCATTGCATAGCACTCATTGCATCGTGGTCATGCACCCTCGCTGATATAAAATACCCGCCAGCCCGGATGAAACATAGATGCTCATCCACACGCTCTTGCACAGCCCTATGTAAAACAACGGAGCTGTGGCATGGCAGCCACACACTCACAGACTACAACCTTGTGTTTCTCCGAGCCATTCAGCATCCAAGACTACAAACTAGCGCAGAGAAGCTTCAAGCCTCACAAGGTACTGGTCCCTGAATGTCTTAGATGGCCCTCCCTCCCCGTCTCAGACGGCGAACGAGGGCTGTGCAACGTTTCCCCACAGCGTTAATGACAAAAACGGTGGATGGAGAAACCCAGGAGGAGGCCTTAAACGGCCCTTTTGTCCCCAAGAAGCCTCAAGCAACACTCTCTCCACTCCACCATCAAAGCAAAACAAGTTAGCTCCCGAGGATGACAGCTGGATGTGCATCATGTAATGCTACAAGATCCCTGGGAGCACCCGGCCCGGGGTGAACGGGGAGCATGCGCCACACTTCTCCCGCTGGCTACCACCCTGCCGGATCCTCCTTCTCGGTCCCTGATCCGGTTTTAAATCAAGTTTTCTTCGTTCTAATTCTAGGCTGGTTACCTCCGGTGGTAATGCTCAGACGGGCACTACAGGCAAAATCCGGGGTAGCACGCAGCTGACCATCTTGGTTTACAATGCCCCATCGGAGATGCAAAAGGCCATAGCCTACTTTCCTACTCGTCAGCTAGCTACTCATACTCCCACATCAACGTCAGATCTGACTCTGGCTCTATCTCGGCAACCAACAGACTTCAGCACTGCCCCCCTTCCTGACCACCCAAATGTTGGTCATGGGGGTGGGTAAGGTGAGTTTGTAGGGGGAGGGTATAGGTGCTGCAATGCGCATGTCTCACATATAGACCTTGACTACTTGACAAGCAATATCAGAAGCAGACGAAGGGGGTGGTAGTATGACACAAACATGATATCGCACCAACGCGGTGACCAGTACAAGCAGCCGTCCATTCATGCTCACGATCTATAATCGTCAACTCTAATAGTAGGATGCGTTGGCACCTTGCTTAGGTCTCTCTAAAGACTACCAATCCGTTTACGATACACTTGGACCAAAAAGCTAAACCTTTAGGAAAAAATTAAAAACAGCCATGGAAGTAACAGCACCAATACATGAAAATACATGAGGTATACACAGAAACCAAGGATTACGTTCCACCCCATCCTTCCCCTTCTTCCCTCTATCTTTCTTTGTAATTACCCAGTCTTCTTCCTGAGCAACAACTCTTTCTTCCCATCCAACAAATCTCTTTTTTGATCTGGCCGACGACCTTGTCAAAAAAGCCGTCTAATTGCATCCAGAACCTTGCGTGAAGCCTCCTAGTGATATCAAGCACTACTTTGGATGATCCAGAATCAGGTAGATAGTAACCGCCAAATATCATCCGGCACCTCTGGTCCATTCCGGAGGAGTCGATGGCGTTGCCATAAAGCTACCAGCAACTGGTAAGATTTTGTTATCGTACCTCAGGGTATCTTCCAAAGGCTGCTACAAATGTTGCTTTGGTAATCTTGCCCTGGTGGGCATCGCCTTTCCACCTCTCGTCTGGGGGCTCCATCCTGGGGTGTAGAGTTAGTCTGTGTCATTTTAGAGCAACTGGGCTGATGTTTCGAGGTTACGCCCTCGAGGCCCTTCCACATCAATTTGACGTCCCTAAGACTGTTGACGTAGTGATCGGGTCTGCGTCCGCAGTCTGGTTCTTGGTGGACGTCAGTGTCGATATAATCCCAGACCTCATAACAGCGTCAACCACGCTCCTCTGTACCGACAAGAGACATAGGTGCAATCAACCCTGACGCGCGGTTACCGTATTGACCATTTGTTGAGAAGCAGTGCCTCGGCCTTGCACAACAGTCGGTGTGCCTGCGAAGCGAGCTAATGTATCTTAAAAGATAGTTACTGCGCCTCAAACGATAGCTGACATACCTTGAAATATAGTCGGTGAGCCTCATGAGATGGCCGGGCTTGGAGTTATGACAAAATGTCTTCTGAGGGGCCGCGTGAACTCTTCTCAATGAGCATCTGGCGCTGGTTCGTAGATGAGGTCTTCGAATTGAACTGGCTTCATCATATCGTACGCAATCATCATCTCACGGCCGTTTTGGTTGTCCAAAACATACATGGTCTCATGCAGGTCGTGCCCGTCAGTGATCTGTCACGTAGAGTTTTGGACGTCTTCCCCAGTTGCCGTTGCCCTTGCAGCATTACGGACCTGAGTCCTTTCGGGCTCAGGAATACTACTCGGGTGCGGGATATGTGCCTCGGCCTTCCAGGTTTCGGAATAATGCTGAAATGGATGTAACCACCAGGCTGACTGTGCCAGTTGATGTACGGCTACATGCTAATGGCCGAGAACCAAGAAGTCTTCAAGCCGAGACCGGAGAGGTTTAAACTTCCCATCGTTCCCTTCTGCACTGCTCGAAAATCGTAGTTCAATCCCAAACTCCTCTTCTGCGAAGAAGTACTGGTACCGGTAGAGCCGTTGAACCACCATTGCGGGGTACATCAGATGCATCGGGTTGGCATCTCTGAGCTTATTAAGGGTCTCAATGACAACTTGCCAGATTTGTTTGTTGATATGGTCGAAAACTGGAAGCAGGAGAATGAGTCCGGCGAGGGCTTGACGATATTCCCGATTTCGACATCGGGGTTCATTTCATAGACCGCACGATACTCGTTGTCTTCATGCTTGAGATATGCTACGACTGACGCCTCACTCTTTCCACCACGTTCCAGTAAAACACGCTGGGTATCACCGATCTCTTGTCGTGTAAAAGTCTGTGTCTTCTGTAGACCACTGCTTGCGCAACACATACAGGAGGAATCGCTTGGTCTTCTCGAGGGCGTCCTTTCGCCAGTACTCTACCATCGGGATCAAGTAGTCTGTCCGTTGTCCAGACACACAATTCAGTTTGGCGAGACCAGAGTTCTTTCCGGTAATCCGGTCCGATTTGACATGCTTCTCGATACTTTCCTTGTTGATCTTGGCGCCTATGAGAACTATAGGGGACATGTTAGACACATCGATGCCGCAGAGAACAGCCTTGCCCCTAATTAGCTGTTTGTAGAAGCTTTCTGTCTGTGTTCTGTGGATGGTCCTCGGAACTAGTATAGATCGTCCGAAGTAGTAAATATCGTGCTGGTCAAGGCCCATCACATAATCTCCTCCTCAGTAAACTCAGTTGACTTGACTATCAGCTCACCCTCTATGCTGGGTGAAACCTCAGGCCGGGGAGTTTTGACGGGAGTCAGATCCTCGATCCGAGTGCTCAGGCAGCGGATGCTCTGGTTGGAGGTGAGACGATGAGCTCCCAGTATTATCGCCAGCCACATATGTCAACTGGGTGCTGACCGTTGGCAGAGGCAAGGGGGGTATATGGAGGTTGCTTCCATCGCCACGGATAGCCATCTGAGCATGATCGCAAATTCGGATAACTTAGCTGATGGCGTTTTCTACTTGGTGATACTGTTGCTGCTTTGGCGAGCCAGCACAAGAGTGTCGGGGATTGTGTTGGTCGCTTCGAAGAACACGAGTAGACGGCCTCCAAGTCAAAACAATTTGGTCTCATATATTCTGGAAGGAAGCTAACGTTGGGAGTCGTAAGCAGCTCAGGATGATGCTTACACAGTATAAGCGAAGCCCAGAAGTCGATAACATCTCAACTTTGCTAGGTAGATGATTGAGCCATCTCTGAGATGGTTGGATATGAGGTACGTGAGAGGAATCGGAGAGTGAATTTGGATGGTGCCAGCTCCCAACATTCGCTACCCGGTTCATTGGTATGGATGCTGGTGTTTCTATGCCGATTTCCCATTGAAAATAAAATTATACGGTTGTTGATGATGAAAGTGCTGGTCGCAAATTTCCGCGGGTTGAGCGTGACTTCCTCTTGCGAATTTTTTCTTTACACTAACTGGATCTTACCAGGCAAGAGCCAGGTCGGTGTACCAATCGTACCTTCCATAAACATATTTAAGCAATAAAATGCAGCCAATAATTGACACAGTGATCTTCAAACCCCAAATCTAGCCCTGTGCCAAAAGTCGTTCTATTGTGGTCGACATCATATACATTCAAGCCATCAGTTCTACCCAACTCGGTGAGAGTCTCCTGTAAGCCCAACCGAGGCAGCCTAACTATTTCAAGATCAAAAGCAGTATAATGTAATGAATAAATATACCATATATGCCAACCATCCTAGTTTTAATACCCCTTCCACGCAAGACCTAAAGATCACGAAACCGTTGACAGCACCCAGTGCACCGTCAGATTGCTTGGCCAAAGTCCCTCCATTTTATGACAGTTATACGGAACTAAGGTACCTATCTTGTGGCATTTCCGGTAACACAATCACGACTCATCTGGTTACTCCAACTTTCGTAGTTTCAAGATTTATTTACAAAGTAGACTGTACCCTTGTTTACTATGCACGTTGTCGTGTTATTTACAGCTATCGATCCCAAGGTAAACAGTGCAACTGAATCATATTAGTAGGCACCAGGCTCATGTTTATGTAATAATTCATTGTTTTCCGATAATCAGAACTATATTCTTGTCTTTAACTCTCACCAAGTCCCCCCCATAATTCACGGAATAAACCCACGCATTTAGCTCTTCTGAGGTATCTCAGGTTGCCGCCTCGTTAGAATACCTTAGCATCCACCATGGCTTATTTAGTCTGCAATTCATTGGAATGGACATAATTAACCGGCGCCTCTCTGCCCAAGTTATGTGGTGGTGCAATTCAAAAAAAAAAATTGAGGAGAAAAAAAAAAGGAGGTCCAGGTGGGGTTGGTACCACACATGAGCCACATTTCTTCTTTCCAAATCAACCAACAGTTAGCATCGGTCAGCATGGCAGAGTGGTCTAATGCGTTAGACTTGAATATCCATTACATTCAGGTATCTAATTCCTTCGGGAGCGTAGGTTCGAACCCTACTGCTGACGATAATCTTTTGCATTTTTCCACACCTCACCCATCTCATGAAGGAGATCTTTTTGTTGAGCATAGAGACAAATCATTGACTCTTTTTCATATTTCACCTGCTTTGATTATGTTATCGGCAATGATATGACCGCGCAAACGCCCGAAGACTTCAGCAAATGTATATTTACAATAGGAATACGAAAACGCTAGCTAGCTAAAACTTACATCAGTAGGTATTCCCGGCATGCATGCCTCTTTTCTTGCGTTCCTTAGCCTCCGAGGAAACAAAACTCCAATTCATACCCCACGTAATCATGAATGCCAGGCCCATACTTACTCCATGCCCAAGTAATGACAACAAACTGGAAACGATGCGCTAGAGATGTACAGCATTTTCCAGGTACAGATACATACCAACATGAATATTTCTTCAACCCAAACCTCTTCAGTAATAATTTCCTACCCCGTCACCTCCCCCAGCTTGATAACCTCCCCCGCCGCCGCCGCCTTGATACCCACCGTTATTATTCGACTTGTTATTTTGCTGATTATTCGCATGGTAGAATCCAGGGTTAGAGGGATTCGAGGGCCCCTTGGGGATAGGCTGCTGTGTATCCTCGTACATGGCTGCAAACCCTCCCTGGCTATCTCTCCCGCCAACATCGTCAAGCGACTTGTAGTGATGAGTGTGATGACCTCCCCTGTCTCCCCCACCACGACCGCCGCGGGCCCCCTTAGGAGCCCCTCCGCGTTGGCCCCTGAAGTTCCCACCACCTCCTCTTCCACCACCCCGACCAAAACCACCGCCACCTCCCCGATTCCCTCCCCGACTGACCTGTGGAAAGTTATTTTGGTTGTTATTATTGCTATTGAAATTCCTCCCACCGCCACCAGGACCAGTCGGAGGATGGTGGTGATGGTTCCCCTGTCTCGACCGGAAATCATCCTCATGAGCGGTATGCTTCCTCTTCGCTCCTCTAAAGTAGCCGCCGTCGTAAGAACCCTCCCTATGACTCGTCCCATCAATGCGCAGCAGCACTTTCTCGGCAACCTTTGTCTCAAACACAAACGCCTGCTCCGGAGAAACCGGCTTCCAGTGCTGAATCTTTGCGGCATCCGCGTGTCTCGCGCCCCTCCTGAGGGCGAGGACGACCAGCGGGACCGGGTTTCCAGTGTGGTATGACGCGTCTGCAGGGACAGGCTTCAGAGAAACAGCCCAGACGTTGTCTTCAAAGCAAGCCGTGCCACTGACTTGCCAGCTCATCCTCTTGCCCCAACCACCGACTTTCCGGAGCAGATCCTCCGGACAAGGACGAGGGCAAATCATGATGTTATTAGCATGCAGCTTAATCTCGCTGTCGGGAAAGTTGGGGATTGGCATCAGGTCCAGCAACCGTCGCGTGTCGGCGCTAGAGATTAGATACCCCGTCCAGAAAACTTGTCTTTTGATCACCCAGCGCTCGCCTCGGGAGCCGCGTCGTCTTTTGGTCAGTGACGCGTTGTGATCTTTGATAATGGACCGAACCTCGGCCACTTCCACCACCGGGTCGAGATAGGCTGCCATGTCTGCCACGTGAATCACTTCCCCATTGATCGGGCCTCTCGTCGGCGAGGTATTCTGTTGCTCGTTGAAGTTCGCCAAGAAAGTCTGAAAGCTCTTGACGTGCTTTATTCTGTCTTCGTAGATACGAATCTCCTCCGCATGTCTGTATGTTTCCATCAAAGCTCTGAGAAATTTCTCCTTGAAGTCGAGTGTGCTGGTGAAATGCTGGTTATCAGGGCCGACGGCGGGCTTGAGACAAACCATGTCGAACTCGAGACCCTTGCTCTTTACTATCCGCTTAATCAGTTCACTGAAACCGGACTCGGATCGACCGGTCAACAGGACGCAGAAAGCATCCTTTTGTTGTGTGCTCAGTTGGACGAGCTCGACAATCTTCTCGTTCCACCATCCCTCCCATGCGCGCGGCTCCTCTTTCGCGATGCCTTCGCCCGTCGCGGCGAGAATCCGGGAATCGTGCCACCATCCACCGTTTACAAACGCATCGGGGTTCGAGAGTGTGCCTATCGTTGGGTTGTTCCAGATCTTGGGATTGGGTAAAGGGGTTTTGAAGACTGGCGCGCAGCGCGTTCTGTTAGCGACTGGTTATGTCATATCGAGGATGCACCAAGGGATATCTTACGGGTATTATCAAAATCGTAGATGTGAATCGCCTGGATCTTGTCGACAGCTATGATGCGACGCGGTATTAGTACTCATCTCCGACTCAGTCAGGGACCACTCAAGATAATGCGAACAAACCTGGGAGCTGCTTGTTGAGGATGGACCACCTGCCCATCGCAGTGACAGTATGTTGGGGGCTTACAGCAGGACTGCTGCCATTGGCTTGACTGACGGTGCCAAAACTGCCATTGTTGAAGGCGGAAAAGGCTGATGTTCCCATGACTTGTCGTACCAATGTTTTCTTACGAGAGACGTGTTGCAGGAGTAAGGACCATGGCGAGCTCATCACTTGCGACGACGAAAGGCTGAAGGCGATGAACTAGGCGCTAACAATTTCACGTTCGCCTTGCTGCAGGCTGCATGGATGTCTGGAAAGAGTGGGGCGAGCCACGGAAGCCAAGTTTGAGTTTTGGGACTTGCAAGTCTCTAATATGCACTTATCCGAGTCAGGACGTAGCACCTATAATTGCATGTCTATAACCTCAAGTCTCCGAGCGGATATGTGGTCAACTCGAGCGACCTAATATCGAATTTGCTAGTGTCTTCATCCCTTCTGAGCGGCCCAAGTAGATAATGCGACCTGTGGTATATATCTCTCCATACAATGCAAAGGAAAAGCCAAGTATTTTTCTCGAAACCAACGCCAAAAATGAACCTCCGTATACAACGCCTTGCCCTAGTCTTTGTTCGATCCGAACCGCATAAGCGTACCGTAGCTGGAACTGATGAAGATTATGAATGGAACTGAAAATGAACATGCCTTTAAGCAATATCGATCTCCATGTCCATCTTGGGCTTCACAGGACCGTTGTCCACCCCGAGACCCGAAGCAGCGTTCGCCTCTTTGTGAGTGAAAGCGCCATCCTTGAGCTGCTTCAATCTATCAAAATTGTTAGCATGACTGTTCTCTACAGGTCATTGCTGAGATGTCGCTTACTGTCTCCTATGAGGCTTGCCCTTCTTGTGAGAGGTCAGGTTGGTCTCGGTGTCGAACCACTTGGCGCATGGGATGCAGTAGTGCTGCCCCAGACCGGGGAGATCCTCTACATCCTTGGTCTCCTTGTAGAGCTCAAGATGTCTTGGAGAGGCAATGTCAGAGGCAATCTGGTCCAGGTCGCTGTGAGAAGTGTTAGTTGATGTCCTGTTCTCATGTAATTTTGGTCTGTGCATCACAACTCACCGACGTCTCCGCCTCGTCTTGGCCATCGAACGCTTTGCAAAGACACCCATTTTATCGATGGATTTTCGATCTGTGTGGCTGTTTTTACGAGTGTCAAGTTACAAATGCGTGGTGGGCTGGATGGGCGCTGGCGGTATCAATTGGCACCGATTCTCAATTCTGAACGTGGGGCAAGATTTTGGCAGTAACATTTTTCTGTGGTACAGCTAGATATGGCCCGAGCTTTTTGGCGGGGCGCCGTTATGTCCGAACATTTCAACGACGTTCTTTTGGAGCCGCATTCTTGAAAGTGAAATATTCGCAATTTTGACATTCACCTTCAGAAGACATCGCCACGTCTAAAATTGTCGCCTCAGCTCAAAAAAACGTCGCCATTCCGACGCTGAGCGGCCACCGGAGCTACAGGATTATCGCCCTCGAATCTCCATGTCTCCGCCGAGCGGTTCAAAGGCCGAGCCGGCAAGGCCCCGGGTGGCCCCACTTTCAGGTCTCCAGGTCAGCAGAAAATTTCATGGCAGCTTTCCTTGTGCCCGCGCGCCAAGACCTCTTGATATTTTGGCGCCATAACGTTTAAAGTACCCGCTCCACGAAACCGGGAGACCCGTTTCGGATCCCACCAGATGCCGAACCCGTCAGGAACCTCCAAACAGCACAACTAGCTGGCTGTGAGGACAGCTGCGCTCATGAGGCTGTCCCGGTGCACCGACGGATATACCGGTGTCGTTGTGGCGGCCGGTGCTCTTTATACCAGACGGCATGCGGGGTTGTGATCAACGGGGTTGTTGCGTCACTTTTTTAGCCTTGCAGGGTTGGCGAGAGGCTCTTATCGCGTGTCACCCCGCGTTTTTTCGAGATGCCGCCCATAGTTGACAGGCTTTGACGCAAGCGTGCCGTCTGTCTCCTCTTCATAGCGCTGTGTCAGTGAACGATGTACAAGACGCTTGGAGCTGCGGAAACAGTCTCCCATCCTCAAATATTTGTTCTATGTGTCCTACAAGTTGTGTAGAAGTGGTCGGTGATTGGTTATACCATCCCCGGCATTGGCTAGAATCTTTGAAGAAGACCCCACGTGGGGAACTTGGGAATGGATTCGAGCTCGGTGACCGGCGGAAAATGCTGCGGGATTTCGCCGTGATGGAAATGAAGCTCATCAGAAGAGCTCCTGTCCCAATGTCAGCTTATGATAATTTCAGGAGAGGCTGTGATCTTGCCCAGCGCTTGTTGGCGGCTTGAGAGGCACATGAATCAGCTGCAGCACATGTCATCAGCACCGTAGCACCCCCAAGCCTCAGATACCCCGGTCGTAAGCTCCGGCTTGAAACAACCACAACCCCTGTGAAGCTTGAGGGAGTCGAAATTCCATATTTGATTGAGAGGAGCTTCGAAGCTCTTTGTTGTCTCCGTAGCCAATACCTCTAGAGATCAGGAGGGAAACAGGTCGCTGCCTCGGCTATTCGTGCTCGCGTCGGTCGGAGTCTAGGTGCTGTCGTTACCCTTCATCCGATATCCCTGCCCCTCATTGGCAACAGAGCAAGCGTCTGCGAGGCCAGGTACCGCTCGCAGCTGCAGCCTCCTCTCGCTAGTCTCTCAGGGTGCCAACCCGGAAACCCTGGTGTTGTTTTGTCGTGTGTGTGTGCCCGTGGTCGCCCAATGTCTCTTCGTGCTTGGCGTCCCCCAGGCCACGGCAACGGGATCAAAGACAGTGGTAACAATTCAGGACTCATAGACAGATAGCAGCAATAAGGGCTGGGCATGCGACATAGACCACTCACGCGGCTTTGATCGGAAAAAGAACAGCCATAAGGGGAAGGGATTGGGGAGAGGGCTAACCTGATTCGAGCTGGCAGCGATGTCATGTCCTGCGATCCAGTGCTCCCCCACAATGCGGGAGAGCATAATCGGCGGGGTTCTGATTGGCCAGCTGGCAGGTCTCCATCCGGACGAGATACTTTCTCGGCTATGACGGTGGCAGCAGCTCCAGCAACAGGTCCTCCGGTTGCCACTTATGACCTAAAATCCCTCCTTGCGAGTTTCTTGCTATCTTTTTAAATTCTCCTCCACTTTTTCGCTCTTCTCTTCCTCCAGAAGCCACCTGGTTTGCAACGTCAACACCTTCTACCTCAATTGACTCTGTGAAGCTGCGCTCACCGAGCTGATCGTAAGGCAAGATGATGGCTACTCGTCAGCTCCTGGGCGCTGCCCGGAGCCGCGCTGTGGGCAGCGCGAGCCTGGGCCTCCGGCGCACCATGGCTACCGTCTCCGACTCTGCCCTTGACAAGAAGGTGAGCACTCGACCGGCTGGGACGACAACCTGGGAAGCACTGGTGATCATGGCTTATCTGACACATGCTCGCGCAAACAGGTCAAGCAGAACAACTGGGAGGAGGGCAACTTCATCAACTACAAGAAGATGTCTGAGAACCTCGCCATTGTCCGTTCCAGACTCAACCGCCCTCTCGCCTATGCCGAGAAGATTCTCTACTCCCACTTGGACGATCCCCATGGACAGGAGATCGAGCGTGGTGTCTCCTACCTCAGACTTCGCCCCGACCGCGTTGCCTGCCAGGATGCTACCGCCCAGATGGCCATCCTTCAGTTCATGTCCGCCGGCATGCCCTCCGTCGCCAACCCCACTACCGTCCACTGCGACCACTTGATTGAGGCTCAGCAGGGTGGTGAGAAGGATTTGGCTCGCGCTGTTGGTATCAACAAGGAGGTCTACGACTTCCTTGCCTCTGCTTGCGGTATGTTCTCCCTGTGCTCTCAGCACTTCTTTCAACTTGGTTTAGAACAATATACTAACATATGTAAACAGCTAAATATAACATGTAACATATGCGTATTCCTGCCATCGAGAACGATTTACTGACATGATTATAGCGGTTTCTGGAAGCCCGGCTCTGGTATCATTCATCAGATTCTTTTGGAGAACTATGCTTTCCCCGGTGGTCTCCTTATCGGCACTGACTCCCATACCCCCAACGCTGGTGTAAGTTGAATGCGATGGCGAAAGAAAATCAGGCGCTGACAGGAAATAGGGTCTCGGTATGGCTGCCATTGGTGTCGGTGGTGCTGACGCTGTCGATGTTATGGCCAACCTCCCCTGGGAGTTGAAGGCGTAAGTGCTTTTAGCGTAAATCTTAAAATGTGCGCAGCGCTAACATTTTCATAGTCCCAAGGTTATCGGTGTTAAGCTGACTGGCTCTCTCTCTGGCTGGACTTCTCCCAAGGATATCATTCTCAAGGTTGCTGGCATTCTCACCGTCAAGGGTGGCACTGGTGCCATCGTTGAGTACTTCGGCCCTGGTGTCGACAGCTTGTCTGCCACTGGTATGGGTACCATCTGCAACATGGGTGCTGAGATTGGTGCCACCACCTCCCTCTTCCCCTTCAACGACCGCATGTACGACTACCTCAAGGCCACCAAGCGTACCGAGATCGGTGACTTCGCCCGCTCTTACGCCAAGGAGCTCCGTCAGGATGACGGTGCCGAGTACGACCAGCTCATCGAGATCAACCTCTCTGAGCTCGAGCCCCATATCAACGGTCCCTTCACTCCCGATCTTGCTACCCCCATCTCCAAGTTCGCCGAGGCTGCCAAGGCCAACAACTGGCCCGATGAGGTCAAGGTCGGTCTTATCGGCTCTTGCACCAACTCCTCGTACGAGGATATGTCCCGCGCCGCCTCCATCGCCCGCGATGCCCTCAACCACGGCATCAAGTCCAAGGCTCTCTTCACCGTCACCCCCGGTTCCGAGCAGATTCGCGCCACCATTGCCCGTGATGGCCAGCTCCAGACCTTCGAGGAGTTCGGTGGTGTCGTTCTTGCCAACGCTTGCGGCCCCTGCATTGGTCAGTGGGATCGCCAGGACGTGAAGAAGGGCGAGGCCAACTCCATCATCTCTTCCTACAACCGTAACTTCACCGGCCGTAACGATGGTAACCCCGCCACTCACTCCTTCGTCACCTCCCCCGATCTCGTCGTCGCCATGTCCATTGCCGGCTCTCTCTCCTTCAACCCCCTCACCGATACCCTGAAGGACAAGGATGGCAAGGACTTCAAGCTCTCTCCTCCCACCGGCAACGGTCTCCCCGAGAGAGGCTACGACCCCGGCCAGGACACCTACCAGGCCCCCCCTAAGGACCGTGCCAACGTCACTGTCCAGGTCTCCCCCACCTCCGACCGTCTCCAGCTCCTCTCTCCCTTCAACGCTTGGGATGGCAAGGATGCCACTGACATGCCCATCCTCATCAAGGCCCAGGGCAAGACCACCACCGATCACATTTCCATGGCCGGTCCTTGGCTCAAGTACCGTGGTCATCTCGACAACATCTCCAACAACATGTTGATTGGTGCCATCAACGCTGCCAACGGTGAGGCCAACAAGATCAAGAACTTCACCACTGGTGAGTGGGATGCCGTCCCCGCTGTTGCCCGTGACTACAAGGCCAAGGGCATCCGTTGGGTCGTTATCGGTGATTGGAACTACGGTGAGGGTTCTTCTCGTGAGCACGCCGCTCTCGAGCCCCGCCACCTTGGTGGTCTCGCCATCATCACCCGCTCTTTCGCTCGTATCCACGAGACCAACCTCAAGAAGCAGGGTATGCTTCCTCTCACCTTCTCCGACCCCGCCGACTACGACAGGATCAACCCCGATGACAAGGTCGACATCCTCTGCACTGAGCTTGCTGTTGGCAAGCCCATCACTCTCCGTGTCAAGCCCGCCAACGGTGAGGCTTTCGAGATCCCCCTCTCGCACACCTTCAACGAGGCCCAGATTGAGTGGTTCAAGAACGGTTCCGCTCTCAACACCATGGCCAAGAAGACCAAGAACTAAAATACCCCAAAATGTGACGTGCGTCATGAATCGGAGAATGAGAATGGTGGTGTGAGGGCCGACAGGAAAGATCGGCGGCTTCTGGAACTATGGGAATTGGCGTAACCGCAGCAACTGTTTCCTTTTGTATGTATAGTCATGGCCTTGCATTTCAATGGTACTTGTCATTTATATGAATCTGGTGTCTGGGCTGTTGTTCAATGGTTTGTGTGGAATCTGGAATTTCACCGGTATACATTTGGAGTTGAGGGAACACCGCGTTCTTTGGTGTAAGTATACCGCTGGTGTATCGCTATCATTTACGTACGATGAATGAAGATTTGAAGAAAACTACCCGTTGTAATATCTTGAAATGTCGTCATGTGTTGTATCAGCCTTATGCTACTAATTTTGGCGAAGATGCACCAACGTGGGGGCCGCACGTTGTTAAATAATTTATTTTTTTGGGTTGGATATCCTTACCTGACTTTCCGCTACATATTGGCGAAGATGCCGGCCGGCAAGAGCCATTTTTCATATTATGCATTTATCGGGTTGATCAAATGCCAAACCAACCGTTATCCTTATCGCCGTGCAGCTGTCAGCATGTTGGATTATGAGGTAGGGTCCATCGCGCATCCGTCCAATTCCCTTGATGCATGCGCGGTTGGCTGAGGTCTCTTCCACTTTGGTTATTGTGGTTTCTTCCCGCATTTTCACACTCTTGATTTTATGTCATATACGCTAGAAGCGAGGTTTTGTTGAGGCATCCGGCGACGAAGCGAATGACCTGACGACGGCCACAATCGCAACGAAGCGAGCCGGTCGAACAGCCCAACGAAAGCGACGCAGGAAAAAGGGGCCTACCAGAAGAGAAGGGATACGCAGTAATTGGTCCTGGAACATCACGACGATTCGGTTATATAACAGTTTAATCACGACTTTACGTTTTCTCAACACTTACCGTATTTTCCGGGAATAGATACAACCAAATCAGACACCATGCCACCCAACATCACCGCGCTCAACACCACCCGCGCGCGAACCTACGTCTTCCGGCTGCCGCTGTTTACACGAGTGGTAATAATTGCGATTGTTGGATTCTGGCTGGCGGGGTTACAGAGCATAGTTGATATTCAACAATGGGGGGCGCTGATACCGGACGAGATGGGACTTGCTACTCGTATGCTTGCCCAATAACCCAAAAGAAGATGGACTACAAGACAGGGCTGACTGACGTTGGGGATAGTATACCGCATGAACACCTTTCCGTTTATCCACCTCAACATTTTCCACGCTGTGATGAACATACTCGCCTTGACACCTCTGATGGAGAGGTTTGAGGCTGAGTACGGCACGCTGAACTGCCTGGCGTTATTTTTTGGGCGTGAGTATCCCATCTGTGAACACTATGGAGTGACACGGCTGACAAATAATAGCATTAACAACCATTCCCGCGTTTCTGTACATCGGTTTGGAGAAATTCGTTTTCGGTAACAACGTTGCAGTCATGGGAGCGAGCATGTGGGTGTTTTTGCTGCTCGGGGTGGAGGCGGTCAAGACTTACAAGGTCAATCCGAACTTTGTCATTGGGACGTACAGTATTCCTACTTGGACGACGCCGATTGGGGTGCTGTTTGCGATGGCGGTGTTGGTGCCGAGCTCGAGCTTTTGGGGACATGCGGCTGGGTTGGTGATTGGTTATGGTGGTATGTTTTCCTCAACTCTTAACAAGAAAGAAAAGAGACAGTGTGCTGACGTGAAGGGTGTAGCTGGTTTGGGCTATGTTAAGTTCCTTGCGCCACCAGAGAAGATTCTGAGATGGATCGAGGGGAAGCTGAATCTGCTGGGGAGACTGCCGCACTATGTGAGCATTGACCAGAAGACGTATGGCAGGTTTGGAGTGCTGCCTTCGAATAACACCCCTGCTGCTGCTTCACCAGGTGTTGCGTTGGGGTTGGTCGGGAGTACCCAGAGGTTAGGACCTTAGATTTGGGGGACGGGGATTGGGATTATGAGGCGATGTCTTGTATGAACAAAGTGTTGGGTTATGTTCTTCTTGTAATGTAATTCTAGCACGCTGGGTATACCATGGGGTTGGGAAGGTACGATGGGAGGGATAAGGGTTATGTTAATTTGGGCTGGAAGGTGAGCCCTGCTATAGATATGATATACGTAATGCTTCTCTTCGGGTTGGACATTCTTCAACTCGAATTCCAAAGTCAACATTTTCTTAAAACAAACCCCAAAAGCTGTTGAGCCGTTATGGTTAATAATTAACCCAATCAGGTTAGCGCAACCGCGTATTATGTATGAAACGGCGCGCCACGGTTTCGGTCCCCAATTAATCACACAAGCGCGCGACCCCTGATTCAGTAGGCGCATCTGACAGCACAGCTCTCGAGAGAGCTTCCCGCTGCATGCAATTGACGGCACTGCAGTCAAGATGCCGCGATTATTATGTGAGTAACTCAGAATCCTGGGACGACTACAGCTTGCTAACGGCTTGTTTCCTGAATAGCTAGCGCGCTGGCGCTTCGTCGCGACCCACGAATTCTAAAGATCCCACCATACCTCTCGTTGCTGTGCATCCTTGTCGGTGCGGTGTGGCTGTTCCTCCTCCCGCTGAACGAGTACTCGAGACGGACATACATTTCGGAAAATGCGCTTTTACCGGGACAGGTACATACTTATTTTGGGGGGAGTGACCAGAATGTTCTTAGGGCGTATAAGCAGGAGGTGAACTCGCTGGTGGGGAAGAGTAATGTCGAGTAGGTGCTTGCATAGGATTGACTCGGGCTGGATGGTTGGGGGGCTGACAAGAGGAATAGGATCAACGACAAGCTCGAGTCGATAGTCAGAGGTCTTGGGCTCAAGACGGCGAGGCAGAACTTTACGTATCATGCGGCGGGACGGACGTTTGAGGGGGAGAACCTTTATGCGATCCTTCAGGCTCCGAGGGGAGATGCTACTGAGGCCATTGTTCTGGTGGCTGCTTGGGAGAATGTCAAGCATGAGGTTAACAAGAATGGGGTTCCTCTGGTGTTGACTTTGGCGAGATATTTCAAGAGGTGGTCGCTTTGGTCGAAGGATATTATTATCCTTCTTAGTCCTGACAGCATCGCTGCTCCTCAGGCTTGGGTTGATGCCTACCATGATGCGCACGACAACTCCCGGGTGGCCAGCCTGCCTATCAAGTCGGGGGCTCTTCAGGGGGCTATTGCTATTGACTATGTTCAGGAGAACCGCTTCAAGAGCGTTCATATTGTTTATGATGGCGTCAACGGCCAGCTTCCCAACCTCGACTTGATCAACTCCGTTGTTAATATCGCCGGAGGACAGATGGGTATGGGCGTGGCTTTGCAGGAGATGTGGAACCACAATGACAAGTATCCTGACCGTCTTCGCACCATGCTTCGGGGTATGCTCAAGCAGGGTCTTGGCCTTGCCAGCGGTCCTCACAGCAGCTTCATCCCCTACCACGTCGACGCCGTTACTCTTCAACCCTTTGGCGAAGGCTGGCAAGATGAGATGGCCATGGGCCGTGTCGTTGAGGGTACCTTCCGCAGCTTGAACAACCTCCTCGAGCACCTCCACCAGAGCTTTTTCTTTTACCTGCTCATGCACCGCGAGCGCTTCGTCAGCATCGGTACTTACCTCCCCAGCGCCATGCTGGTAGCCGCCAACTTCACCATCATGGCCATCTTCCTCTGGATGAAGAGCGGGCAACCCGAGATCCCGGCCGCCTCAACCACCGAGTCTTCCGACAAGGACGACGCCCCAACACCAACCACCGAGCGTGATCTCTTCCTCCCTCTGGCGGTAGTAGCCCTATCCGGCTCCCTCTCCGCCATCCCTCTCTACATCTTCAACCACGTCCCCGAATCGGTAAGCCATCCCCTCCCGTTCCCCCCCCCTTTTTTTTTCTTTCTTTTTACTAACCCTCCCTTTAGGCTCTAACCCCCCTCTTCTACCTCTTCCTCCTAATCAACACCCTCTTCCCAATAACCCTCTCCCTCACCATAACAACCCTCTTCTCCCCAACCCTCCAACAATATCACCTCGTCAAATCCTTCTCCCTCCTGCTCCTGGGCATGTTCCTCTCCTCCCTCGCAACCCTCAACTTCTCCCTCGCAATGCTCATCGGCCTCTTATCCGCCCCCCTCTCCTTTGTCAAACCTTCCTCCTCCCCTGTGTCCCGCATTGTCGGGTTCGTCCTCCTCAACCTCACCAGCCCCCCCGCTGTCCTGCTCGCCAGCGCGGCGATTTGGGGTCTCAACGTCGGTGACATCTTGCGCGAGGCAGCAGTGGCGTGGCATGTGACGGGGACGTACTCGGCCGTGGTGGTCTGGTGCGTTTGGTGGCCGGCTTGGTTGGCGGGGTGTGTTTGTGTTTTGGGGAGGCCGGGTCGGGATTAAGAAGAGGAAAAGAAGGTGAAGAAGGCTTGACGGAGTAAAAAGATTTTGTTTTTGTTGGCGTTGATTTAATTTTTTTCGTCATCTATCATGGAAGACAGCAAAAAAAGGGGAAAATATTTACATCAGGAGACAGGAGTGCATAGTTTATACCATATCCACCAGTACCCAAGCCAAGTTTGCAAATACAACGACATCAAAACCCAAGCTTCAGTGTATAAGATCATAAAACGCTCAGACTTTCATCATTTGTCTAATTACGTCAAGGGTTGTACAAGGCTACTACTCTATGCCATGATTTCCACACGCCAGTCTAGCCCAGCATCGAAGCTCGCTGTTTCTTTTCTCTCTCACTCCTCATCCATCAACGTCTTGTCCCGTCTAAAATCCGACTAAGCAGCCCAGACGTCCTGCCCGACCTTCTCAATCCAGTTGCCCAGCTGCTCCACACTGGAATCCCACTCCTTCAACCTCGACCTCATGTTCTCAATCTGCGTCATATCCAACACCTTGGGCTGCACCCAGTTGATATGCGCCACCTCATCCACCTGGTCAATCGTCCCCCTCAACAGCCCCAGACTAAGCGCCTTCATGATCAGATGCTCAATCTCGTGTGGCTTGACCTTTGTCTCTGACGCAATCGTGTCAAACGACATGGCCCTGTCGTGAGGGGGACGTCTAAACACCGCCTCGGTAAGCGCAGCGAGGTAAATCTTCTCTCTGAGCTTATTAGAGTGCGCCGCCAGCAGAGGATGAGCCTGGATCTGGTTGGCCAGCAGGTCATACTGCACCAGATCCCCCTTGTTGAACGCAAACACCAGGTCCCTTAGCCACTTGTCCTCCTCCCTCTCCTTGAGCGCATCCAGAATAGGGTGGAGGAGCAGCTCGCCAAAGTTGTAGATGGAGGCACTCACGAGCGCGGCGATGGCGAGGTCGTGTGCCCTGTGGCGGCGCTCCTCGTACGGGAGGTTCTTGACGTCGATGCAGGCTAGGTAGAGGAGGGCGTTCTTGTAGTAGGCGCCAAAGTCTTGCTTGGCTTGGTAGTAATCCGCCTGGGCGTGGTAGAAGGAGGAGTGAACGATGGTCTCGACCGAGTCGAACTTGTCGAGGATGGATTCGGCCTTGTCGAGGTCTTTTCGGGCGCCGGGGAGGTCTTCGAGGTCGAGCTTGACGCGGGCGACGGCGATGAGGGCGAAGACGTGGGCGTCTTGGGAGTTTTCCTTGTCGACTCTGGTCGCTACGGATTGCATAAAGGCGAGGCGCTCGTTATTGTCTGGTGGTGGGTGGGTTAGTATTGTTGCGTCATGTTGGAAGTTCAACGAAGGCGAAGTAAGCTACCTAGGCATTGTGTGGCGGCTTTGAGGGCGAGGTCGACGAGCTTGAGTTGGTTGATTCTGTCGGCGAACTTCAAGACGAAGACCTTGTAGAATTGTAGGCGTTGGGGGGCGCTCCCGGGGTGGTTGAAGAACTCGATGAGCTTGTTGGTGAGTTCGTGCCAGAGCTTGCGCTCCCATAACGTCTCGAACTCCAGGACATGACCCTGGAGCTCATCGATGGTGTTATCCCGCTGCTCGGCGAGAAAGTCGGAGATGGTGTCGACGTTCATGATGGCCGTCCACTGTGTGGTTAATTCTGTGGGTTAGATGGTGTGTTCACTATCGATCCTGGATTCCTTCCGAATATGTGACTCGCGGGGGTATCAATCGAAGTTGAAATGTTGAAAGTTAAAGTTGAAGATGAAAGCTGCTTGAGGCTGCCCGCTGCTGAGAGCCCAGCTTCCCTCTTGACGCGGCAGGGCAGCCTATCGATGAGGTACGTACCTGGCGGGAGCTGGCCTGTGCTCCCTCTGCCTTGCTCAAGCTCCCCACCCCTGATTGGCTAGCGTCATCGACGACCAGGGCAGTAGTGGGTCTGGGAGCTTTGAAGCGGGCGGGCAACTTGATGGTGGTGGTTGAATGCCAATTGACGAAACGAAGCTCCCATATTTCCGTATTTCCTCGACGACGCTCACGTCAATTGAGAGGGCCCAGCGCTTCTAGCGATCTCAAAGTCCACAGTCCAGTAAATATGGCCTCAATGCCGACCGCCGTGCGGACGGCGGCGCCCAAGATCGCCAGGAGCGCATTTCACCACCAGCGCCGAGCCCTTTCCGACGTCCACATCACGCGCACCGGCAAGCCTCTTATCCGCACCCAGGGTGGCCGGTCCGTTGCTTCTCCTTTTTGACTGAGACAAAAGGGGCCTTTCTGATAGAGTATCGACAGTTCTTCCATCGGCGAGCACACTGCCACCGTCTTCGGCGCCACTGGCCAGCTCGGTCGTTATATTGTCAACAGATTAGGTTCGAACTACCGAGGGGCAGAGGCAATTATGAAGGGGGACTGACGGAATGTTGCGTGTAGCGAGACAAGGATGTACCGTCGTTGTGCCCTACCGTGAGGAGATGGCCAAGCGCCATCTCAAGGTGACAGGTGATTTGGGTCGGGTTGTCTTCGTGGTATGGAGAGAGTCTTCAGGAAAGGAAACGAGAGCCATGATGCTAAAGAGGGGCTAGGAATACGACCTGCGCAACACCCAGTCGATCGAGGAGAGCGTCAGACACTCTGACGTTGTCTACAACTTGGTTGGCCGGAACTACCCTACCAAGTGAGTGCGGCGACGTTGGTCTTGGTCAAAGGGGGAAAGGGGGCTAACTAGGTCAGGAACTTCTCCTATGAGGATGTCCACATTGAGGGTGCTGAGAGGATCGCGGAGGCGGTTGCCAAGTACGATGTTGATCGGTTCATCCACGTCTCTTCGTACAACGCCGACCCTAACCACGTTTCCGAGTTCTACTCCACCAAGGTATGTAGCCCCTGAACAGCCAAGTGGAAAGGTGCGGAGGTCTAACAGACTACACAGGGCCGTGCTGAGCACGTTGTCCGCAGCATCTTCCCCGAGACCACCATCGTGAGACCTGCTCCCATGTTCGGTTTCGAGGATAACCTGCTCCTCAAGCTTGCCAGCGTTGTCAACCTCTTCACCTCCAACAACATGCAGGAGAAGTTCTGGCCAGTACACGTCATCGATGTCGGTGAGGCTTTGGAGAAGATGCTCTGGGACGACAACACTGCCGCCCAGACTTTCGAGCTTTACGGTCCCAAGCAATACGCCATGGCTGAAATCGCCAAGCTGGTTGACCGTGAGATCTTCAAGAAGCGCAGACACATCAACGTGCCCAAAGCCATCCTCAAGCCTGCGGCTGCCATCATCAATAAGGCTTTGTGGTGGGACATCATGTCGGCCGACGAGATTGAGCGCGAGTTCCACGACCAAGTAATTGACGAGACGGCCAAGACTTTCAAGGATTTGGACATTGAGCCCACCGACATCAGCAAGTGGACTTACCATTATCTGGTACGTTTTATTTTTTATTTTCCCTTTTTGCTTTGTTTGCATCGACTAACCCCCTTCCAGCAAGGTTTCCGTTCCTCAACATTCTACGACCTGCCGCCTGCCACTGAAAAGGAGAAGAAGGAGGAGAGAAAGTATCTCCACGTTTTGGATGAGTAAACTGTTGTCAGGGGCCTGGGGTGGAGAGCACGGGACACCACGTAGAGTGTACATACCTATGTAACTAGAAATTTCCTTGGGTTGTGTGGGTTCAAAAGACAAGACGAAGAAGAGAACCGTCGTTGTTGTTGTTGTTCAATTTTAATGCCAAGTAGTTGCAGTTGAAAGAGGCTGTTGCAACCCTCAAAACTGGGCTCTGGACTTGCCAAAAAATGCAAGATTTCCACAGATGGGTCCAAATTTTTGCTGCAGACTTTCACTTTCAACCGAACAGCCCCATCCAGTCACACCTTTTTGCTTCACTAACACTTCACAACCAAAACTCACCCGAAAATGGCCGGCCAAGATAGTGACGATGAGATGTGAGTCTGTTTGTGAGAAACAGTTGAATGTGAAACTAATACTATCACAGTGTTCTCTCCTCCTCCGCCCTCGATGCACTGAAGGAGTTCTACGCCGAGCGCGATGCCCGGCAGGAGCAGTTCGCCAAGCTTCAGGCCAAAGCCGAAGAGCAGCATGATTTGCAGCAGCAGAAGCTGTCGATGGAGGCGTTTGGGGAGGACTGGAACGAGTCTCAGTTTTGGGTCAGCATAGCTTCCTCTCAATGATGGTCAGAAATAAATGCTAACATTGTGAGAAAACAGTACTCGGACGAAACAGCAAACTTCCTCGCCAGACAGCTCCTGCTCAACGCAACACCAGACATGACGATTGGTGTCGTTTCTGCTCCTAGTGTTTTTGTGGCTTTGAAGAATATCTTGGTATGCTCTCTCTATTCCGTCTCTCCTTTCTTGCAAGATCACTAACAAAAGGAAAATTAGAATGCTGCCAGCCCAGAAGAGCCCAAACCAAAGCTCATCCTCCTCGAACACGACAACCGCTTCGCCGTCTTTTCCGAGTTTTCCTTTTACGATTTTGCCCAGCCGACTAAACTCCCTGGTATGTTCCCCTTCCCCCTCCCCCTTTTTCCCTAACTAACACCCCTTAGCGCACCTAAAATCCTCCTGCGACCGCATCATCTGCGACCCCCCCTTCCTCTCCGAAGACTGCCAAACCAAAGCCGCCATCACCGTCAACTGGCTCTTCAAGCCCACCGCCGCTGACGACAAAAAGCTCATCGTCTGCACCGGCGAGAGGATGGAACCCCTCGTCAGCCGGCTCTACAAGTCCGTCGGTCTTAGAACCACAGACTACGACCCTGTGCATGCCAGGGGGCTAAGTAACGAGTTTTACTGCTATGCTAATTTTGAGAGTTTGGGGTGGAAGTGGAGGGAGGAAAAGTAAATTCCCTACCTACTTTGTAGATATAGGTAGCATGGCTTCATGACAGACAACCTTTCCGCATGTCTGGTAATGGTGCTTCAAAAGTGCGCTCAATGAACCACACCAAATCTATTACCCCTTTCCCAACCAGTATTTCATATCAATGAATGCTTTTTATACAGTGCAAGAAGTGGTTTTTACAAATGCCGCTCCTTCCTTCATTGGAAGAGATCCCCGTACATCCATCCATAAAACCAAATAAAACCACAACAATCCATTTTCGCCGGTCTCTTTCGCTTTCGCGGAAGAACAACAAGATCAAGAATAGCCAGCTAACAAAAAAAACCAACTATCACTTCAACTCTGCGGCTCAAAAGGTCGGCCCCGTTCCATTGGACGATATGGAGACAGTCCAACCAGCTCTGCCTAAGAAACCCAGCAAGGTTCCTACGTCAACGACCTGACAATATAAAACAAGAGGTAGGCTTTTGCGTTGAGCACGTCCGACTTCTGGGCAACTTCCACCTTGTGGTCGTTGAAAGCGAACCACTTTCAGTCTTGTTAGCATTGCCATCTTCCAAAGTGAAAAGAAGGGACATACCTGATCACCAACCCGACAATACGACACATAATGCCCCGTATCAATCTCCCCCACGTGCACCACCACACTCAACAAATCATACGTGCACTGCCTCGCCAGCTCGTAGCTATCTTTTGTGTCCCCAGACCGGCCAACAGTCGTATAAGGCAGCATATTCAACTGCAGCGGGAACTGAACCGGGGTGTCGATCTTGGCTGCTCGCTCATGACGGCCTTGCTTGTACTCGAATCTCTATTCAAGTGTCAGTGGCCACTTTCACTTGCTCGCCAAAAAAGGAAGGAGGGAAACGTACCTTCAGCTGAATCGACAGCACATTCGGCAACCGCTTGATACTCGTCTGTCTCCTCGCCTGCTGCGTCGAATTACATCCATTACACCTATACTCGCACTTATCAAGCTTGACATACTCCTCATCCAAGCACTCTTGCAGCGTCATCGTCCCCTTGCCCCCCAGCAGCTTCTTCCCTCCCTTTTTCTGCGTCAGATTCTCCAGCGGCAGACTCAAGTCCAAAAAGCTTTGTACTTGGTTCGTCACTCCCTGACAATTCTGGCACGTTGTCTGCGTTTGCAGTTTACCATAAAAAGTCTGGTGGATGATGCAGTTACAGCTGTGCTCACTCCCAATCTCTGGTTTCTTCCCGTCACCGTTCCTCTCGTGCAGCTCCTCGGCCAAGAACTGGAAAAACTCGTGCGCGTCTTGCTCCTTGGTCGTGACGAGATTTTCAAAGGCTTTCCGCTCCGAGATCCAGAATCCACTGAGGATATTGGCCGCCGTATAGCCATTGGTGTTTTCCACGGCGTAAAAGTCTTGAAACATGTCATCCATGGCGCAGGAAAGGCAGTGGGGGGTGTCGCAGCCCGAGTGGCCGTCGCTCAGGTAGTAGTTTCGGAGGATGGGGTTGTGAAGGAACGACTGGAGAACGACGTTTTGGTAGCAGGTGGCACCTGCGTTGTAGATGCCTCGGAGACCGTTGGCTTTGCAGGTTGCTGTCGTGGTGTTTTGGGAGATGTAGGCGGGGCTATCTTTGACAGGATCGGGCGAGAAGAGCTCGTCTTGCTTGCGTTTCCGTGCTGCAATAAAGATAAAGATTAGTTATAGCTAGACTGACAGACAGACAGAAAAGAGAGGCCATACTGTTGGAGAATGTGCTTGTGCCGAGTTTCTTCAGCCGAAGCTCTTCAAAGGTTGGGTCATAGACCATGTCGTCGCACATTTGGCAGTAAAGAGCGGCGCTTCTCGAGTCGACATAAAAACGGTGCGACTTCTTGTTTCCATGTTTTATTCGGTCTTCCTCAGTAACCGTTGATGGGCACTGAAGACAAAGATAGGTCGGTGTGAGAGTGGTGACAACTTGCTGAGTGTCCACCACCTTCACCGTCTGGGAGACGACCGGGGTCTGGTCGAATATTGTACGGAGAATCATCTTGTAATGATGGATCGATGTGTTGGTCGTCACTTGATCTTGGTTGAAGAGCTTCTGTAGGTGTTCTATCGAGACACAGATGTTAGCAAACATCATGCAATTACACAGGGGACCGGAAGGACCTACCGCAACCGTACATGGGCTGGCCTTGCTGGGCTGCTTTGACTTTGTAGTTCTTGGGCGACGCCGGTGTGGCGGGCCTCGCGGATGACATCTTGAATAGTCTTGGAGTCTATACGAAGTGATACACTTCCAAGCTGGTGTGGCTGGCTCGGTCGAGGGAACCCCGCGATTGAATAGGGGGGGAGGGGACACTGGCGAGATCAAGATGCGCCAGGCACGGTTATCATGCGGCTGTTGGAGTTACAGACTTTTTCAGTTTCCGCGTTGGATCTTTTGATGACTTTTCCTGCCTCAAAGTACCCAAGAAAACTTGTCGGCAAGGGGTGGTCCAGAGGGGTCACGTCGCGAAGTTGGGATAGCTTTCAGGGTGCTTGGCCGTGTAAGTCGAACTTGTCGACCGGGGCTGGAAATGGTCTTATTGACCGTGGCGCGCGGCGATCAAAGCTCAATGGCTTTCACAGGGATTCAGAGTCAAAATATCGGCTTTCACTCTTTGTTCCGGTGCAATTCGACCGGGTCAAGGGTTCCAAGAAAGCTTTAAGCCACGAAAGTAAACAAAAGATGTTGGCTGCTGGGATTGTGCCGATTCAGCGATCTCAGTTGCTTCCACGGCAAGGCAGGCGTCCAACGGCCACACGGCTGGCTGGAAATTGCTTATCGCTATCCGCCCGCAAGGCTTATCGATACGCTGTGGACCCCTTCAGCTTTCCGGCGCTAATGTGGGATGTCACTGGATGGCGACATGCCGCCAAGACAGCATCAACATCAGCCTCGGCACAGCTGAGCTCTTCTCTTGCTTCTGGAACTCATCTTCCCATTCATATGTTTTCGAGTGTATATAGGTGAATATAACAGTGTTAGTATGTCATCAACAAGGCTGAATGAGCTGACGAAACATATAACAACATAAAGTCAACTATAACGTTGTGTTGTTCGTCATCTCATCTGGTATCAGAATCAAATTCCTCCATCCCAAATTTATTCAAGGTATCACCACTCCCGGCAGCTGAGTGAGACTCGAACAAAGCCCTGCAAAAAGCACCTCACATGTCCGTCCCCATGCCCGGGTAACTGTTACTTACTTTGCGTCTACCCAAAACCCGGACATTGATCACCGAGACCACTTTACCCCGCAGCAGCCTTGCTTGATCCCCTAACCCCGCGTCGTTATCCCACTTATAAATCCCACCATCAAGCTCGTACTATCTCAAGACCCAAAAGCTGGTTTTGGTGTTTTGGTAATGCGCCTCCTCCCCCTATTCCTCCGCCGCCAATCTCACAACCTTCACCACCTTCACCACCACCACGACAAAACCCACATCCCCGAACCAAATCCCCTCTTCAAAATGGCACAACTACCCCCTCTCCCAGAAGTAACCCTCCTAGCCCCCTCCATAACCCGCATCCTAGCCGGCAACCCCTCCAAATTCACCCTCCAAGGCACCAACACCTACCTCGTCGGCACCGGCCCAAACAGAATCCTAATCGACACCGGCGAGGGAAAACCAACCTGGATCACCGCCCTCAAATCCTGTCTCTCCTCCTCCTCAGGCGCCACAATATCAAAATGCATCATCACCCACTGGCACCACGACCACGTAGGCGGCATCCCCGACCTCCTCTCCGCCTTCCCCAGCATCAAAATCTACAAGCACAGGCCAGACTACCACAACCCGACCAACATACCCTTTTTGGACATTTCCGACGGGCAAGAGTTTGAAGTGGAGGAGGGAGGAGGAGGAGGGGCGAGGTTAAAAGCGGTTCACACCCCAGGCCATACAGAAGATCACATGGTACTACAATACTTTCCCCCCTCTTCATCTCAGCAAGAACAGCCCGGTCTTTTTACCGGGGATAATGTCCTCGGCCACGGGACCGCTGTGTTTGAAGACCTTTCTGCTTATCTCACCTCTTTGGCAAAAATGAAGAGTTTGGTTGATGGGAAGGCTTACCCGGGTCATGGGCCGGTTATTGACCAGGGCAGGGAAAAGATTGAGGAATATATCCAGCACAGGCAGCAGAGAGAGGATCAGGTGGTCCAGCAACTGATAGCCTACCCTGATGTCGCTGTTGCGGGGGGGCAGGAGGGGAGTGAGAAGGGGTGGACGTTGATGGGGTTGGTGAGGGTGATTTATAAGGATGTTCCTGAGGCGCTTCACGTACCGGCTGCTGGGGGGGTGGTGCAGATTTTGAAGAAGCTTGAGCGGGAGGGGAAGGTGAGGGTGTTGGAAGAGAGGGGTGGTGGTGAGGAGGATAGGTGGGTGTTGGTGGGACGGCAGGGGGTAACGGGCTCGGGCCGGGGATCTGCGCTGTGAGTGAGGCCGGGTGAGCCGGGTGGGTGGGTTCCATGGTTTTGGGAACCGTTCTGTCGGGTTTGAAAGGAAAGTGCGAGAGAGGGAGGTTAATGAAGTGATGAGGTCATGATGGTGATGGCTTGGCGCTTGAGAAAGAGTGTGGTGTTGGATTCAGCCTTGTAGCGTTCTAGCATGTTTCCTTTCTGGGGGGGAAGACTGTGGAGGATATCATTATTACAGCAGTGAGTGGGTTACTGTTGTTAGAGATTTGCTGAAGATCCAACGACTATCAGATACTCTTAGGTAGCGCCTGGCGTTTTGCCTCGCTCGAATTCTCATGTTCTTCATGCACATCTTGATGGTATACCAAGACATCTATGTAGAGATGTTCAGCAGCAGAGGCTAGAATAATCACACAGTACGAACATCTACATGGTACAAAAGAGTACCTCGCCAAGTTTGCTTGGGTTGTGTTTGTATAAATGCGATGTCGATTCGGCACTCGGGAAGTTCGGAGTCCGCGGTCTTCAGTGTTAGTATCAAGTCATCAGGAGGTCAAAATTTGCGAGTTTTTTGTCATTTTTTGGGCCAGTTATCCATGTACGGTGGCTGGACAAGTGCTGACATGAGGACTACCAACAAACAGTGATGTTCGCATGTGGTTGCTTGACCCTGTTGGTTCTGCGATAGTCCGGCGTATTCAGATCGTATTAAGAGCTGCACAAATCCTTCTGTCGGTATCTCTGGCTGCCGACGCCGGGAACGGTGTGAATGATTTTTTTGGTGGACGAATCGGAGTTTATAGCAGTCGAGGTCGACGATGACGGATAGCGCAAGAAAGAAGTGAAAGACGCTGCCGGGGTATTCCCCGTCGAGTCATCCGGAACCCTGCATTCTGCAAAAGATCGAGATAGCACCACCACAGAGTTTTGACGGATTTCCAATCATGTCGTTGGGTAGAAATGAGCTGAATTGATAGCTCGATATGATAGTTCTCTTTGCTGATCTGGTCTCGCATTTCCCATCCCATCAAAAGGGGCAACTTTCTGGGAGATAGCCTCTGTTCTGTTTGCGTATCAAAAGGCCAGCCACCAGAGAGGGACAGTTGGTCGGGCTCTTGTCTCGAGTCCGAGCCCGCGAACTGATATCGTGGTCTCCTTGAGCAGATCGTCGATCTGGATGAGGCCGTCACGGCTTTTATGCGCCGAGACTCGGTAGAGCGGCCCCGAGGGTGGTATCGGGCGCAAAAAAAACGTGAGCGGGAGTTGGCGTTGTCAGTTTCTGTTTCTCATCATGTGGGGCAGATCCTGGATGGACAAATGTGGAGTAAGCCGATGGTTGGCGATGGAGGGGTTCAAGGGCTTCATGGAGGGTGAAGAGCGTCCCGGTTTGTCCCTATATGGCCTTTGGTAATACCTGTGGCCTGTAAACTTTTCATTGAATACAGCCTCATATAACTTTCCGCTGGACGAAAAGAAGTTGCGCAACTTATATGATATCTGTCTGGTGAAAGAATTTACACTGTGGTGTAAGCTGTGGGTTGGGTGAGGTGAACCGCCAAGTGCCAACGGTTAAGACCCCGCTTGAAAACTGATTCATCAGCCTTGTAAGCTGAGTATTAACTCCGGTCTCACGACCAACGAGCTAGGGAGATATCGGCAACATATTGTACCGTCATCAAACCCTGGACGAATGAGAAGAACTATTCGCGCTCTTTCGTATCTGTAGCCAAGTGAAAAGCCACCAAGTTAGGTATCAGAACCGACCACATGCCACAGCTGTGACACCCAAGACTAACACCATCTCCCTTCCCCCAAGGCTGACTCAAAGAATCGCACGAGGGCCTGCCACCTGATTGGATAGCGTTCATGATGCGGTGACATGGTCGGGGGCGTCTGTTGAAGATGACTCTCCACACAGTGCAGCGTCACTGTGGACCCTTCATCGACAACCTTCCACGACGCCCAGCCCCAGAAAGGCACGAGAAGGCTCGGATGTGCCGGAGTTGATGAGTACAAGCCGTGGAAGTGACATATGGAAGCCGCTTCGCTGCAAAGACCGAGCACGAGTAGAATCGAGGAGAACACTTGCCCATCTTGGCCCCAAGAAAGAGGTTGGAATTACACATCACCATGTCCTTGTATACCGGATCAGGGAAAGAGCTATGATGGGTCCTTTCTACCTCTACATGAAGCTTGCAATGTTTGGAGCTTCCTTTATAAGGTCTCTCAGGCCACAACCTGTCCACACCCTCTAGTTCCGGAACGGTCTGTTCCCCAGATCAAACCACACCAGTCTTTGTCCTTCATCTGATCCGATACCTTGGGTCTGGATTCATTGGGTCGAACTTGATTCCATTTTTATGACGATAACGGCACTTTTATCCCATCTTCAGCCCTTGAATCAGAATTCGCTATTACAACAACATCCGCCTACACGATATCATATTCAACGACCACATACCATTGACCAGCATCCATTAGCCAGCATCACCTCCTGGGGACTTCGAAAACAGCGTGTTATGTATAAGCTAGGAGAGTCCAGATGATGGCACATTTGAGATCACCTGGTATCCTCATGCCAGCCCTTACGGGCTGGGTAATCCTCAGCCTCGCCCGAGGAGCCCTCGCACATGGGGGGCATGGCGGCATGGAGATGACAGAAGCCGACAAGCCTCTCCCAGAGGATCAATACCCACCGACATATTTCGCCCATCCGGACCACAAAGCGGCTATCTACGGACATATTATCTTGATGGTTCTGGGTTGGATGTTTGTACTGCCCGCAGCTGTTATGCTATCCCTTGCTCGCTCAAGATACACCCTCTATGCGCAGTTCAGCTTCCTCGCTTTAAACACGGGTGGCATGCTGTTGGGCATCGTCTACAACGCCAGTACGCCGGATCTCTACCCAAATAATGCCCACCACAAGATCGGATGGATCGTCACCATCGCTGCCGTATCCCAGGTGGCCATTGGACTTTTGGCACGCGTGGCCGGCATGATGAAGAGGGGAGAGCTGGGCAACGTGAGGGAACGCCAGGGTTTCATCCCCGTGTCGACTGAGGCCATTCAAGCCCACGAATCAGGATTTCCTGGTCCCTACCGTCGGTTTTCCCATGACAGCGGACAGGGCACAGAGCTCGGCTCGGAAACTCTCCGCAGTCACTCTATCTCGTCACCTCCAACCTCCCCCACTATCCCTTCACATCTCGCTCACAAAGAGTACCAACATGACGACGGTTTTGAGGACGAAGATCTCGAGCACAAAGTGCCATCGTTGAAAAAGACTGGCAAGGCTCTCTCGATGGTGGCAAAGGTGGCTGGCAAGATCTCGGATCGCTTCTGGAAAATCCTCATGTTTGCCTATAACTTTGTTAATCGGACGATTCTTCTCCTTAGCTTCATTGCACTCTGCACAGGGGTTACCACCTACGCCCGATTCTTTGTGAGTTTGAAAGTCTTTTGGTAATAGAGAATAGATGCTAACCATGATGATAGGAGGGCAACGGGATCTTTAGTGGTCTGGCACATTGGATCAAAGGGGGTGTTTTTGTCTGGTTGGGATGGTGGACGCTCGCTCGTTGGGCTGGCAGTTTTGGCGATCTTGGATGGGTAAGACCTCTTGCTTTTTTCAAGTCTGTTACCCCTATTCTAACCATGTTTAGGCTTGGAATGTCCGTCCGAAAAAGGCGGGCCAGAAATGGTGTCCTTCTGCCGAATTCGTCGAAAGTGCCCTCATCTTCTTTTATGGATCGACTAACGTCTTCCTCGAGCATCTCGGCAATTGGGGTGGTGAGTGGTCCTCTCAAGATTTGGAACACGTCTCTATTACGGTCTTGTTCATTGGCGGCGGCCTCTGCGGTATGCTCATCGAGTCGATACGCATTCGCAATCTCTTGAACTTTCATGTTGTCGAAACCGCCCAGGAGGATCACATAGACAGGGACCAACTCCGCGAGCCAGAGACATACGCCTTTTCTCTCAACCCCATACCGGCTCTTGTGATCATTCTCACGGGCCTGATGATGAGCTCTCACACACAAGAGAGCATGATCTCGACCATGGTCCACAAGCAATGGGGCGATCTCATCACTGCTGCGTCGCTTTCCCGCGGCTTGAGTTATGTTGTTATGTACCTCAAGCCGCCCAAGACGATTTACCCCTCGAGGCCACCAACGGAGTTGTTGACGGCTTTTGGTCTTACCGCTGGCGGTTTCATGTTCATGGCTAGTTCCAGTGACACGGTCGACGGCATGATCCACTATCAGCTCAACCCGATGTTCATGTACACGGTTAGCATGGGCTTCGTTGCGTTGATGATGGCGTGGGTGATTTTGCTGGTGGCGTTGAAGGGGTGGGCGGAGAAACGGGAGGCGGCGGGTAGGTTGACTGGGAAGGCGTTTGCGTGAAACGGTCTCTGCCTGCTGATCTTCTCATGGAGATAAAGGAGAAGGCTCAACCACGACGATGGAAAATGACGATGACCATGTGTGGAAGAAAAGAAAAGTTGGAGGAAGTTCGGTTTCGGAAATTCCTTTACGTCGCTTCCAGAGATACCCCGTTTTATACCACCTTTTTGGAGACTTTTATGTTGCATCACACGCTCTCTTGATTTTTGTACACTCGTTCACAGTTGATACCCTTTACATACATACATACGATCGTTGGAATTCGTTTGGGGAATGGGGGGAATACATGGATACAGGAGTGCTGGATGGATGAAGAATATGGCTATGATACAGGCGTACATGATTTTGATTGGGGAAAGAAGGGGCAAGGGGAGCAAGTAATGACTATTGCTTAATGGAGTTGGGTTGTTTTAGGTATATAGATGGGGATTGAACAAGGGGGTTGGTTCACCTCTGTCTATACTGAAATCAGATGACGAAGGGGCTTTGTGAGTGGTGGTGTGTAAATGTCTGATGTGCTCAAGGGGTAAAGGGGTAACGTTGCGATATGGCTATGTGGGGTTGTACAATGAGTTGGACCAAAAGAAATAAACACACTTGAGGGAGGCAACCAGGCTACTACTCCCCAAAGTGTTGAACGCCACGACACTCACCTTGACATGCATCTTGGCTTGCACCTCACTCGCACATCCAGTGTGGTTTCTTACCAAATTAAACTTTCTATTTCAAACGCTGATACCAGAAAAGGATATACAACTACCTGCCAATGTCCGATGCCACAGCAATCTCCGCGTAAAATAATACAGGGATATCAAAAAGAATAAAACAGAACAAATGACGAAGCGGAGTGACTTTTTCCCAATCCTATACCCTTCCTACCCCCCGTGTCCTTTCCTAACCAGCTCCCGTTTCCCTGGGTATAATTGTTCTTATACACCACCCTTTTCCTTTTCCAACCCCCCCCCCCCAAAAAAAACCATTCCTGCTCAGTCTATCGAGCCCTTCCCAACATATTAAAAATAAAGAAAGCAAAAAACAAACACAAATCAGACCTCAATCATCAGGGTAGTACTCCTTAATGTTGGAAACAAACCGACAACTCTCCCGATCAAACCTTTTAAAGAACCTACCCGCCGCGATAAAAAGCTCCTCTGGAATTTCAGCCGGATCCGTGATAATCTCCACATTCTCCTGCGCAATTCTGAGGCGACAATACGCCGGTCTCCTACAACAAATCAGTCACACATTCTCAAAAAAAACCGGGAGCATGGCGTTGCGCGGGGGGGCAACTTACACGCAAGTATAAAAAATCTTGTCAGTCGGCCGCCGGCCATACCCCATCTCGGAATACATATCAAATCTTCCACCTTCCACCCTTGCATCCTCATGCGAGACCGTATGCGGATCCGGCAGCATCATATTCTTGCTTCTCCACCCGTTGATAACGCCCACATACCCGTACCTCTTGTGCCTAAAAACCTGTCCAATCTTGTAGTGCACCGACCGCTGAATGTCCTCTGTGTACCTTCTATGACACGCTGTTGACCCCCGGTTGTCGAGATTGTTCATCATTCGGATGATATCCGGAACGTGCTGCCACCCAACGCGGTCATCCATGGCCATAGGCTGGCGTTTGAGGAACGAGTCGTACGCTTCGTACACGGGCGAGAGATACTTCTCGAGGATCCATAAATCTTCTGACCAGTGTTGTGAACATTCTGCCAGGAGCCTGGACAGGGAGTCGCTCCACCGAAAGGTGGCTGGATCCTTGGTCATGAGGTCAGCCCACATGGCGGCGTATTTGGCTGTGTTGAGGTTGCGAAGAGGAATACCGGTACGGAGGCGGCCGGTAGAGATGATCTTGGGGTCGTTTTCGGGAAGCGTGTACACCTCAGCCCATGAGGCCTTGAGGTTTTTTGCCATTCGCTGGACGATGATGGGCACGGGCGACGGCTGGAAACTGGCAGAGTCGTCGTCGCTTTCCCAGCCATGTTCGACTAACTTGGCGCGAAGGTATTCGATGGGCACCTCGTGATCTGAGGTGAAGGGATCGATGTACATGCGGTGCAAAGCTGTCGGTCGCTTGTTGCTCCACACAAGCTCGCCGTCCAGGTCTTCGCCGGCGGGCGGCTCGACGCTGACATAGGCATGACCTGGGAAGTTGAGACAGGCGGCATTTATCCCCAACCGTTGGGCCACGCAAACGAAGATGGCAGCCGCAACCAGGGGGAGCGACGCGTGCTCCCTTTCGGATAGGACGTGTCCAATAAGGCAGTACTGCAGATTGCGATACTCGCTGATGGGGAACTCGGCGCCAATGTAATTCTTGAGTCGAAGCCAGCGCATCAGGTTAATGGCTTTGTCTCTCGTGTTGAACCTTTTGGAATGTGGATGCTCCGTGATGTATTGGATGGCGTACTGATCAAGCGTCCGGGCGATCTGTGGAAGCTATTAGCTATAAGCCTAGTAGAGCTATAGGAACAACTTACGTAGTTAAGATCATGATCCTGGCCGTGCAAGACAAACATGTCAAAAGCCCCCAGCGCAGCATCGAGATGTTCCCTGCTGTTGAGACGCCCTTGGTAACTGAACCATACCTCCACTGCTAGTCCCCTATGAAGACTGTCCAAGGTGGCTTGCGCCCAGTACTTCTTCGCCAACACATACTCGTCCGAGTCGTCAATGTAGCGCTGATCCAGCAAGTAGTCCTTGACATCTAGCCCAAGCTCACAGATGGCTGCTACCCTCCTGGCCTGACCTCTGGTGGTCCTCACGATACCATCCAGCCATCGTTCCACCCGAAAGTTTGTTCTCCGCCTCTTCAGCCACAAGTCCTTCCAGCCAACCGAAGAGGCTCTGGCTTTGAGCTTCTTCTCGAGGTTGTGTCTCGCATCCCAAAAGTGGAAACAACGCAGACAATAAGTTCGCCACAGCAGGGGCTCGTTCGCGATATTATGTAGGCGTCGTGATGCTAGCTGGAAGTTGCGGAGGTTGTCTTCAGCAGACACAAAGTGAAGGACGTGACGGATGATCTCATCGGGGAAGTCGGAGAGTTGAGCCATCGCAGTGTAGTTTCGAGGGCGATCTGGCGGAATTCTCTTATGTGGTTCGGATGGTCGGAGGGAGCTCGAGAGGGAGCAGCGGCGCGCGATGATTCAACCTGGGAGCGCTTTATACCAGTGGCGGCCGCTCATACACGGGAGTCTCAAAGACGGGGATGCTCTGGAAGAGTTTGAAGTCATTTGCCATTGGCAAACCTTACTTTGCTAGCTTTCAGGACTTGCGCAGGCGCAAAGCGCGTCATCGCCGGACCGGCCTCATGTAGAATTGCTTATCAGTGGTAATTAATTTCTCGATAGCGCAGCGGTTGGGTGGCCCGAGCTCCTCATTCCTCAACGTTGTTGGGGCCCTCAGGTCTGTTGCGCAGCTGCAAGACATGGAGCCCCGCCCACCAAAAACGTCCCAGCCGGCAATCCCTGGCCGGTATCCCCTATCGACCGCGGGGTAGCAGTCAAATTTACTGGAGCCCCTCCACCACCGCCCACCACCACGCCGTTCTGCTTCCCCGTCCCTTGTTCTCGTCTGAAGTTGCTCCCGGACCGTGACTCACGAATTGGCTGACAGGTCCCTTATTTCGGTTTCAGGGGACGCAAAATATTCCCATTTAGGCCACTACCATCGCCCTCGACCGAATCCCTTTCCAAAGCCACCTACAGGCCAACACCAAACACACCCCGTCCACATCGACAGTCTCGGAGAATCGTCACCATGGAGAAGGTCGAAAAGGTCACCGAAGCCCTCAAGAAGGCCACAATCGGCGGCGATGAGAAGAAGAAGGCCAAGAAGGAGAAGAAGGCCGCCCCTGCCGCCGATGCCAGCGCCGGCCCCCTCGAGATGAACCCCCCTCCATCCTTCATCCAGGAGCGTATCGACCTGTTCGACCGCCTGTACAAGGAACAGCAGGAGGAAATCGCCAGTAGACCTCGCGAGGACATCACAATCACAATGCCAGATGGCACCATCAAGGTCGGCAAATCGTACGAGACCACCCCCGCCGAAATTGCCAAGGGCATCTCCAACAGCCTCTTCAAGCGCACTGTTGTTGCGAGAATCGATGGCGAGACATTGTGGGATCTCGAGCGTCCCCTTGAGAAGAGCTGCAAGCTTGAGCTTCTGGACTTCAACGACGACCAGGGCAAGTTTGTCTTCTGGCATTCCAGCGCACATATTCTTGGCGAGGCCTGCGAGCGGAGGTTCGGTTGCTCGCTGTGCATTGGTCCCCCAGTGGACAATGGTTTCTACTACGAAATGGCTCTGCCAGATGGTGCCGCTGTTCAGTCCACAGACTGGGCGCCACTTGAGAACATTGTCAGCAAGGTGGTCAAGGAGAAGCAGCCTTTCCAGAGACTCGAGATGAGCAAGGAGGACCTGCTCAAGATGTTTGCCTACAACAAGTACAAGCAGCACATCATCAAGGACAAGATTGAGGATGGCACCAAGACCACAGTTTACAGGAACGGCCCCTTGATCGATTTGTGCAGAGGCCCCCACGTCCCCGACACTGGCAGAATCGAGGCTTTTGCCATCATGAAGAACTCGTCTTCTTACTTCCTCGGTGATGCGAACAACGACTCCCTTCAGAGAATCTACGGTGTATCTTTTCCCGACAAGAAGCAAATGGCTGCCCATAAGAAGTTTCTGGAGGAGGCCGCTAAGCGCGACCACCGCTTGATTGGCAAGCAGCAAGAGTTGTTCTATTTTGAGGAGTGCTCGCCCGGTTCGGCCATGTGGCTGCCCCACGGTATGCGCATCCACAATGCGATTATGGATTACATCAAGGAGGAGTACTGGGCCCGTGGCTACGACGAGGTCATGACTCCCAATATGTTTAACGTGTCTCTTTGGGAGCAATCTGGCCACTTGGCGCATTACAAGGAGGACATGTTCCTTCTTGACGTGGACAAGGAGCAGTTCGGTCTCAAGCCCATGAACTGCCCGGCCCACGCCATGATGTTCCGTCACAGAGAGCGCAGTCACAAGGAACTTCCCCTCCGCCTTGCCGATTTCGGTGTCCTCCACCGTAACGAAGCCAGCGGTGCGCTCAGCGGTCTCACCAGAGTAAGAAGATTCCAGCAGGATGATGCCCACATCTTCTGTCGCGAGGACCAGATCAAGGAGGAAGTTGCCGATCTCTTCGACTTCATGCGCAAGTTCTACGGTATCCTCGGCCTCACATTCAAGCTCAAGCTTTCTACTCGCCCAGAAAAGTTCCTTGGTGAGATCGAGACATGGGACCGCGCCGAGTCTCGTCTTAAGGAGGCTCTTGACGAGTTTGCTGCCTCTGACAAGGATGGTGGTGTCTCTTGGGAGCTCAACCCTGGTGATGGTGCCTTCTACGGCCCCAAGATTGATATCGCTGTGCTGGACTGCCTCAACAGACCGTGGCAGTGCGCCACCATCCAGCTTGACTTCCAGCAGCCCCAGAACTTCTCCCTCGAGTACCAGACTGGCGAGGCTGTGCACAAGGGTGAGACCAAGGCTGCTGTTGAGGAGCCTGCTCCTCCTGCTCCTGAGGCCGAGGCTGAGAAGGACAAGGATGGCAAGGAGAAGAAGAAGCCTCTTCTTATCAAGAAGGCTCTTTCTCCTGGCTGTGCCCGCCCTGTCATGATCCACCGTGCCATGGCTGGCAGTATCGAGCGCTTCACTGCCATTTTGGCTGAGCACTTTGCCGGCAAGTGGCCATTCTGGATGTCGCCTCGCCAGGTTATCGTTATCCCCGTTGGCATGGGCTTCTTGGATTACGCTAAGGAGGTCGCTGCCCTGCTGAAGAAGGAGAAGTTTTATGCCGGTATGTTGTTCCTTCACACCCCTATTTTCGACATCAATTCTAACTGTGTGATTCCAAGATGTCGACAGCTCCGGCAACACCCTCCAGAAGAAGATTCGCAACGGCCAGCTCGCCCAATGTAAGTTACAACAATCCAAGCGCATTTATTCTCGAAGAGAAACTAACATGGTCTTTTAGACAACTTCGTCTTCGTGGTCGGCGACGACGAGATGCGCAACCGCAAGGTCAACATCCGCTATCGCGACGACACCTCCACCCAGGCGAGAGATGTGCCTTTTGACTTGGACGAGGCCATCCAGAAGCTCAGGCAGCTCAAGTCTAACAGGGGCATGTACAACCCATTCCCTCATGTGGCCGAGGCGAAGAAGGAGGAGGAGGTCAAGGCTTAGATGAATGAATGAAATGAAAAAATGAGGGTAGAAAAAGTAGAAGTCATTCCATCGAACCTGTTTCTTGCCTGCCGGTATACCATGAATCTGTAGCTTTTAGTGGTTTTTTGGTATTGCTTAAAGCAGGGGTTTGGGGGAGCACTGGTGTTGGTGGTGGTGATGGTGGTGTGGTGTTTGTAGCAGAAATACGAGGTAAAAAAACCCTTTCGACAAACAAACCAACTCGAGATATTGGTTGTCATGCAAGCCAAGCATGTTTACTAAGAATTCAGGGGTAGCTCGCAATACTGCCTGGAAGTTGGTCGGCTCAACAACGGACTAAAGAGAGCTGTCCAAAAAAGAAAAAAAAGGTATCATTCAAAAGCCAAAGCAAGGCACTCTACAAGATAACCCAACCAAACAACGCAAAAGCCGCAACAAAAAGCCAAAAAACAAAAACTAATCGTACTACTTCATCATGTTGAATTGCTATCCCCTTTCCCCCTTCCCATTTTGTTCCCCAATCTCTCTCCCTCCATCATGAGAAAAAAATGAAAAAGAGGACTCAGAGGTTTGTTACATAAAAGTTGAGTGTGCAATCATGCATAGCCTCATGCGTCCCGTGTGTGTTGCGTGTGTCGTCAGGTATCTTTTAACAAAAACCACCCCCTTTTTTATCATTTTTCTTTCCCCAACTAATAATCCCAGTTCCTATTTTGCCCCCTAAAAAGCCCTTTCCCATACAAAACCTAAGGCTTAGGGATATGAATCGTCTTGCTGCACATCAAACACCCATGAATAGCAAACATGAGCGCCACCGGGTGAAACTCTAGGAGGGTACCCGTGAACAAAGTGCCCAGAGGCAACGCCTCGTGAATCCAGCCCTTAGAGATCCAATACGCCATCACCGCGTCGGTAGCCAACGTTGTAGGGATGGGGGTTCCCTCAAAGTACTTTGCCTTTCCTGTGGCGTCCTTGGGGATGGCGGCGGCAGTGACGTTGAACCGGGCCAGTCTCGTCAGGCCGCACAAGACAAAGAAGCCGAGGAGGAGGTGGTCGACTGGTGTGCGGAGGCCCATAGCGAAGGCGGCTGAGGCTGGGGCTACGCCGAACGAGATCTTGCAAGACACAAAGCTTGTCAGTAAAAGAGAAAGGTGGGCTGCTGGGAGATGGGGGGAAGACATACAAGATCGGCAAGCGAATCCAGCTCCTGCCCCATCATGCTGCTCTTTTTCCTCCACCGCGCAACTTTACCGTCGAAAAAGTCAAAGAACAACCCCAGAGGCAGGAACCCCAGCGCCCAGTAGAGCGTCGAGTGGGCTTCCGTGTTCAGCGCCGAGGCGAGGGGGCCCGTGGTGATGCAGTACCGCAGAGAGGAAAAGACGGAGAGGATGCCGCAGAGGCCGTTGAGCTCGGTGATGAGGTCGGCCAGGTGGAGGGCGCGAACGAGGGAGAAGTGGCCTACATCGGACGAGAGGAGGAGGTCTTGCTTGTTGTCTTTTACTGTTGGTGGGTGGGGCGTTAGTTTCACTGGGTGGTGGTTTGGGACAGAAAAGCTCAGAAAATAGCGGGGGAGGGGGAGAATGAACATACGCGCTGGCGACTTGGAGACGGTGGCATCGTTGCTGGAGGAGGCGGCAGACCCGGAGGCCGCGACGCTTGTTCTCTTTGACATGATGGTGTTGGTTTGAATATATGCGCTGTCGGCTTTGGTTCTGTGGGAGGAGAGCAGGGTAGGTATCGTAAAAAGAGAGAGGTTGGTATGTAGTATGTCTGTGATGAAGGTGTGCTGCTGCTCCAAACAAAAGCGCAATACAAACAAGGCCACGATGGATTGCGCAGCGCAGTGTATGTACTGGATCAAGGGAATTGCGTCAGGGTCGGCGGGTCGGAGGTAGGTTGTTTTGTTGGCTCTCTCTCACAAGCAACAAGCAGGAACGGCGCAGGCGGACGCTTGAGCGGGAGTTGGTTTTGGCACAGACAGTGGGGACTTTCCGCCCGAATGGTCTGAACCGTGAACGGTGCGCTTGACCGCCTGCCACATACGGTCTAGCATCTGCCAGAAGGTCTGGTTTTTATGCGCCCAGGACGGGATGCCGTCACTTTTCTGCTGGGCTAAAGTGTGTTGCATAATACGTCATGGAAACTATTCACATTCTGCTGGCACACACATCGTGGACTTTTTTTTTTCCTTTTTTTTCATTTACAACATTTATGTCTATATAAATTCTCGCTATCAAGACAGTTACTTTTTTTTTTTATTCTTTTTCTTGTTCTGCAAAATATCAAACCAATCAGTCACAGTCGGATTCTTGAGAAGGAAAGATGGAAGCTCAATCTCTCCCTGCGTCCCTGGCCTGAACTGATCCAGGGCAACGAACGTCGTATCCATATTCAGGTGTTGCCAAAGTTGATACAGAAGCGGCCTCAAGTCTCCGGTCAAGTCGGCCAACCATCTCCGCCTCTTCCGTCGTATTTCTTCGTCGTCAAGTCCCGGCGACCTGGCCCTCTTCTTGCTTGTATTGTTTTCTCCATTATCATCATCATCATCCCAACGATAACCGTCCTCGAATTCACAGCACTCGTCATCTTCATACTCCCCATCCTCATACTCCACATTTTCCGGGTATCTCTCCGCTTCCTGCAAGATCAACTAATTCTCGACGAGCTCGTCAAGGGCACCAGACTCGCTCAACCTTTTTATCCACTCGTGAATGGCCAGTCCGAAATCGTTTTGGCGGCTGGCAGCCCTATTGTCGCTGTCGGTTTGGGTGTTCCCGCAGAGGGCCATGAGGTTGCACTCGGTTTCCCGCCCTCTCATGTACTCTTCCAGAGTCGACTGAATGTCTATTAACCAGTTGTCGGGATTCTCAATGTCGCAGATGTATCCCGGTTCCGTGTCCAAGCCATCAAAAAGCCAGATGCCGTTACCGATGGGCACAAAAGCAACAAAATGATAGGCTGCACTAGAAGCACCACTACTGCGTCTTCTATTAGCAGATGCTGCCTTTCCCCTTGCCCTCTTGGCCGCCCGGGCCCGCTTGTTCCGCATGGCGTCTTGTTCAAGCTCCAGAACAGCATTTAGAAGGTCAAGGCGGCTGTTGTGCATATTGTGGGCAGCTCGTATAAAGGTGCTGGTGGCGACCTTGTTGCCTCGGAACGAGGGGCTCAAGTCCTTGGACTGCTCCTTGAACTCGCTCAGCTTTTCCCCGAGAGCAAGATCTTTGGCGTTCATGACAATGTTCAGGAGGGCAATGGTCCCGCACGCATTCGTAGCCGTCTGCCTGGAGAACCACAAATCTGATTTGTCGTCGGGCTGACGCGGGAGCCAAACCTGCCGCATACTTCTGTAACTTTGAAGGAATACCAACCCATAAACCGGAGACCTGTTGGAGGGGCTGTTAGCAAGGTGAACCATCCGCAGGAGTTGAGAATCATACTCAAAAGTGGCAGCGAGCGTCTCGAGGTCCAGCGGTTCTCTTATCTCTGCGTCCTCAACACCCAGCTTTCTTAAGATGTCGGTGAAGAGCTTGGGATCCGACACCACCTCTGCCCAACCATCCCACTCTTCCAATTCGTTTTCCTTCCATGGTTCGAGCGACGCCGCGATGATGTCTTTCGTCACGTGCTCGGGCAGTTCGGGCTCAGGTTCACTGTCAGGATCAGAGTCGGGCCCAGATTGCTGCCCCTCATCCTGCTCTGCCTCAGGCTCCGGCTCATCAAGTGCTGGGTTATTTGCCTTCCGCTTTCTAGTCTTCGCAGGCGCCTGCTCTTGTTCGGTATCACCAGGATAGCTGGGCTTCTTAGTCGCGCGACCCGAGCGACGAGGAGCGAAATCCTTAATATCCTCTGCGTTGGTGACGTGTTTTAGAGAGGAGGAGTCCTCTGGTGCATAAAATGGATGCTTGTTCGGTGGTTTTCTCGGACCCATGCTGGATTGATATGCCGTGTTGCGTTTGGGAAAGAGAGAAAGAATACCGATCAACGCTGCTGAAACGAAGGAAGAGGTTGATGATAGTTGGCGCAAGCTGGCTGACTGACAGCAGTATGGGGTTGGTGCCTTGGCCTGCCTGGAATAGGAGGCACGAGTAGGTCAGTTTTCTGGGAAGTTACCAGAGCCATGAGATGCCGTGGCTGAACTTTGGATGTTTGGCAGGTGCTGGTGACGGCCCGTTGCGCTTTGCTACCCATCCAAGTTATCCATTACCTTGGACGCTTCGTCTTGACAATACACTCATCAAAAATAACAATCAAAATATGTCTTAATCCGGTGCATGAGGTGGGTGTCTTTGAGTATCTTGGATATTCAAACAGACGGTTGGTGATAGGAGGTGGACGGATGGACTACCGTCCGTTTCATGAGGAGAAGAAATATACCTTGAGCAGGCTGTGGAAGTTGCCGATGAGGATTAATTTCAGGCTCACAGTCATATTGGTCTGCAGAGCATCTTGTTGGGTTCCTAGATCAACCAGGGCAGGGTATGGAGTTGAGAAATATCAAGCTCTGGAAGTTGTGATGAAAGTCAAGAGTGGAGACCTTAGCTTGAGCTTAAACCAATCAGCATCGGCTGTCGTTGGACCCTGCCAGCGCGGCCCAGATGGAAACTGGAGACCGCGTCTTGACGTGCCGCTAACAAAAGCAACAGGAATTTTTGGCAGCTTTCTATTCGCACTGCGCTGCCTGCATCACCTCCACGACGAACAGCCAGCCGAATCTTTCTCGAACGAGCGGCCGTCACAAAACACACGCCTGTCGCCAGATACTGTCGCCATTACAAAAGTACCATCGTTGTTGCGCTTCCACCCATCGTCCATCCCTCATCACCCAAGCACAACAAACCGAGCATCGAGTTATTAGCTTCACCACCCAACCCGGCATGCCATGACCGGCGTCGGTGCCTTTCCTCAGACCCCCGTGGCACCCCGAGTAGGGCGTGCCCGGCCAACTCCCTTCAACAACAATCTTCCGCCAACCCTCCAACACCAGCCCCGACGACCACCGGCAAACCCCAATCCGCTGCCCGTGGCTCCCCAAGCAGGCGGCGCACCCCCCACTGCCAACCCTCCCGTCATTCCATTAAACATCCTCGATGCCCCGACACAGCGTCTGTACGCGGTTGCCGTCTATGCTGGGCTCTTGGCATGGAAGCTCTACGACTGGGCCGGCGTGGTGGAGGAGGACACCGAGTCCTTGTGGCTGTTTCTCAAATGGGTTGCCATAGATTGCGCCTTCTTGTTCGGCCTGCCAGAGCTTAGGATACCATGGCTGGAACTATCGCAGCCCTTCGTTATATCGGCCTTCTTTATTCACGCCTTCATTGACTGGTCCTTGATGTTCAACCTTGGGGTATGTTGTGTCCGTCCTCCAGGGAGGTGTTTTGGTACTGACTTTGGGTCTTGAACAGTTTGGTTGGCAGGGATGGATCATCGGAATTGTCAAGATGTTTTATGATCGCGAACTGGCTATTTCTGAGCACAACGTCAAGCTTTCCAGCATTATTCACAACCACTCGCTCATCATGGGCAAGCAAATCATCAACATTCTCCCCGAGGGCTCAGCGGTGCTCAACCCCGAACGACACCCGCTCTGCTTGAGCAGTGACCAGAAGACCGCGCTCATCCCCATGTTTTTCAACGCTACCATTCCGGTCGAAGTCGAGCTGCTTCGCACCGATCTCGAAACGGGTCATCAAGAGTCCATCAAGCTCGGCAGAGTGCATCTTAGGGATATCGAACGAAAGGCCAAGAAGAATAGCGACCTTGATGATATGCAGTCTGTGGTCCACTTTGAATATCCTGCCAAGAAGCCTGGCGCTTACCAACTCGGAAAAGTTCTGGACGAGTACAAGTTGGAGGTGCAGCGTCCTGGTCCCCCAACCTTTGTTGTGCCTTGCCCAAAGGCTTGGGTTGGGCCCACGACAACCCCCGGAAGGTGTCTCGCTGATCTCTCGGATCTGACTCTTCAGGTGGAAGGTACTCCGCCCCTCAAGATCACTTACAGCCGTGCCATCAATGGCAAGGATGTCAGCTTTCACTTTCAGAGCTTGCAGCCCGAGGGATTCATGAGTCCTCTCGGCGCCATACGGCCCACGAGTCTGGTGCAGGATGACGATGAAGACATCTCCTGGGCCAGGCCCCAGCGCGTTCCTGTCAGTGTCAACGAGTCCATGTACGCCAGCGGAAAGTGGCAGTACTCTGTTGACGAGGTCCAGGACGGATTTGGGAACGTTGTTAAGTACATTTCCCCTTCGGAAGATCCAGAGGGCAAAGCCAAGCCCAAGGAACTGGTCCAGGACTTCCTCGTCAAAGAACGCCCAATCCTTAAACTTGATGGGTGTGATCTGAGGAACCCGTTGAGGGCTGCCAGGGGTGACTCCAAGGAGCTGCCGGTCAAGTTTGGGATTGGCGGTACGCCTGATTCAACAGCGCACAGTCTGAGCTGGCTTTTCTCGCCCATAGACACCCTTACAGATACCGGAGATCACGGAGATGTGGTTTCGGTTGGCACCTTCAATGCTAAAAACGCCAGGGACAAACCAAGGATCTCTGCTCCCGGTCTTTACACTCTCAAGTCTGTATCTTCCGGTGGATGTGAGGGTGAAGTGCGGGAGCCGTCCTCCTGCTTGCTTTTGAACCCTCTCGAACCAAAACTTTCATTGCGTTCAGAAGAAATTCCAGACACATGTGCTGGCAACTCGATCGGTCTCCAGGTGGACCTTCACTTGATTGGCACCCCACCGTTCATCCTTCGATACGATATCATTGAAAACGGAAAAACGAGACACGCGGACCCGGTTAAGATCCCTGGCCTGCGCCACCAGATGGAGTTGATCCCCAGCGTTTCCGGGCACCACAAGTACATCTTCACTCATATCAGTGACGATGTCTACAAGGGAGTCAAACTTTCGGGCCCAGAATTCACCCTGGAGCAGGATGTCAAGCCGCAGGCGAGCGCTATTCTCCAGCAGACCATCGGTAAAAAGGCTTGCTTGGGAGACCACGTGACGGCGGACGTCATGCTCCTGGGAGACGCACCCTTCACTTTGGAATGGGAAATCATCCACGATGGAAAGAGAAAGGCCCACAAGGCTACCAACATTGAAGGGAATGAGTACCAAATCTCGACGCCACCTTTGACCCAGGGTGGCGAGTACACTCTGGCATTGAGCAGCGTGCAGGACAAGAGAGGCTGCCGCAACTTTTTGAAGCAAGAGCTGAAGATCTCGGTACGTCGCCAAAGCCCAAGGGCTGCGTTTGGCCAGATTGAGCACAAGCGCAAGATCACGGGCGTCGAGGGCTCGCCCCTTAGCCTGCCTTTGAGGCTCACTGGTGAGGGACCCTGGAAGGTCTCGTACATCAAGCTCAACGACGACGCGGCTACGCGCCAAGAGAGGACTGTCAGAAACGACAATGGTTATCTTTCGGTCCGGGAACGTGGTACCTACCAGCTTGTGGATGTTTGGGACAACCAATGCCATGGTGTTATTGACCCCAAGACCTCCACATTTGAGGTCGACTGGTTCTCTCGCCCCGACATGTCTGTCCTGCTCTCTCACGGCGTTCAGCGAACGGAGACTGGATACCGCCTGGAAGATGTCTGCGAAGGTGATGTGTCTGGTTTCGAGGTGGGCATGAAGGGTGAGTCGATACTCCATCACTGTGGTAATTTGATCAACTGTTAACTTGTCATAGGAACTCCCCCATTCTCGATTGAGTACGAGATTCGCCACAAGCCCCCTCAAGGATCAGCGTCTACTGCCAAGAAGAAGTTTGATGTCGCCTTGAGAAAGGAATCAATCCAAGCCGACACATCCAAGGCCGGCACATACACGTACAAGTTCACGGCGTTGGAAGACCACCTGTACAACAGCGATCGCAACTTCAAGCCCGTGCTCGTAGAGCAGAAGGTGAACAGCAAGCCCACGGCGGCATTTGCCAAACCTGGACAAACCTTCAAGTATTGCAAATCCGAGCAGGGTGCGGAAGAAGGAATCCCTGTCGTTCTCTCAGGTGTGCCTCCATTTTCTCTGGAGGTCGAGATCAAGCACCAAAGCGCCGCCCTCCCCGAGATTTACCGGACCCCCGTCATCAACTCGGACACGTACGAAATCCAGATCCCTCGGCATCAGCTTCGCCTTGGTACCCAGAACATCCGCATCCGCGATGTCAAGGATGGCAGCGGCTGCCACTCGGCCACAGCCAACATTGGCGGTCCTTCGATCCAGGTGCAGCTCTTTGAGGCGCCCACCATCTACCCGCTCGAGACACGCACCGACTACTGCGTGGGTGAGCGTATCTCGTACACCTTGTCAGGCAGCCCACCATTCGACGTCTGGTATACCTTTGACGGCGTCGAGCGCAAAGCCAAGTCAACCACGACTAACTTCCGTCGCGTGGCCGAGTCGCCTGGTGAGTTTGTCATCACGACCATTTCAGACAAGTCGTCCGAGTGCAAGGCGCCTGTCAATGTGGCCAAGACGATCCACCCCATGCCGGCCGTCAAGATCAGCAGGGGCAAGAACGCTCGCGTTGATATCCACGAAGGTGGAGAGGTGGAGATTCTGTTCGAGTTCTGGGGCACGCCTCCCTTTGAGTTTACGTATACTCGTAGCACGAACGCGAAGAAGGGACAGAAGAGTGTTGTGTTGGAGACGAGGCACGATATTAGCCACGAGCACAGCAAGGTCATCCGGGCGAGCCAGGAGGGCACGTATGAGGTTGTGGCCATCAAGGATAAGTTTTGCGCTTTTTCGACGATGGGGGGAGATGAGAAGGGTGATAGGAAGGGACAGAAGAAGTTGGGGTATTGATGGGAGGCGTGTAGGGGGGTGTGAATATGAATGGTGGGTGGACTGGTGGATGTAGGACTGGGTTTGGGAGGAAGCGCTTGACAAAAGAAATTGGCATTTTGTCTTGGGGGTTTTTGTCACATTTTTTTTATTTTCTGGGATTGTAACTAAATGAGGTAAACCATAGCACGGCGTTTTTGTGGGAAATTGAAATGGGTGATGTTGGTATTTATGGGGGTTGGGGGAGAATAGAACTTGGTGACTGGTGTTTGTTCAGATGAATCCGATGCTTGTTGTCTGTCAGTGGTTTGGGACACCTAGGCGGAAGTACCTACTAGCATGACGATGATAGCAGATGAAGATCGGGGCTCAGCAATTTGGAATAAGGTCTGAAGTCTTGATTTTGTTCCCCCACAGGATTTATGGGCCAGTTGTAGGATGAACTTTGATGATCGACTTTGAGCACTCGACCAACGCCTCGTTTACAAAAACCTGACAAAAAACAATGAGCCGCACCGACCCAAACAGACACCATCTCGATGGTCAAACCGCACCTGGAAATGTGAACCCCCAGCCCGACTCAGTGTTGTCAAATATGTCCGCACCATCAACACCATCGACACCACCTACTCCCTTTGACACCCCCTGGCCCATCTGCCTCCCATCTTCACTCCCGTCTTCTGGTTTTTTTCTTGTGGGCTGCTTTTCTCTGGGTGGGTTGTTGTTTACCTATCTTTGTGAGATCCGGGATTTGCTGCTGCCGGTCATTTTGAGGAGAGGGAGGTTGTCACTGTTTCTGGAAAGGGAGTTTGAGGATATGGGATAATGGTGGGAGAAGGGGGTGTATGTGCGGTTGCCTGGTGTACGGTGGTTGTTTTTTTTTGGGGGGGGGGTCGGTGTATGATGTTGGGGGGTTGGGGTTTGGTTTTTGAGTGGGTGGTAGCTTTGGGGCTTGAGGGGGATTAGGTGGGTTGTTCAAGGGGGAAGGGGGAGGTAGTTGAAGAGGGGGAAGGGGAGGATGGGTATGTTCCTTTGGGGTTGGTGGTTTATTTGAGGTTGGGGGGGGGTGAGGGTGTTGTGGTTTTGGGTAAGTGAACCAGGACCTTGTAAGAAATCGCAGAGCACAGACGAGGAAACAGTTTGTTCATCGTGATTTATTGTGTGTACTCTTCGTTCATGCCGCTGTCAACATGCTCAATTGTTCACTTCGCCCCCACCAACCAACCTTCAAAACACAATCTCATCTCTTGCTTCCCATCGACATCAGACACCCTATATTCGCCAGAGTAACCCATCGAAAAGCCGTATGACAACTCAACGGGTAGACAGCCTCGGCGCACCCACCCATCAGATACTCCTTTATCTCAGGCCTCTTCATCAAAAACACCCTCCATCAAAACACCCTCCATCAAAACACCCTCCATCAAAACACCCTCCATCAAAACACCCTCCATCAAAACACCCTCCATCAAGACACCCTCCATCAAACAGCCGGTTTTCCAGAACCTCATCACAGACAACTGGCCTCATCGAAATTCCACCACCAAATACCCGTCATGGAACTCGCTCCCATCTGGGGAATGTCTGCTTGTGGGAATGGCCGTGTCGTCTCACTATTCATACCAGAGTCGTTAATAAAGACACATCGAGATGATTCTGGCTGTCAGACATACCTGTAGTAAGCCCCAACGGCTTCCACTCGAGAGAACTATCCCGTAATCGAAGACCTTGTGATGTTAGCCAGCAAGGGACAAATGCACGTACCTTGTAGCTGATGATTTGACAACGATTTGATACAAAAAAAAGCTGTTCGCCCACCCACCCTGTCTAGCCGACCGACTACCCACCCCAATCCAGCGAGCCGAGTCCAGGTAAGTGTCCCGAGCCCGCAACTAGTGGTGGGCAGCCACGTCGTTTAGGAGTCGTAGAAGGTTCCACTTAAGGAGAGCTCTGCAACATCCGTGACGGTGAGGCCAGGATGGAGTTTGCTGCAGCCGTGTAATGCTTCAGACACCACCCTTCCACGAAAGTACCAGGCGACATCGAAGTCTGGATATGTCGGTCATGAGGCATCAGTGTCACCAATTCCAAAGCCACACCGAGGGAGGGGAGGACCAAGGTGGCCGCACCCCACACGATGAGCCAGTGGGCTGGGTCCTCCGCCGAGCCAGACGTTCATAGAGCCACACAACGATAGACCCCCGTAAAGGGCAAGGCAATGATACTGCTGGAAAGGAGGAACACAAGAAGGGCGTAGCAAACACGCTGCCCACGCGTGCCAGAAGAAGGGGAAGAGAAGGATGGCATTCTTGCTTTCGGTAGTTGGCAAAGAGAGAAAAGAGAAGAGAAAATGTGACAAGGCCGGAGACTTGGGTTTTGAAGCCGCTCTGGAAGCATGCTCGTTCTTGCTGTTTCCTATTACTGAGGTCATTTTGGTCCCCGCTTGCAGGCGTAGTTCCTTCCCCAGTACGTCGAACTTCGCTGGGAGTTCTCCGAATCGTCCGTTGGTGGGAAGAGATGGGGAATGGAAGTCACAAATCTGAAAATCCGTGAGGAAAGAACAGAGCAGGACACCGTGGTCTTTGGTCCCGAGGGTAAGTCCCATTGCATGTGTTGCCCTCCTGTCTGCGGAAAGCACCCCTGAGCTGTAATTGAAGCATGGCTTGGGACCACCAAATCCTGGGTTGGCCACATTTCTCCAGGCAGAAGATATGACCGCGTAAATGTTGAACTCCGTGATAGTTCAAGATAACCTAAAGAAAGTCACTACACACTCTGGAAGATGTCAAAGAAAATTGAAACCATATTCGGACCATCAGGTAGCAGCCAGACAGATTTGGGGATAGGTGCTAACCTCAATCTTGGGCAAACAATCATGGCACTTTTGGTTATGCACGGATAGAGAAAGAGGGGATTCAAAGTTCGCTTTTCCAAAAATTTTGAGTTCACAGCTGGCGTCTTTGCAAGCTTTGGCACATTTTGCCAGGTGGGCTGAAAGCTTTTTTCACTACTCAATCGAATTCCCGACAATCTTTCCGAGGTTTAAAGGCGTTTCAAATTGCTGAGACAACCTCGGCCTTGAGAAAGCGACCGCAAACAAGGAGCGAGCCTCTGAAAAGCCGATCCGAGTTCAGAGCACAGAGAAGAACTCGATGGTGACAACCTATCTCGACCTCACCTCGGATCATGATACTGCCACAATCAACAGCGGCATCACACACACCCCTCAAACAACAAAAGACAGTTCTCATCTCTTGCTTCGAGTAGTAATGGAAAAACTCGACACAAAGGCCCCGGGTGACACAACCAGTGACCTCCCCCAACCAAATACCCCATCATCACCACCACCGCCGCCCCCCGAATCAACACTACGACAACGATGGAAAGCCTTGACCAAAGTCCTCCTCACACCCTACAAAATCCCCAGCCCGCCCCTTCCCCCCCCCTCACCCCCCTCCACCCCCTCACACCCCCCAGCGACAGACCCTCCTCACCATCCTCATCGCGCCCGTCTTCTGGTTCAACATATCGCTCATATTCTGTGGTCTACGCCTTCTCCTGCCCATGGATTTCGACAAAGACCCGGTCCTTCTTATGAAGCTGCACGGGCGGATTTTGTTGCAAGGTATTACAGGTGGGACAGTTCTCGACCTGGTGCTCTTGGGGGTGTGGTACCTGACGGGGGGCTGGCAGATTTGGGGGGTGAGGTTTGCGAGGGAGCGGATGGCGGTGTGGAGGGGGTGGGAGGGGAAGGTTGGAATGGGGGAGGTGGAGAGGAGGTGTAGGGGGGGTGTATAGGCCTTTGGGGATTTTGTTGGAGGAGTTGTGGAGGGGGTGGTTGGGGGATCCTTGGGAGGGGGAGAGGGGAAAAGGGGGAGGGGGAGGGTTGGAAGTTGGGATGTGTTTGGCTGCTATTGGACTTTACTCTCTCTTTATTGTCGTTATGTGTCTATCGAGAAAAGGTGCTTCACGTCAAGATAGTCAACTGTCTTTCTCTTTTTCAAAAAAGGGTTTTGATCAGAGGATGGGAGAATAAGGCTCTCTGGAACATGACTGGAAAGCATGCTGTTGGAGGAGGTACGAGTGCGGACAGACCGTGGGCGAGAGACAGGGCAGTGCCGACGTCAGTCTTTCGGCAAGGCTCTGTCTTGTCGTGCCGACTACCAGATTGGTGGGTAAGGCTGGACTGATGGGAGATGAAATCAGATTATCAGTTTCTCCATGTGCCGTCAGTCAGGCGTCCAAGAGATGGATTGGTCTGTGCTTCTGTGCATCGTATTCAGGGGGGGGGGGGGGGGGGCGATGCGATTGGTTGTTGGAAGAGTGAGGCACTGGACGTGTGTGGCTTACCACCTTTGCTGCATGTGGACGCACGTCTTTGGGGATGGGAAAATCGCGAGATACGATGAGGGTGTTGTTGCGGCTGAAATAGGATGAATATGGAAATGTATATATCTCGCTCATGACGCCCACTGCGGCATGGGATGAGGAGTAACGATTTGGTCATACTCAACCACCACTGAGCACCACAAGATCGAAACCACGATGGAGTCAGGAGAATACGGTATGTTTTCTCTGGATGGAGTTTGTCCGTGCTTACTTACAACCAAGTCAATAGTCCCTGGCAGTGTGTACTTTTACGCCCCCAACAAGGGCGCTGCCATCTTCTTCGCCATAGCTTTTGCTTTCTCTGGCTTTTACCATATCTACCAGTGCATGTACGAACAGGATTCAACTATACTTGTCATCACTTACCAATACTGATCGTGAACACCAGCCACTACAAGAGCTGGCGCCTAACCGGCCTCTACGTCTTCTGCGCCGTCCTATTCGCCGGGGGCTTCGTCGTCCGCGCCTGGGGAGCCTTTGACTACACCAACCTCGTCAAGTACATAGTCAGTGTTTGCCTCATCTACGGCGCACCGTACGTTGTTGATACCCCATCCTCTCTCCTCGCCCCCTCCCCCAAATCTACACATTCCGCTAACCTGCACCACCACCCCCTTCAGACCCCTCCTGGAGCTCGCAAACTACAACATACTCGGCAGAATCCTCTACTATGCCCCCTACCACTCCCCCATCCACCCCGGCCGGGTAATCACCACCTTCGCCTTCATCTCCGCCGTCATCGAAGCCCTCAACGGCAACGGCGTCTCCCTAACAGCAAACCAATCCCTCGCCCCCTGGCGCCAAGACATCGGCCGCGCCCTCCTCAAAGCATCCCTCCTCATCCAAGTCTTCGTCATCACCCTCTTCATCCTCCTAGCAGCCATCTTCCACCACCGCTGTTATAAGTCAGGGATGCGCAACGCCAAACTCTACAACCCGCTCTACACGCTCTACATCTCCACCGCGTTGCTCTTCGCAAGGACAATCTTCCGGGTGGTGGAGTACTGGTCCATCGCTGAGCATGATTACTGGAAGCCGGGGTTTGATCCCAAGAGTTTGAGCCCGGCGATCAGATATGAGAGTTTTTTTTATGTGTTTGAGGCGATGCTGATGTTGATCAATCATGTGCTGCTGAATGTAAGGCATCCGAGGATGTGGCTGCCAAAGAGCACAAAGACGTACTTGTCTAGGGCGGATGGGGTGACGGAGATTGACGGGCCGGGGTATAAGGACGGGAGGCCGTTTTGGGTGACGCTTGTTGATCCTTTTGATGTGCATGGGTTGTTGGGTGGGAGGAAGAAGGGTGGTGACTTTTGGGATGGGGATGGGGAACAACGGACGGGGAAGGATGGGTGTTGATGGTTTGGAATTGTTTTGGTCAGGACGAGCGGTGAAGGGAAGGAAGGCAAACACTTCTAATCGCTGGTGAGAGGTTCGGTCCGGTGTCTTGGGATTCTCCGTTGGCGTACGGCGTCAAGATGCTTGTTTGCCTGTTTCTTCAAGGGGAACCGAGATCCGATCGTATAATGCGGTGAGCGGTGAGGCGCCGACGGGGAAGAGGCGGTTTCAGAAGCCTCAAAGGAATCCGCCAGATGAGTGTGTAGTTTTCATGGCCTTTTTCTAGAAGCCGCTGCGGTCATAGGGTGGGGTTGAGGGCGGCTTGGTCCCTCGGAAGGATGTATAGACTTTTTCAACGTGCACAAGTCATCGTGTTGAGCATTGATTTCGAATTCTTGAAGTTGATCGCCCCAAATGCTGTTTCGATCTTGACAAGAACTCGGAGCCGGCTTGCTGTTGGCCATGATACGAACGGACGAACAACGGGCGGAAGTCCTAACGACCAACCCCGGAGATGGCCTCAAAATGTCAAGGTCCATTTTCGTTGTTTTATGCGACCAGAGGCCAACACGAGAATGCCGCACGAGGATTTATTGTGCGACTTCAAGTGCCAAACTTTGGGGGTTTTGGACGTCTATGTGTGTTAGCCAAGCCTCAAAATTTAGGACTTTGGGAGCCGATTGATATCAAGCGAAGTGGGACTGCAATTTTGTCAAGTATCTGAACAGCAGCTCTGTTTATCATTCATGACGAGGGAGAAACCGCCAGTTGGACCCTTGAGAATCCTTCATCCTTGATGGCCACTAAGCAAGCAAGCCGGGCTGGTGATGGCGGAAGACCATGTGGCGTCGGCAACTTCCACCGGGCGAAAAAAAAAAAGGATGCCAAGATGAAGAACTACCGGTCATTTCGGTCATAAAATTGATTCGACTTGAAGGACACGCGAAAATGTAGCTGGGAACGGGGTTCACCATGAGACTTCTAGACTGGAGGTTGATGAGGTTTGTGTGCCTGTCATTGTGGCTTGATGAAGAGCACTGTCCATACTAAGTGTGGCGTTTGTGGCACACTTGTGTGGGTTTGCCTTTTGGCCTGGCGGGGCACGGTCGGTGGCTTGAACGCCGTTGATGTTCATTCTCACTCGGTTTGCTGTCGGTAGTCAGAAACAGTGCCCGGAATAGCATCCGAAGGGTGCCTATCTTTTCTCTACTTTTGTCAATTGCCTTTGTGAGGCGAGTGATTTCTCCGCCTGACAACTCAGCCGGGCATTGAATCCTTCCGCTGTCATGTCCCCGCCCACGCGCGAGCTGCGAGTTGCTGACTGCTAGCTAACATCAACCCTCGCTCAACCCTCTCAGCACACGATCACGATACACGATACACAACCGTGACGCGAGCCAAGGTGACATGCTCCTCAAAGGTCTGTTTCGTTTCTAGCATCTGCACCGTCTCAAACACACTACAGCCCGCCCCCGTCGCCCCTCGTCCCCTCGTCCCCTCATCCCCCCGTGCAATGAGACGCTGCTGCTTGTCACCTGCATGCCATGCCATGCTGCGGTAAATGCATATTCGGGAGGCGGTTTTCTACGGGCACTATACCTGGAGCCTAGTGGCCTCGTTGGTTCAGGTGCACAATTGCAGCGTCTTGTAGGTAATACAAGATTAATTTGTTTCTCAGTACCAACACAGCCTCGAGGATCAGCTTCCCAACTCGCCTCCTACTTTCGGCTCTTCCTTTTCCTCGGCCTCGGCCAACTCCCCAACACTGAATTGCGAGTTGTGGATTGCGAAGTTGCGAGAGGATCGCTGCTAGTTTCAAACGGCAGAGGCCGAGATATCGTTTGTCCGAGGTAGTTCCTTGGTGACAGTCAATCCCTCTGGCGCGGGGCTGCTTTGGTAACTTGGTACGGAGTAATTCGAAAGATTGATTGATTAATCCGCCTCTGCCCGCTGAACCCAGCGTGCCAGTGTCCCGGTGAGGTGAAAGAAGGGCCAAGGGATGCCAGCATTGCCAGGCTGCCGTTTTTCCAACACACCAACCCATCAATCCCAATCCCACCCCTGTCGGCGGCGGTGCACCGCCCGAACAGCAGCACGCGCATCGCAGCGGTCATCTTGGGCCGCCCGCCTTTTCCATCAACCCCCCCCCCTTGTGCCCTTGTGTGCCCCTGTGCCCCTGAACATTCCGTTTACCAAAACCTTATACTTCGGGTGTCGCCCACAAACCGCCGCATCAAACTACCGAGTCGAGAGTAGACATATCTTAGCGGCCTTCTCAGCTTATATCATCAGCCAGTGGTGCCTTCACCAACCTACCTATATGATCCTTTGGTAGCCACTTTTCTCCTTCCTTCCCAAGTGCTTCACGGCCATGGCAAACACAAGGGACACAACAATGGCCAACCCGTCAGCTTCAATGTCACAAGAACGGTCTGAGTGGAGGGGTCCCGAAATATATCTCCATCTCGAGTTTAGGGTCGCCTGGTCCAGGAAGCCACAGCCCGTCAAGAACCACCAAGTTACATACCGATCTCGCGCCAGTCGTGAGAGGGCCCCAGCATTTCCTCGTCAGGTTCATGCTCCCAACACCAACTACCTCGCCGCCATCCGTGACTTTGATCAGAGACAGGCAGTACGCCGGAGCTTACTTGCCGAAGGCCAGCAAAGAGCCCACCATCAGTTGCAGGAGTACTACCAGGAGGACACACGGGGGAGACCACAGCACCAGATTCCCATCATCCACGAGCCGGAGCAGGAGTCAGATCAACGTCGATCTCGAGCCGAGTCGGTTTCCTCACATGAGCGAGGAAGCTCAGCGCCCCCACCCATTGGCGATAACCCGTGGGACGTGAGCGTCCCGAGAGGACAACAGACAAAGGCTCTGCCCCCGGCGCCTTCCCAGTTCCGCTTGGGAGAGGGATCTGATCCATGGTCAACCTGGTCGCTGCCACCGGGCTTTGATCCGACAATCTCTTTGCAGGATGAGCCCGAAGACTCGGCACAACGACCACAAGAATGGGTGGCATCCAACCCTACCGAGGTTTCTACCTTCTCACCCGAACCCGCCCAAGCCACCACCCACGCGCGCGATCATGTGGAATCTGGTTCCGTCATGACATCTCCTTTCAGTCCCGAACACTTTCCCGACCAACCTGACACTGGTCGCGTACGGGAACTGGAGGCGCTCTCGGCAGCTATGATGACGGTCGACAACGGGTTCGAGAATCAGTGGTGGTATCAAGGGCGGCGAGCCCAGGTCGCCGAGGATGCCAACGAAACCAGAAGTCTGCATTCACCGAGGCCAGGAACACCGGAGCATGTCCAGCTGCACCGCTGGTCAACAGAGCCCATAGGCAGCCCCGAGACGATGAGTGCCACCGTCAGCGGCCAGACTCCTTCCCTGGCCCAGACTGGCTTTGTCTCTCCGATCACGGAAGCTGCGAGCCCTGCTCTGGGTTTTGGCACACTTCAACGGACGTTGTCGACGAGGTCGGAAGAGCTGTGGTTTTCTGAACGGGCATAATAGTGTTCTGGAGGGTTTTCCATTTTTTTCTTGTTCGACTTTCTTGGTATTTATTAATGTGATCTAATGTACATGTATCTATGAATGGGACTCGCTCGGCTTTGTGACGTGAGTAATGTGTTTTTTGGAAGAAAAGCGTATTGTGGAATTATTGGGGAGTTTTGGGTCTTGATTTGGAGTTTTTGGGGGGGTTCTTTTTGGTAGTGACTTGTCTCTTTAGCTGAGCCGCCTGTATACAGCGTGGCTTTGTCATTGGCGATATCCAATGTTTAAGATGTATTCTGTTTCTGTCATTTTGTCTTAAGCTACTCCTGTGACAAGAAATGCTGGTTTCCAGCCGACCCCTCTGCAGATAGATACCGAAAATAGAGAACAGCATTCCTGATGTTGACGGATAGGCAATGTGTCTCGAATTTCACATGGGGAGTATAAATCTATATACGGAAAACAACATCTTTACTTGCTCAACAAAGAAACTTGGAATGTTGACGAACTGAAACTTCATTCTTTCGTTGTGCTAGAGTCGGCATGTCTGTAGCTTAGCAAGCGCAACTGGAGTGTGTGTGCAAATGGATGGTGGCCCCTCGCCCACCTCCTCCTTCCTTTGAGTCCTCACTGGAGACTCCAGGCACTCATCGGAGAGTCTAGACTGAAGTTAGTGAAGAGCCTCAGGGGTAGGTAAACTTGGGATGTTGGTATGTGGAGGCCTGGAACGCTTGACCGTGAGGTTAGGTAGGTAAGGTATGAGAGATTTGTTCTGGACAGAGAGGAGCTGGTTCATGATAGGTACTTGCATGCGGCTTGGGAATCCCCGGACGACCGACAACCTGCAGCTCTCGGCGTTTGATCTTTGGGAGCTGCCTGGCCGTGGTGGGTGAGCCGGGCTGAAGTGGTTGAGGAGGGAGGGGTGTAGTCTGCTCTCTTCATGGCATGGCAAGGGGGGCTGCTCGAGTGGGGTGTATGGCAGTCCGCTTTCTTGTGGCCTGGCGAGAGGGGGTTTATTCTCCGTCTTGCATTCTTTGCCATGATGTTACAGTACGAATATGTGAGTGACGTCGAGAATACCGAGAGGTTTTTTCTCGTTTGCTTCATCAGAGATGGTCGTTTGTGAACCTAGCCCTACGCTAGATGATGGGGTAGATTCGGGCTTGTGATGGCCTGCCAGCCAAAGGGCCTGGTGAGTAAATTATTTCCCTTGCCGCTTGGTGATGTGGGTAACAGGCGGGAGGCCCCTTCTCGTTGCAGTGATTATCTTATCGTAACGGAGCTTCGGTGAAGCTATGGCTGTTTGATGCCACTTCAGGGATGTATTGTTGGAGCCTGTTGACGGCCCTTGCAGCGGGTAATGTGGTATCTGCGACTTGGGCAATCTTCACTGTCTTCAGTGGGTCTAGCTTGACGGTATCTACCGTGACCCTCGGGCTCGAGCAGGAAACGATGGGGGCCTAGCCTTCACAACGTTGCAGATGTATCTCAGCGGCGCCAGCTCGGCTCTGGT